CCGCCCTTTTTACGTTTGGCTATTTCGAGTAGTACACGACTTTCACCCAACTTAATACAACAAGTCATAAAGGGTTCCGTAGTCTAGTTGGTTATGGCGCATCCTTAACACGGATGAGGTCCCCGGATCGAGCCCGGGCGGAATCACTTTTGTCTTTTTTGGGAACTTCCAGATCAACAAGTTCGTGTCAGCTTCCAAAAGGCTTTCAATCTCTACAGCAACTTGCTTGTGTTCCACCTGTACGCTCCTGGCATGATTAGTTACACTTCGCTATATTCGGTTTTCGCGTAAATTAAATGCATATATTCTGTTTAGCTCTTTATGCACGTTACGGAGCCCTCTGTCAATCTCTTGATATCAGCCTCCAGCGCGGCTGCCTGAGCTGGAGCAGCAGCAGCACCTTTTCTGTTGTGTTGCATGTGGGATTGCACCAAATGACCTGCGGCTAATGCCAGACAAAGAGACAACTCGGCCGCTAACACAGTCAGCGCCACAATCTTGGCAAGCTGTCGAGCGTTGTCACCAGGATTCGTAGGATGAGGCCCTCTAACACCTAACATCTCGAGCATAGCGCCTTGAGGCTCAAGAATGGTGCCCCCACCAATGGTACCAACTTCAATTGACGGCATCAGCACGGAAATGTGAAGATCCTCGCCAACCTTGCGCATCAAAGTGATACAATTAGAAGACTCAACGTTTTGAGCTGGATCTTGACCGCATGCCAAAAATACAGCCGTGACCAAATTAGCAGCATGGGCATTAAATCCACCGACTGAACCGGCCATTGCTGACCCAACAAGATTCTTGGAGATATTCAATTCGACAAGGGCATCCACGTCGGATTTAAGAACCTTTTGGACGGCAGCGGCAGGGATGATTGCTTCAGCAACAATCAGCTTGCCTCTTCCCTCGATCCAGTTAATCGCAGCGGGTTTCTTATCAGTGCAATAGTTACCCAGCACTGAAATCACTTCCATATCATCCCATCCGAACTCGGTGGTCATAGCCTTGAGGGAGTGTTCAACACCCTTTGAGATCATGTTCATGCCCATGGCATCACCAGTGGTGGTACGGAAACGAATAAACAATAAATCACCAGCAATAGCAGTCTTGATATGTTGTAAACGAGCAAATCTGGACGTCGAATTAAACGCTTTCTTGATTGCTTCTTGCCCTTCATCAGAGTCCAACCAAAGCTTCGCAGCACCAGCTCGTTTCAAGTTAGGGAAGCGAACACAAGGACCACGAGTCATGCCATCCTGCGTCAAAACAGTTGTGACGCCACCACCAGCGTTGATAGCTTTGCAACCACGCATTGTCAGCGCGACAAGGCATCCTTCGGTGGTTGCCATAGGGATGTAATAAGAGGTGTCATCAATAATCAATGGACCAGCCACACCCACCGGAAGAGGCATAAATCCGATGACGTTCTCGCAACAGGCACCAAAAACTCTATCGTAGTCATAGTCAGCATAGGGCAAAGAATCAGTATCAAGGATGGGAGCATTGGCAATTTGGGCCATAGCCTTGCGACGCACAACCACAGCCCGCAAGTTGTCACCCAATTGCTTTTCAAGGGCATACAATGGAAGCTTGCCATTCAGGACAAGTGCGGCAACCTCAGAATCAGCAAGAGAACGAACGTTGCCTTCCTTCATTATGGAGACACAATCATCGAGCGTACGAGAAGACTCAGTGGACGTAATAGCTTCGGAAGCAGAAGAAGTTTTGTTAGCGACAGTGGTTGACTTCTTCGAGGGTGCTGGCGTCTTGGGGGTCACAGACGGAACTGCTTTAGGAGATGACAAGGTGCGCTTCATCAACATCAGGGTAGTACGAGCCAGATGACGCAGAGCATTGAGAAGGTAAGCGTTGATGCAAAGAGACACGATAAACCCAAACAAGAGCGACTTTGAAATGAACAGGTCCTTAATGGCCAGAGAGATACCCGAAATAACAGTCAAAATGAAATCTTCAATAGCGATCAAGGTGCCACCAGTAGTATAAACCTGAGTGGGCATCACCCGGGCAACAGCTCCATGACGACCAAATTTCATAAGAGTAGACGCAGCTTCAGTCGTTTCAGATGTGACGAAGCGGATCGGTTGAGCATCGCGCAGTTGATACAACCACAGCGAGCCAAGGTATAAGGCGTGAATGGCAATGAACAGAGCAATCATTGCAACCTTAAAAGAAATCACAGTGTTGTCATCATTATCGAAGAGAGACAGATCTGTAGATGCCCCAGAAGAATCGGCCAGAGCCAACTGCCGCGCCATCAACGAGTCAATGCCTTCCTCTTCCAACGCTTCCTTCAAATCTTGAGTGCGATGGGCACGTCTGATTTCAATCTTAAGAGCAAGAATGGCTGCCAAAAATGTGTAGACAAGAACGAGGTCGAACACCAAGATAAGTGCCGATAACACGCAAAAGTTGCGTAAACCTTCGAGATGGGGGGCATAGGCAGCAATCGCACCAAGGGCCCCAATCACGACTAAAGTGTCGCGAAGAAGCGAGATCGAGTGCAGGGCGAAAGCTTTCGACACAATTTGACTGACAGGGGCAGGCGACAGTACTTGGCGCATAATCGCTTGCGCAATCAGCAGCTTGTGCTTGAAGCCAACGGTGGCCACGAGGAAAGGGATACCTTCGGCGATCAGAACGGGAGGGACCTTACAATCAAGCACCAGGGACAGAGTATACAACGCAAACAAAAATGCAAACACACCCAGAACGATCGTCGAAAAAGCCACCCAGAAAGTCAGTCCCACTTGCTTCATGTCGAAGAACACCTTGATGATAGTATACCACATGGCTAAGTATGCTACAACAACAAGAGCAACATCGAACGATTCAGCACTCGCAATGAGCTTACGCGCTTCGTAAATAGCATGACGACCATACTCCCAGTACTTTGAAATTCGGTTGGGATGGCGAGCCGACACCACGATATCATCAACGGTGAACAGGTTGTATTCAGTCTCGTTGTATTGATCAGCAGGGACCACCAACACACGTTCAAATGGCAGAATTTCCTTCAGCAGTGGCACGTCGGGAACAGGACATTTGACAAAACGAAGGGGAATGACAACATATTGTTCAGCATCAGGGTAGTCAAGAGGGCTCGATACTTCTTGCCACGCCAGCTTTTGCCCCGGAGGGTGGTAATAGTATTCGGCGGAACCAGGCGCCAGATATTTAGCGGGGATGTAATCTTGAACCACCTGGAGATATGCTACCAGGGCAACAAGCAGGGTAATGACGAGGAAATGGATGGGTTTGAGTGCAGCCGTACGGGCCACCGCACCCATCATCCTCTGGATTGGGTCAAGCATAAGTTGAAGTATACCTGTGGTTGGAAATTTTTTATACGACGATGCGCGCCGCTGTCGCGTAGGGGGTGGTGGGGTGGTGGGGACGCGTGGCGAGAGGAATTAGGGGTCTTATGGGAGGGTTTCAGGCGAGATAATAAGGAAACCATCAGTATGAATTGTGATATTTTTCCATTGACTCCTGGTTCAATTTTGGTAGTGCCGTGCATTAAAAAATCGAACTATATAGTCAAATGAAGTCTTCACGGTGGCGCGAGGTAGTGTTATTGGTTTTAGAAGGTGTTTCACATTCTTTGAGTGTTTGTAATAGATGGCAGCGCCATTCAATTTGTTTGCAGCATAGGCTGAGTCTACTGTGCCGAAGAAGTTACCAAACTCACTCATTATATTCTTGAATTTTCACTAGATGATGGTTGGTCGTATAGATCGTATAACGCACTCTAAGGTTTTTGAAGCTACTTCCATCGTGCTAATGTGATTATAATATAGATCAGTCCGAAATTTATAAGCTGTGTTTTTCTTCACTTTCTACTACCTTTGTTATTGATTGTAATGCTAAAGTCCAGCGTGTCAATTAGTCAAGCAAACCCTCAGTCCCCTTACGAAAAGCCCAACATCTACACCATATGTTCCCACGAATCCCGGCTCAAAACCATCGATGACGTTCCGAGCTTAGTCTCTTTACTCATCATAATCGCCACTATCACCACTTGGAGAATATGATGATGGTCAGGCACGCAACTCGATTTGTCTGAAATGAAGAATGAAGAACATAAGCTGGATACTGATGTCGTAGACGATATGAACGTTCCTAAAGCTATATACCGTGATATCTGAGACGCCCATATTGAAAGCATCATCATTCACGAGTCAAATATCTTTATCACCTTTCATTGTCCAGGTGCAGAAAATTTCGATGTTTCGATGTCACGTTTGTCCCCGCAAAATTGATGTGGATCTTATCAGCCATTTCATTTGACTCATTCGCGCACGTCGAAAATCAAGTTCAGCAGACCCCGACATGCCATCTCAAGAGATAGGGGCTCCTATTCCCAACGTTCCCCACGCTGTACTGGTAACATTACCCACATGGGAAGCTACCGTGGGTTATGAAGAAGGAGAAGACTGGGTAGTCTCGAAGATGAACCTGGGATACCCTCGGTTTTTTATTCATCCAGTGATCCAGCAGTTGGCGGCTGAACTTGAAGCCAAATACGGCCGTGATGGCGAAAAGGCCATGATATTTCCCAGCTCAAAGGTTGCAAAGCGTTGTCGGGATTTCGTCAAGGAAAAGCTGCCGCGGACACCCAATGTAAGAGTTTTACAGTTGGCTACTCCAGGTCCTGTTACAGAAGAAGAAAAGCTGAAAGTAGTCGCTGCCAATATTGGTGTGGTATTTGTGCCGTCTCGTGATTATGCTTTTGCTAAAAACTATTGGCAGCATCTGGGTGAAGGTATCTCTTCAAGAATGGCTGAGTACGTTTTACGTGAGCTCTTCAGTGATTCAGCACCCGTTCCTTCAGGGAACCACAATCTTAAGCAGGCTTTGCAAGTTAAGCTGATCCAGCAAAAACTGCCACTGCTTCTGTTTGGATCTCTGCAAAAAGAGGAGATGGAAAAGGAATACACTGCATTTATTGAGCAAAAGTTTGGTCGAGTGCTCGATCTCAAATTCGGTGACATGGCAAAAACTGCACTCAAACGAAGAATCTGTGGTCGAGTTGAGGAACTGGGTGACGCCAATTCGTTGCCTAAAAGCCGTCATCATCTTTCCGAAAAGGATATCTATTTATACCCTCTGGGAATGGCATCGATCTTCAATGCTCATCAAGCGCTATTACATGTCACTGAACCAAAAGAACTGGTGTGTTTTGGATTTCCTTACGTCGACACTTTAAATATTTTGAAAAAGTTCGGGCCGGGTGTTCACTTTTTGGGCTTTGGTGATGATGCCTCCTTAGACGAGTTGGAAGAAAATCTCAAGCTGGGAAAGTGGAATATCATGGCTTTGTTTTGTGAATGTCCATCAAATCCCTTACTCAAAACGCCTAATTTGCAAAGAATTCGCGAACTAGCTGATAACTTCAACTTTGCTGTGGTAGTCGACGAGACAGTCGGTAACTTTTTGAATATCCACGTGTTGCCTTTTGCTGATTTGGTGGCATCATCTCTTACCAAGGTGTTTTCCGGCGATCTGAATGTTATGGCAGGTTCGCTTATTCTCAACCCTGACCTGAAATACTACCCGGCACTTCAAAAGTATTTCAACGAAGAGTTCGAAGATCTTTTCTGGGTGGAAGATGCCTTGTACCTTGAACGCAACTCGCGAGACTTCGTTCAACGGGCTCACAAGATTGATACCACAGCTAAAAGCGTGGTCAAACTCTTGCAAAACTCCGAAAGCATTTCTAAAATCTACTATCCTCTGGTCAATGATACTCGCCATTATTACGATCAAATTAAGACTCCCGAAGGCGGTTATGGCGGTTTGATTTCCTTTCTTTTCCACAACCCCGACCATGCAGTTCGCTTTTTCAATTCAGTTAACCTTCATAAAGGTCCTTCTTTGGGTACCAACTTTACGTTAGCATGCCCTTACGCAATCTTAGCCCATTATCAAGAACTTGACGAAATTGCTCACTGGGACGTTGATCGTAACTTAATACGTATCAGTATTGGATTAGAGGATCCTGAGGAGTTATTGGCTGTTTTAAAGAAAAGTTTAGACCTTTGCATATAATATCAGTTCACATTTACATTATTTAAAAGTTCATACATCTTAACTTCAACCTATTGCCACCATCGGTAGCTTTTTCCCTGAGTAATTCTCAAGCCTGCATATACCCATTTTGCCCAGCCACGACAACATTGCCGACTTCAACGCGCGGGACCTATAAGCTGAAAGGTTCGATTGAGAACACCCAATTCACTCTCATCTTCATTAATATGTCCGACTTGTGGTACGTATACAGATTACAACATACAATCCAGTTATGACCAGCCTTCCACAGGTGCCAGTGCGGTACACCCACGTGTTCAATACCAGAGAAGTGTCGATGGCAACCGATTGCGTCGAGTCAAAAAATTTCGAATTATCTCGAACAGAAACTAACAATCTAGTCCCGTTTACGCTCCCTTTTTTGGCTCGATTGGTTGCGTTGCTGCCATCGTTTTCACTTGTTTCGGTGCCTCGTATGGTACTGCTAAGTCAGGTGTAGGTATTTGTGCCACCGCTGTCACCAGACCCGACTTGATTGTCAAGAACGTTGTTCCCGTTATTATGGCTGGTATCATTGCCATTTATGGTTTGGTGGTGTCGGTTTTGATTTCGGGTGACTTGAAGCAAAATTCTTACGCCTTGTTCACTGGCTTTATTCAATTGGGTGCCGGTTTAGCTGTCGGGTTGTCCGGTTTAGCTGCTGGTTTTGCCATCGGTATTGTGGGTGACGCCGGTGTTAGAGGTACTGGTCAACAACCTAGATTGTTTGTGGGTATGATTCTTATCTTGATTTTCGCCGAAGTGTTGGGGTTGTACGGGTTGATTGTGGCTTTGTTGATGAACTCGAAGGCTACTCAAGACGTTAAGTGCTAATCGATTGACATATATACGACATATTGTTTCAAAAAATATGAATACACACCCATGTTATTACTTACTTCTTACTTCTCTTAATATTTCCCAATGAAAACTTCGCCGACCTTTTTCGTGATCTCATTACGAATTAATGCAATAAGTTCAGGTACCAGTTGTGGTATTTGCCGATTGCGCTCCTTCAAAACCACACGCCAATCATATGATGTTCGGTCATCGTCAATATCAGATATGGCTTCGGTGAATAATGCCACGCCTTCAGCACGTTCATCCTTGGTTACAGCAAGTTCATAGTTGCTTAACAATTCAATGAGAATAATCAAATCTGAAAGCTTGAATCTAGTGTTACTCGCCAACACGAATGGTAAAAGCTGACACAACAATAAAGGGTAGAATTTTTTCGGCAAGTAGTTAAACCGCAACAAATGAATAAGAGGCCTCAATCTTACGTCCAAGGGCTCTCCTATGTCATTAGCATGAGCCTGCTCGAGCAGTTTAAAGAATTCGTACAAGACAGCGTATGGTGAAAGGTTTTGGGCGATAACTGGATGCACCTTGAAAGTGACCTGACGCGACACAACATTATTGATAAGATCATCATCCACAGGTCGTGATTGCATTACTGCAGAAGCAAAAATTACTTCCCAGCAAATATAATGGATCTTTGCCAAACCATCATGGTCAGGGTCATACAGAGATGGTTCGTGGACATCAAAGGACCCACAAAAGTTGTTAAGAGCTTCATAAAGCATGCCTTGATGGAAAGATGACATTCCTCGATCGAAATATAAACGTCTCTTAGTATTATCGAGCTCAAACTTGGCACACACAGTCACAGCCCATTCCATGTCATCGTTGGTTTGGCATTCGTAATTGGGAAGGAATTTGGCTACAGTGTCACGGTTAGTTTCGAAAGCACCTGTGGACAGACACATATCGGGATTCATCAAAATGCCAATACCCACAGGAACCAATGGATGAAGATTAAGGCAATCATAAGCATGGCGAGTCAAAAAGTATTCGGAGTAATTGCGACGACTGATTGATGAGTTGGAAGCATCAATGTTCACTGTAGTATTGTAATAATTGGCAAACATATCATGGTATTCCATGAATTTAGCAACGTAAGCGGCAACGCCTGGATTCAAATTGTAGATAGTGCTGAGTACCTTTAAGTAGTCACCTTGTAAAATATCAATGAACGCTTGTTGTGCCAACAGAAACTCATCTTGAGTAACATCAACAATGCCCACGGGTTTCTCATGAATGGCGACCTCGAAATACAGCGCGTAAATGTCTTTTTCGTCACGAACTTTGTAAAGCAGGAGGGCCAAAAACAAGTCGTACCACAGTTGACAGAATTGGGACGTTGTCTTCTCCATCCCTGATAAAATGCAAGAAACATCGTAGATCTGGGTGCACATTACCTTGTATTTGGCATCGACCTCATTCAAAACCAAGCTTACTGCATCGCGGAATTCTAGCAGAGATTGTTTCCAGTCAGCAAATTGACCCTTCAAAGAGAGGGGTTGATAATTTGAAACTATTGTAATCAAGTCTTCGATCACCTCAAAGAGTTTGGGGGATAATTGTTTCAATTCTTCAAACCCTGAGCTCTCAAGAACATTGGTGGTAACATCATGAAGGCCACGAATAATTAAGGTAGGAATGTAACTTGTCCAGAAGTCTTGATGAAGGTAAGGTTTGGCCGTGTCAACCATAATCTCTTGCACAAGTTCATTTGGCGGTTGGGGATCGAAATGATTAACCCATTCGCCGATGAGTGCGGGTTTCAATGCCAACGACGGGTAAAAGTTATTAGCATGGAGACACTCCAAAATGTATTGAAGGCAATTGAACCGTGACAGGACCGATGAATTCGAAGTCTGTTCAACCAATTGCTTGCAGTGGCTGACAAGATCGCCGAATGCCAAGCTAACTTTACCCTGCTGTTTCTGGCGGTAAGCATCGATGCCAAATCCCTGTGACACCACACCCAAACGGGATTGATTGGTACTGGATTCCGGCGCGGGTATCATGTCCTCTTGACTTAACTTCTCGAGAACCTTATACGAGTGGTTGATGAAGTCAACATACGCGTTGGCGTCACTGTCATTGGGAGGAATGGATCTTTCGTATTTGTCCTCATTGTATTCGAAAATAAGTGCTCTTTCCCCAGAAAACCATTCTTGGAGACTGGGCTCGTTGGTTTGAGTGGAGCTAAAAAAGACGTCAGCGTCATTGGATGGACTCACTGAAGCTGTCGTCGAAATGTCGTCCATTCTTTCAGAATCAGACGTCACGGAGACGTCGTCATCGGGAATTTGAAGCATCTCAATATCTTCATATTTGCTCATGATGCTCAATACCTCTGAGCGAGATGAAGATCGGTAAACTTGGGGAGTGCATACAACTAGCATTGGAAATAACAGTGCAAACACACCTGCAAGTGCGACGACATGCAAATAAACATCGTCATCATTAAAGACTTATGAAATTGATTAACTTACAGCCTATTTGAATTTTTTATGCCTCACCTCACGACTAATAGTATCATCTTTTTTGATCTCTTCAATGTTCACGATACCAAATGTATCAGCAGAGCTGCCATCCTCAAGTCTCCATGGCAAGCGGTCAGTATTCAAACCTTTGACGTGTTCCCATTCCTTTTCAGTCAAACGGACCAACTTATAAACCCCACCGTCAACAGTGCCAGTGATTATATTGTCTCCATCATTTGTAATGCAATTTATCTGGGCCCCTAGATTAGCCGCTAGCAACTGAGTGAACTCGACACCATCCCAATAGGCCACAGTTAAATTGCCGAGATCATCACCCGCTACTACGTCAAACCCCTCGTCTCCGGGAATGGTACATACTGCAGTGGGAAACAGAAGCGGCAATTGCAAAGGTACATGAGAAAGTTTTTGACCCTCCAGTTTCACAAACACTCCCCGACGAAGGTCAATCGAAACATGTTTTCCACCTCTCGTGGAAACATCAACACAAAATGTTGGCAATCTGTACAAAGAATCCTCGATGTATTCAAAACTCCCATTGCCAGCTTGCTGCACTTCAAAAATTGCGCTTCCACCTATGACAATCGTTCCGTTGTCGGTAACTTGCAAAGTTTGAAATTTCAACTCGGTGACATCGAGGCCTTTGATTTGGGAGTTCGTAGGTTGCTCAAAGTGATTTCCAAGGCTGAACACTCGAAAGGGGGTTGCTGATTTATTCATAAGGCAAACAATACTTTCGTCAAATTTAACCATACTGGGTACCTCCTCACCATCAGAAAATGTGTACTTTTTGGTAAGTGTCATTGTTTTCAAATCATAAAGATGAAGGTGGTAGTTAACAATGTATTCACCCATCTTAAGCTTGCGCTGACACGCTAGTACAACCAACTTCAGTTTAAGAATAACCATTTTAACCGGAAGTGCTTTTATATGACTTTGATCTGCCTTCCATGAGGGTGTAGATTCGGTGACGGAGCAAAAGTGTGCTTTTTCCTCGGACAAAACCACTAACGTTTCAGCCACTGCTACCAACTTATCAATTCTCAAAAATTGGTGATTGACAATGGTTTGAACTAAACCATTGATTGTGGAGTCGTACACAAACGCTGCCAAGTTGTCGCCACCGTAGCTAAATATCACAGTCTTATTGGAGATCAATGATAATTGCTCGGATCCGCCCACACCATGATTATACTCAATCAAAATAGGTGTCACGTTCTTTGTTTGCAAGTGGAGCTGATGGTACTCATTTTTTGTTGTGACGACAACAATCTCGAGATTTTCATCAACAAGCAAGGCAGCCATACTCGTGATACCTACACCATCAATAACGTGCGAGGCTAATATCTTTCCTTCATGAACCACCTGAATTTTACCGTTCCAATCAGTCACCACCAACCATCCACTTCGAGGCGATGCTAAACCAGACACTTGGTTTGTATCGATCGTTGCCAAAACTTCGAGTTTGCACATTATCGTCACGCCTTCGACAGAAGCTACCGCAATAGAGTCATCCTCAATACAGGCATGGATCCATGGCTTCTCGGATGACATAACAGTGTTTGAGTTAACAGCGATAGACTTTGAAGTGATCATCGTAACATCCGAAAAAGCAAGTACATTCTCGTTGGTCACAGACTCAAGTTCGTGATAGTCATCTTTCTGCCACCGATACCACTTATCATTCACTTTAAGCTTTGTTGTGTTACTGAAGCCAGAAATTTCAGCAACGTCACTAATTTCCAGATTAACGGTTACTTTGACTGCTTCTGGACGAATAATTGTTAAGTCTCCATCAATGAACAGACCTCTAAGGACGCAAATTTGCTTGTCCGATCTAGCAACTAGATCCATGATCGGGGGTGATGAGTTCAATCTTTGTACAACCTTCATGAATGGTTTTTTGGGTACGATTTTGAATAAAGCACTGCATCCAAATTGTGAAGTTGCTATGAACCACTCTCCAGTGATGTGATGAATATTCATTGCCAGTGTAGTCACGCCCAATGATATAATATCGATTCGACGAACATTAACAAATTTTGAGGTACGATTGGCATCAAAATTGACGATAAATGTACGCCCATCCTCGGCTCCTGCCACTATTTTATTCTTTTCAATCATTGATGCCGCGGAAAATTGTAAACCCTCAAATTGTGATTGTGGGAAACGTTTGGTGATAACATGATCGTTCATATTGACTGTGGTCAGCAGGTCAGAGTCAGAAAGTTCGATCATAGTACCCTCGCCAGCGAAGTAAAACATATGAGAAGAAGAAAAAACAACAACTCCCCCTTGGGGTGGTGCTACCATGACCTGGGGGGTATTGATGAATTCTTCGTACTGCTTTACCATCAACAAACCCTTAACACTGTCCACACGATATATTCTGAGTGAATAGACATAGTTTGTATCACGATATAATACAGCAATTTCGTCTTGAGATGTTAAGACAAGGTCGATAATCACAATGGCGCCAACGCCGAACGTCTCGACCTGGGGTGGCGCCTCCCGTCCCCGACTCCGCTTCCGAGGCTTTCTCCAAACCACTATTAGCAGGCCTTGAAAAACATGCAACAAAATCCAATCTTTGGTAGCAACAATGGACTGATAACTATCCACTGGCAGTTGTTGGCTCTCGCTTGCAAACTTTGCAACTGGATCAATGAGAATTTTATCATCAGCAAACTCAATAGAGTAAACAACGTTGTCAATGCCATAAATGAACAAGGTTTCCTCATGACGACCCATACATGTCACGATAGTTGGTAACTTGATTTGTCGTACGAGCAGTAATCGTTTGTCTTGAAATCGATGAATTTCAAGATGATCATTGACCACCAAGACTAGACAGTTCCATATCCATGCCAGACCGGTGATGGGGTGAGGCTCTAGCACAGTAGTCACGCCATACATGGCGTTTCAAGCAATGGAGTCCTTCTCATCATCAGTGCGACTGATGTGAGCCACAGGGAGAGACGATGGTTATTATAACTGATCGAAAAGTCATTTAATTAAATTCTGCAGTTGTCAGTGTAGGCCACATATTTCTATCTGAATTTGGCTTTTGACTTATTCAATCTCGATTAGAATAATCATGAGATTGTGGAGACGCTCGAAATTTTTGGTGTAACGAATCTAAACTCGTTCGAAGTAATCCGAATGACCTGCAGGGAGGTATTAATTAGTGCATCGGTGAGTACTTATGAGAATGTAATGGGATAGCTTCTCTCTACACTATTGATCACTCCCCTTCTTGTGATACATATTGTCAACAATTGAAAATTAGAGTTCACTAAAGTTATGCGATTGGTATTCGTAAAGTTTGTTGAAACAACTTTGCATTCAACAAATGAAGCCTATCGAGAATATTAAGGCTACCCACCTAATGAACGACTTCGAATGTGACGTGTCTAGTTTTATCGAGCTAGATTTGAACGCGTCGTAGTATCGCCCCTATTATTAGGCTGCAGAGAGCCACCTGCAGGGCGCTGTGCTTCGCTTATCAACGGGTGTCTAAAAGTCAAGACTAGAACGGAGGCAATAAACACTAAAGAACAATGTCGCATATGCTCCACATATATGGATCAAGATGAGGGCAGCAACAAAAGTCATAGCAACATCCGGACGTTGTTGTCCCACGCGATTACCACGCGATTACAAAGCAATCAAGTGGATTTCGACCTGATAGGCGTCACTCGGCTGTGTCGTACGAGGCATGTCTACAAAGGGTTAGAGTTTGCGAGCACGTCAAAGCTCCCTAGTAGATGTTTCCATAGCACCACCACGTTTTAGACATATTATCGTCACCAGGACGTGCTGTTTGTTTTATTTATATTACCTCTCACTGAAATCATGGCCGGGAGCGGAAACAAGTATACACTACACTAGCCGCATAAGGCAGGTGCAGGACTAAATTGTACACAAACCTTGGGAGACTCTTAGCAGCGAGGCAGTGTATCAAATCATTTGAACCCCGCGATGCTTCGACGTCACAGCAGTGTCCCACTGAAGAAGAGTCGACCACCACCATATGTTCCCGCACTGAAGCCCAAATTCACCCGCGACGTCACCGCTGACCCCACTGAGTTCAGTACCCACCGGTGTGGTTGTTGTGGAGCGACCTTACAATGCCCGTTAAACGAGGTAAAGATCCGTTGTGTCGGATGCGGAACAACAACTGTGTTCCAACCAGGGCCCAAAGACTCTGAGGGCGAGCCCATGAATGTCAACCACATTCGAGACCTCGCCCGTCAAGGCATGACTGTGTACACCAAGGAAACCTTACATCAAGCTTTTGAGCCATTGCTGGAGTACCTTTACCTCGGGTTCTCTCGATTCAACAGTCTTAATCGCTCGTTCCGCAAGAATCCTCGCAGCCGGAACGCTCACTATCTGAGCTCCAACTTGGACTATGACACTATCACGAAGGTCTACTTGATGCTCACACGATTACCTACGAAATTGCCCTTATACCGGGCTTTACTGGGGGCAAGTGATTTACTCAAGCGCCTTGTACCCCGTGACTATGATGATCCACGCAACTTCCTTTGGATCTTGATCATCCTTGAAAATCCATTTCTTAATCGAGCATTAGTGCTTGATCCAAACCCGGATTTACGACAGATGGCCAACGCCCCGGAAATAAAGGTCTTATGTCACGATTTGTTGAAGCGAGGATTAGGAGTCCTTGCCAACAACGTTACTTCAAAGTCACTTAATTATTTGGCTAGTTGGTTCTCCAAAATGCCCCCCGGCACCTTTACCGCACGCATTGATCTCATCAATCATTTCATTACATTTCATTTGAAAACCTACTACCAGTTGGCGCAAAAGCCTGAGAGTCGACGACGATCAGTGGGCCACTCGAGTCAGATCCATGACGCTGAGTACACTGACTACGTGGCTCTCAAACGACAATTTGAGGATGATCAACCGCATATGAGTGATGCCAGATCTACGAACCTGGCTTCATTAAGTCGCAGTCGGCAAAAGTCTGCCACACGAATTACCATCCATCAGTATGGTAATAACTGGCAAATCGAAGCAGCTCTGAAAGTGATGAACTTTTTTTTGAAGGCAAATACTATACGTGGTGCTGAAACCGTTCCCATTCTGAACTTTTATAATTCACTTGTCGACTTCGTTGACATTCTTCTTGACTTCGATTCTTGGCTCCGTAAACGTCAGACTACGTCTCGTCGTCGTCAAAGTATTGATGGGATACCTACTGATATTGATATGGTGCTTGAAACCCTTCACGGTCTGCGGCGAACACTAAACGAAACGGCAAAATTCTACTTTTGTCAATACCCTTTTTTGATCTCGTTGGGTAGTAAGATGCGAATTCTTGCTTACGAAGCCCGACGGCAGATGGAAAGAAAAGCTGAAGAAGCATTCATTACAGGACTTGACCAGAACACTCAAATTGAAGTATACTTCAAAATTGTTGTACGTCGGGATCATATCATCAGTGACTCGCTTGCCGCCATAAAACACAATCCCAACAATTTGAAGAAAACACTTCGGGTCAAGTTCACCGATGAACCTGGAATTGATGCTGGTGGTATCAAGAAGGAGTGGTTTTTGTTGCTCACACGAAATCTCTTTAGTCAATCGACAGGGATGTTCGTTCACGTCGATGACTCCAACTACTTGTGGTTCAGCTTATATCCACGTGAGGGCAGTGATGTTTTTTATTTGTTAGGAGCTGTTTTAGGTTTGGCTGTTTACAATCTGACTATTTTGGATCTCCACTTTCCACTTGGATTTTACAAAATCCTACTTGGACAACGTTTAAACACTGAGAACTTCCAACAGTTATACCCGACGACTTATGCTAATCTCTTGAAGCTTCGTGAGCTTCTGGATGATGACTTGAAAGCCTTGGATTTAACCTTCGAAACTTCGGTTACCGACTCTGAGGGACGAGTGCACAACCGAGAGTTGACACCGGGTGGATCTAAGGTAGTGGTGACCAAGTCCAATCTTGAGGATTATATTCTGAACTATTGCTCCTTGTTTATTCACCTGGGAATCAAATCCCAAGCGCGAGCCCTTAACCGTGGATTTCAACAAGTTTGTGGAGGTACTGCTTTATCACTTTTCTCAGCTGAGGAGATTCAATTGGTGTTATGTGGTTCTTCTGATACCCACTTGGACGTGGACACTTTGAGAGCAGTGACGAAATACGTTCGATTCGGTGAGAGTCGTGAGGACGCCGAAGCTACGCCAGTGATCCGGTGGTTTTGGCATTGGCTTACGCATGCACCGACGAGCAAACAGCGAAAGTTCCTTATCTTTGTTACAGGGTCCGATCGCATTCCTGCTACGGGTATCCAGAATATGAGCTTTAAGATCAGTAATGCTGGGAATGATAAAGCCCATTTACCAATTGCACACACCTGCTTTAATGAATTGTCTTTATATAATTATCCGTCGTACGACACCTTGCTGGACAAGTTAAATATGGCGGTCTACGGCAGTGCTGGGTTTGGTATTAAATAGATATTAGCGTTAATATACATGCACAGATACTAGAGCGCAATTATCGGCTATGGTGGCAGATCGCACCATGTTTTGAGCCCGGGCAGTTCTCACAGCCAATCACGACCAGTTCATTAGTCCTACACACAACCCGCACCTCACTATCAATCGAAAACGAAAAATTTCACTACCAAAACCCCCGAGTTACTAATGTCTTTGGCGTTTAGAGGTTTGAGATCCTACAGAGGGATTGGGCTTAGAGGCCTTTCGACCACCACCAAGGTGATGTCGTCGTACCAACACCCGGACTTTTCCAACTACCTTAGCAAGGACGAAGGCAAGAACAAAGCTTTCACCTACGTCATGGTTGGTTCCATGGGTTTGTTGAGTGCCGCCGGTGCCAAGTCGACCGTCGAAGCTTTCCTTTCCTCGTTTGCTGCTTCGGCCGATGTGTTGGCCATGGCTAAGGTCGAAGTCAAGTTGGGTGCTATCCCTTTGGGCAAGAACGTTATTGTCAAGTGGCAAGGTAAGCCTGTGTTCATCAGACACAGAACTCCCGAAGAAATTGAAGAAGCCAACGACGTTGACATCAAGTCTTTGAGAGACCCGCAAACTGACGCCGATAGAGTGAAGAAGCCTGAATGGTTGGTCATGATCGGTATCTGCACCCACTTGGGTTGTGTGCCTATCGGTGAAGCCGGTGACTTCGGCGGTTGGTTCTGCCCCTGTCACGGTTCCCACTATGACATCTCTGGTAGAATCAGAAAGGGTCCTGCTCCGTTGAACTTGGAAATCCCCGCTTACGACTTCACCGACGACGAAACCTTGTTGGTCGGGTAATTATGTACAAAAACCTTGCATGTGAGCTTTCACTAATATAAGAATATTTATAGTACTAGTGATCCGCGTTACCGGCGTTCCGCTGGCCGAATTAAAGACTAAAAGATAAAAAAGAGTTTACAATATTTGGTTGGCGGTATAGATTAGTCGATATTTGATCATTGTCATTATATTAAAATCATTACTGTTTACGTTGGGGTCACCAGTGTCCTCGACCGTCTTCTTCGGTTTGTAGTATCCCGAGATGGGATCAGCGAACCTGCTGGTTTGCGTCTTGGATGCATATTCAGTACAGGCTCTGGAGTCAGTTGACAGCCTTCATCGCTATCGTCAGAACCGCCATGGTCATCTTCGCCGTCAAATAAGTGGGCATTTCCCACTGGAGCCTGGACGTCTGCTAGCATCTCTTTGAACTGGTCTTTAGTGACAGTCAGTTCACGAGACACTTTCTTTAGTAGCAGCGAGCCCAGAGCAATTCTAGCTCGTTTGGTAGGTGGTTTCGAAGTAGATGTGGACTCAAACTCTGGTAGAAAACTTTTCAAGTTGAGATTTGTGTTAGGATTAAGTCCCCGTTGTATTAGCAGTTGTATCAGTGCTTCACCTTCCAGATCCTGTTTGATTTCCACTATGATTTGACCACATTGGAGAGCGGCATCGTCTTGACTGGCGAACTCTCGCGAATGGGCATTGCGAGCATGACTGATGAACTGCAGTATCGACTTAAAGTTAGCTCTACCACAGTCAGGACAGGATATTTTGACAATCACGCCATCGGTACGACGGAAAAGACATCCAAGTCGCTCGGGATTTATCAGCGATGACACCACAGGACGTAAAACTGACGTCAGCGATCGAGTCCGATATGTGTGGTTGTTGGTGGTGGCAATGTCGGTAAACGTCTTAGGTGGAATGGTCGTCAGATGGACTGCAATAGCTGATTCTGCCGCTTCTTGGGCTTTGATCGCTGCTTCCTCTTGTTGCTTGAGATCAGCGTATGTCGTGTTGATGGCTTTGTTGAGCAAGTCGAAATATTTGACGGCAAAGTCATGGGGTTCATTTTCAAGACGAGTGGTGTGGGGTATATCGAAGAATTTCCGGAGCATTACCATTTGCCCCTCACACTTGCCGAGCTCTGCATCTGCCATTTGAAGCTCTTTGTGCTTGAGACGAATTTCAAGATCAAGTTGCTCCGTAAGAAGCTGCTTTAACTGATCAAGGGGTAGTGTCTCGAGCTTGCGTATGACCTCGTCAAGGCTGGGAAGACTCATGGTCATGGAGACTTTCGTGCGCTCAGGACGGGTTGGTTTAGCGCCATGTACGATTGCAACTTCTATGCAGGTAAACTTTACTGACAAACTCAAACAATTAAATAGCGCGGCTTCGAATCCTGATGGAATAGTGCAATAAAAGAAAAACTGCGCAGTAAGCAACAGTTCCGGTGCCAGTAGTCGAAGCCATGCTTACGCAACCATCAACCCAAGTTTGATGAAAAATGACAAGAATCTAGGCTAAAGTGGTACCTGAGCTTCTTTATGTTGACCAACAACTGCTCATAATTTTTCGGGTTTAAGCAAGAAGGACATTAACCACCGGCGGGTGGCTTTCTTCACTGGTGCGATTGTCCACTTATCGCATCTGGCAACCCCATCTGCCCCTCATTGCATGCCGTTCATCTGCACCTGGTTGCAGTGCAATCGCAATATATAGCGACGACTTTCCGCATTCAAGATACTCTCCAGTGTTTGCTCTTCTCGATGTTTCGTCTAGCAAGCCGTCGCATTGGTTTGAACACCATTGGCAAACGATGCCGCTTTAACCTGACGTCGACGAAGGCAGGTATCAGATCATCAGTATCTCCAGCGTTGGCGTTCGCTGCTGGGGCCGGGATCGTCGCTGCTGCGGCCTACTTTGCGACTCCATCCAAATCGATTGCACCGGTGGACACCCGGTCGACACTTCCCTTGGACCTGTGTCCTAGCCCCGTATATGCCACCAAAGCGGAGGTCGATCAGGCCATTGAAGAAATCAAAAATATGTTCATTCACGACACTCCCATCAAAGTTATCGATATGCTGTTGGTGGTGAACAACACCCAGGAAGAGTTGGATAGCCACAGTGACACGTACTTCAATTCTCATCACGCCGCTCCTGATGAAAGACCTTACTACGTTGTGTACCCCCGACTGACCGAGGAGACTCTGGCAGTGATGAAAATTTGCCACAAATATAAAGTCCCCGTAGTGCCCACCTCGGGACGGCTGTCACTTGAAGGTCATTTCATTCCCACTCGTGGTGGTATTTCCCTTGATTTATCCACTATGGATGAAGTCATCCAATTGAACAAGACTGATTTGGACGTCACCGTACAAGCGGGGATGGGTTGGGAAACGCTTGCTGACTACTTGGAAGAATATAACTTGTTCTACTCAATTGACCCTGGTCCCGGTGCTACTGTTCTGGGCTGCCTAGCCAATAATGCTTCCGGGACTAATGCCCTGCGTTACGGTGAAGCATACAAAAATGTGATTAATCTTACCGTGGTGTTAGCTGATGGTACCGTCGTCAAGACTAAACAGCGGCCTCGTAAGCTGAGTGCTGGCTACAACTTGAACAATTTGTTTGTGGGCAGTGAAGGGACTCTTGGTATTATTACTGAAGCCACCGTTAAGTTGCACGTCAAGCCGGCAATTGAGCTGGTGGTGGTCGTGCCTTTCCCTCTGATTAAAGATTGTGCTAACGCTGTGAACGAGATCGTTTTGTCTGGGATTCAATTGAACGCTATCGAAATGTTGGATGATAAGATGATGCATGTTATCAATGCTCTGGGCGAAACCCTGCGTAAGTGGGCCGAGCACCCCACATTATTCCTTAAGATTGGCGGACCTAACCATCCTGCTGTGGACGCTATCACCGACCAAGTTCAACAGATTACTAAAAACAACCACAGCTTCGACTTTGAATACGCTAAGCTGGCGCAGGAAAAGACTGAATTATGGCTGGCCCGTAAGGTGGCATTGTGGTCAACTATCAACCAGGGTAAAGAAATCGATCCGGACATGCAATTGTGGACTACCGATGCTGCCGTCCCCATTTCTAAATTACCAGAATTTTTGACCGAGACTAAAGCGGACATCGATGCACATGGGCTTAGTAACACCCTTGTGGCTCACATCGGTGACGGTAATGCTCACTCATTTATCATTTTCACCCCCGACCAGCGTGAAGTGGCCGAGAAAGTGGTGAATCGCATGGTGAAGCGGGCAATCGATATGGAAGGTACCTGCACTGGCGAGCATGGCGTTGGGTTTGGGAAGCGCGACTATTTGTTAGAGGAAGTTGGTGAAAACCTGGTGGATGTCATGAGAAAGGTCAAATTCGCCTTAGACCCATTGCGGATTTTGAATCCCGATAAGGTCTTCAAGTCAGACCCCAACGAACGCCCACAATACCATGGGGGCTTAGTTGACACCACCAAGCGCGCTTAAAAAGCAATTACAACCTATCATCTATTTACGCGCCTCGAAGTACGTTAATTGCTGATTCACTCGCCTCATTGGCAACACAATAAGAAATAGTAGACCGCATTCAACATTCCCCTCTCCTATTATATTTCGCGAATACAATGACGGTGCCAAGCGCGGTGGTAATGGCACCGCTCGTGTTTCGACGTCGGCGATTGCTTGCTATAGCTTCGAGAATGTGCTGCATACCAGCCTACGGTGTGGGCCCTGTTCGTATACACGTACCACGTCGCCTAATACTTGCCTGATAGCGCAGGGATTCTACACAATTTTGTGGTCATTTTTCATGTTGCTAAGATATGCTGGTGGGCTAGTGCAGCGTGTGTTTTGACCATAGACCAAGGAGCTAGACCACTGCATGTCGTATGCGCGGCTAAATTATATGCAGGTAGAGATACCAAATGGTGCCGCACACGCGATCGCGTGCTCTACCATCCGTTGCCTTACACCAAGTAATGCTGGTGGACCCTCAGACGCTTGAGCGCGTGTTTAAGGATCGTGCATTCGTCGAGTCGCTGACGCTGATCAACCCTGAGGCACTCGCGCTTCTGGCTCGCTATGTTGACTACTTCATCAATGAGGCTATCGAAAGATCAAACGAGACGCGTATCAAGGAGCAGAATAGCAGCAGCAACATTCGTACGGGGAACATTTTGACCGAAGAGCACTTGATCAAGAATGCTGGGACGTTAGTATTGGACTTCTAGTGAACCACGAACTTACGTCGACAAAGCCCCCTCTAACCTGTCTTGATCCATTACCACGAAGTGGATTACACGGTCGCCATGGTACCCAAATCAAGTATTGTCCACACACCGAATCGAAGACGATCCTGTTTCTGCGAGTCTTGCTCGGCACTGCTGATGGACATGTAAATAGGTATTTTAATATCACCTTCAACATCAACTTCATTCTGATTCTCCTCTAATGAAAGTTCTAAACCCACCAGGGTCCAGTAATGCCCCGACTCCTTGAAATGAGATACTGACGTAGGAAATTGTGGAGCATTCCCTCGTCGAAGTACAAGCTCAGCCGCCGCCACAGACGAGAAATTTGTCAACATCACCACGGGCACACGTTTAACCAACTCACGTTGAGCGTCCTCTATTGAGGACGGGCCTACCGTAAACTTGGCTGTGGGGAGACGAATACCAACCACCACATTGTTTGGGAGCGACGTGTAGTCTGAAGGCAATATAGATGGAGCAGCAAGCGTTACCATAAGTGGTTCCTTAAGTGGGCTTATAACCGATAATACCACCGGTACAGGCTTCCCATCCTGCAACACTGGTTGCAGCGGCAAGGTAGCTTTGATTTGAGGAACAACGTCTATCGCCAAGGACTTTACGTGGAACTTCGATATCGTTGGCAGCTTCACATCTAACATCGGCTCTTGAAGCACGGTACGGCATTCACCGCATTTGACGGAAAGCTTGGAACACAACTTGCGCCCTTGTGGAATGGGGGGTAGTGTGGTATCAGTAATCGAAGGTGGTTCAATATCGTCGTCAACTTTGATCCCCAGTAATTTTAAATTGGCCTTTGTTACCTCATCAAGCGTCGACGAGTCAGTAGCGTTGCTGTTTAGTTGGCGAGCCACTTGGCGAAACCATTGCGTTTGCGTACCACCAACTTCATCTTTGACGATTGTGTGGAGGGATTTGGCGGTATGGATCACCTTGGTTTGGTAAGAATAGGAACACCCTCGACACTGGAATTGGAATTGCTTGCCATTGTCGACATCATCAACGGTTATCCCAAGCGAGGTATCACACTGGGGACACTCGAAACAGTTTTTGACGCAGCGGTAGTGCTCTGAGTCAGGAAGGTATTTGGTGAGACATTGGGGGCAGTGCTTGCTTCTCACCGTCGCATGGCAACGACGTAGGAGGCGCAACTGTTGACATCGGGGGCAGAAGTAAGCTTTGGCGAGGATGGCGGCGTCTTGGATACGGGGAACATCGCCACTTGCGTCCAGCGCCCCAGCGACCCAAGTGTCCATAGATCTATAGCTAGCGTGGTCCGTTGATTGTCTGCAGGAGATATCTCTTGGTCTCGTAACAAAAGCCGCACGCACAGCGGGTAGAGTGGATGACTGTGTTGCCGGCGTGTTTAGGCACAAGGGGCATGAAAGGTCATCGGACATAGCATACCGAGGCTGCGACTTTAATGGGTGGCTGATGCCTGGTTTGCTATAATTAGAAGACGGGAATGTTTCTCGACATAGGGGAACACCCCTTTCTGTGGGGATTACGCGGAGCATCGGTAACTACGTACAAGGCGGCCACCGTGCTACCGCTAGGCGCCGACAGCTACGCGGGGCCAATCACAGTGGCGTCGATCGATTTTTCTCGATGGATTTCGACCCGCGTCCAGAACTACCCCCATCCGAAAAGACGCAAAAGTAACGGGCTCGAGAGGTCACCACGGGGTAAAAGCTCGCGAACTCGGCGGCGGCGACACCACTAACGAAAGTAGCGCACGATGTCATCGTGCAGTACGAGACAAGTCAATCTCCCATCTCGCGATTTAATACTGGAATCGGAGACGTGACCTCGGCCTGACAACGTGATGTGTGTAGCCACCACGCCGTCGTTGCTAACGGGTAAGACGAAGGCTTTAATACTTGCGAAGAGTAAGATAAGCACCCCCAGGATTTGCTAGTCGACTTGACAGGCAATGATGACAGCGCCTATTGTCCTGTGGTTTTAAGCGTTGTACCGGCATTTGCCCCCGACCCTAGCGACGATGGAGGACAGCCACTGGGGCTCATGTGCATGGATGGGGGAGAAAACTGGTCAGTGCAGTAAAACAAAATGCACGCCACCGAAGCAGTTTGCAGAGAATAGAAACAGTTAGCACCGAGTAAATGCAGTTCTAGAGTCGGTCAACTAAACTAGACTGATATCGGAAGTGTCTGGCGAACTTTCGTCCGTTGGACCATTACAATAGTGGACCGCCGTCATGGCCTCGAAAATATTTTTTTTCCTCGATGATGTCATTGCCGTAGACTAGAGTCTAGACTCAAATCGCTTCAGAAAATAACCTGGGGTCGCATGAAAACGTATATATAGACAATTCTTCCAAAAACTACCCCCTCCCTGCCCAAGTGCGATCGCGGCAGATGAGTATATCCCCGATATGTGCCTCCCCCCAGTTTCAATTCCCTACCGAAAAGACTTCCTTTGACTACTTTACCATCACCCCCACCAACAAGTACCTGACCCTGAATGTCACGGATGCCACCATAAGCGAAATGGTCGAAGACACGGCGCCGGCGCCGCTTCTGCAACCAGCAGTGGAGTTTTCTCGAGAACGACCACTGGGACTGCCACATTTGAAGAAACAAATCACGCTTCCTCTGATTTCGGTCTACAGTGAGTTGCGCCTCCATCTGGTACCCTCGACTAACTTCCGTCAACAAATCCTGGGATTGGGATCCAAGGTTGTGTTTGTGGATACTATTGGCAATGATTACGATCAGCTGACAATTTTGGATGTACGTCCGTTCACTGAATACGTCACTCGTCGCGTAAAGGGTGCCATCAACCTTTGTTTACCGCTGACGTTGTTGAAGCGCCCGAACTTCACCTTCCAACGATGCATTAATTCTCTTCCCACGAATGAACGTAATCGCTTCGATCTGTGGCTTACGGAGAAGGCGAATTGTGGTGAGCCTTACGCCATATACGTTTACGATGCATCCCCAACGTCAAGTACAATCTTCCACATCTGCCAAAAGATGGTATCCCTGCCTCTTTTGACGGACAAGTGCCAAGTCAAGGTATTTGGAATTAGTCTGTTGCCCAACTTAGAGTTGATTGAGCTGGGCGATGTGGATAATCTGCCCGCAGAAGTACCTGATCAACTTCATCTTCCGCCCCTTAAAATCGAGGAAACTGGCCCGCAGACGTTGCCACAATTCAAGCCACTGATGACGCCAACGCTTTCGAACTTTGCCCTCCCTAAACTTCCCCCTGCATCTTTCAAAATCCGGCATAATGAGGAGCTTCTCACCAGCAGGGGCCCAACCCATACCTCGCTCACACTCGAGAAGAATACCGCAAACTTGTTCAAGCTTACCCGTCTACCTGGAAATATTAATACCTTGCCGCAATGGCTTCAACTTCCAGCGTCAAATGCTGATGCTCTCAGCAAGGATTTCAATAAGTTGGAAAAAGGTGAGCAAAAGCGTTTGATCATGGCGCTTTCACTTAACCCCGATGCTAACAGCCAATTGTCGCCTCTTGTTGATGAAGTGCCTCCCCAAATTCTGCTGGGATTTGAATTTGGACACAAGAACCGGTATAAGGATATCTTCTTATATGAGCATCTGAGAGTCAAATTGGGCACTAGCAATTGCGACGCTGACTATATTAATGCGTCGTACATCAACCCATTTAAGGATCTTGGAAAATATACTCAGCCATGCAACGATTTCAACAAGCAATTGAGTTACATCGCCACCCAAGGGCCGTTGTGTCAGACTATGGGCGACTTCTGGAAACTCGTCCTAATCAAGCAACTGCCCATCGTCATTTCACTCACAGATGAGGTGGAGAATGGAGTACTCAAATGCCTGCCTTTCTGGAAAACTGGCGTTTATTACTCAAACGATGATGTGATTAATGTCAAACTTGTCGAGCTGTACCTGATGTCACTGCTGTTGGAAATCCGTCTGTTCTCGGTTCTGATGAAGACCTCCAATGGCAATGTGGTCACACAAGCGGTACTTCAGTTGCACGTCTTGTCTTGGCCCGATATGGGCACTGTACTTTGCCCCGACGAGCTTTTACTGGTTGTTAAGCTCAAGAATGATGTGCTTCTGAGGCTCAATCTTGATGGAGTCGAATACCCTTCCGTGATTCACTGTCTGGCTGGTTGTGGACGTACAGGTACGTTATGCACAATCGATACTGTGATCTCCATTTTACAGCATAATCATCTGAGTGACTTACCCCAAGATCCAATTTTGAGCATTGTTGATAATTTACGCCAGCAGCGCATTCTGATGGTTCAAAACTTGCGCCAGTACTACTTGGTGTATGACACCGTGTTGGACTACTTAGCCAACCCAACCCTTGGTGATGGTTTGGTTGACTTGAGTGTGATCAAAAACTTCATCAAGGGCAGACAGGATAATTTATAGAGAATACCCACATACGAGCGATAACCAAGGCGATAGATTAACGGTAGTTTTCTTCGAGGAGCAGCCCATTATTGAGGCGGCAATTTTGGCTGATGTCACGTACCACACCTGACGATTAGATTGTGGTTATTTTTGAGTCAAGTACACACAATCTTCCGGCTGAGTAAAATTCATCTAATTGTAGCCTGCATATAAACCCGCACCTCAAATATAGCTAAGCGTCACCAAACTCAACCTAACAAAGTGGCTCACTCAACATGAGATGCCTTCAACTTGCGCTTACTTTGTTGACGGTGGCTCTTGCCGCCGCTCAGGCCACAGTTGAGGAGACGACAGAACAGTTTGTCAAATCTCTGCTGACACACACCAACAACTGGGCTGTCCTCGTCCTGACGTCACGATTCTGGTTTAACTATCGACACATGGCAAATGTGCTCAGTCTCTACAGAACGGTGAAGCGATTAGGGATTCCTGACCTGCAAATCATTCTCATGTTAGCGGATGATATTGCTTGCAACCCCCGTAACGCGTTTCCGGGAACTGTCTTCAACAATATGGATCAAGCGATTGATTTGTATGGTGATCTGATTGAGGTTGACTACCGGGGATATGAGGTTACCGTGGAAAACTTCGTTCGGTTACTCACCGACAGATGGGACGAGGACCAACCTCGATCGAAGCGGTTACTCACAGACGAAAACTCAAATATTTTTATTTACTTGACAGGCCATGGAGGCAATGAGTTTTTGAAGTTTCAGGATGCTGAAGAGATTGGCGCCCACGACATTGCAGATGCTTTCGAGCAAATGTTCGAGAAGAAGCGATACAATGAGATCCTTTTCATGATTGACACTTGTCAAGCTAACACTATGTATAAGCATTTCCACTCGCCCAATATCTTGGCTGTTGGTTCTCTGGAGTATGAGGAGCTGTCTTACTCTCACCATTCAGACATGGACATCGGGGTGGCAGTTATTGACCGTTTCACTTATTATACTTTGGACTACCTCGAAAAGATCGTCAAGAACTCTTCTGAAACAATGAGAGATTTACTCAGTGTTTACACTTTCGAGAACATTCATTCTAATGCCGGTTGGCGTACGGATTTATTCAAGCGTCCCATGGAAGAAGTGAAGTTAACCGATTTCTTCGGTAACATTCAGGAAGTGGTTGTTGACAACGTTGAGGACGATTTGTTGTACATTGCCAACCATGATGAATTAGGCAATCGCGTTGCACCAATTAAGCATTCTAAACCCAAGCTTAACTACACATTGGCAAAGGTGACATACGTGGACGATTCTGTCGACCAAATTGCCGTGTACGTTACTCCCACAAAGATGCGCATATTGAGCGCGTTGGGTATATTGTCTTTGGCATTCTTGTGGTGGGTAGTGAAGTAAGTTTTGACTTGTTGGAGTCGTCGTTGTACTGGGTATGACGTTTTTCTCTATATATTTGAACTACTACAAATACAGGTTAGATCATTAACGTTACAAGCATGGAAAATCTCGAAAGAATTTAATAGGATTATCAAATAGTTGCATTGGCAGTGCTTAACATTCAACAGCTCTTCTGCAAGCTGTGCCTATGTCTTCCATAACATCCTGCACATACGCACGGTAGCGCTGAGTGCTCATCGCATTTTTGAAAATGTAGGTGAAGTTCGAAAAGTTTGTCTCCAACCATCAAGCATGTCTGCCCCCAACCCTAAGGCCTTCCCTCTTGCCGACTCGAACTTGTCGCAACAAATTCTTGACCTTGTTCAACAAGCCCAAGGGGTCAAGCAGTTGAAGAAGGGTGCTAACGAAGTGACTAAGTCGCTCAACCGTGGTATCGCTGAATTCATCATCATGGCCGCTGACACTGAACCTATTGAAATTCTCTTGCACTTGCCTTTGTTGTGTGAAGACAAGAACGTTGCTTACGTTTTCGTTCCCTCGAAGGCTGCTCTTGGCAGAGCTTGCGGTGTGTCGAGACCTGTGATCGCCGCTTCCATCACCACCAACGACGGTTCTCCCATTAAGAACCAAGTTTACACTATCAAGGACAAGATTGAAACCTTGTTGATCTAAGCGAGCGGTCCGATTAATGACATGATCTCGAAAGAGTGATATATAGAGTTTACGAATAAAAACCGATCAACCTAGCTTCCTGCTTTGTAGTAATATAACTAGGTATAATATGCTATGATCGTGCCGGATTTCTCACCGGGATTGATCATCGGTCCATCGTCTTCGCACACCTCATCGCATGTCTGCTGAGGCGATAACAAGGTACCTCCGGTCCAAAGGCGATGTCAATGACATCTGTAATCAAGCCCGACGACTCGTTAATGCAGAACTTGAAGTAACGATTCCCGACGCCACGGGTTTCGTTCTTACTTTGTTTTGTGACCGCCTAAATGAGTCTCAATCCAAGTGGAGGCTGAATCCAGAAGTGTGGAAGACATTGGGCGAATTGTGGGATAAGCTGACAATATCACAACGGCTGAGGATAGCCAAACGTTTGAAGATTGTTGAAATATTGACCAATGTTATTGCTGAAGGTGACCTTAACGTCTTCCAACCCATGTTTGAGTTCATGGACAAAGTGGTGACAAAGGAATACATTGCGATGGACGAAAACCAAGCAATTTCATTATTGTCAGTGTTCACGAAGTGCCAAGTTCTGGAGCCTCTTTGGGTTCAAGTGATTACAGCCTTACATCAATTACACACCACGGATGTGACATATCTGCAAATGTCCAAAAAGCTGTACATCAAGTTCATCACTTCATGTATGCTGTCGATCGTTCTGCTCAATGTGAAGGATAACACCAAACCGTTTCTTCAAATTCTTCGAGATGTTATTTGCCTGGATAACTTCGCTTCCCAGTTTCTCACGATTTGGCAGAAGGAGAATTTGATTAACCAGTTCTCATCAGAAACCTTGAATTATTTGTTTGAATTGCTCATATCACATTTCCAACTGATTGATGTATCGTTTTGCGAGTCATTGTATCGAAATTTCACTACCAACAACGAGTCAAACGATGAATCTCTTTTAGAGATTTTATGTCGTACTCAACGACCGCTTTCGTACCAGTTTTTCAAAGACATCTACCAAAGGGAGGTCAAAAGACCCAAACTCAACATAAACATGATCCAATACCTATTCTCATTAGATGTTGAGCTTGCAATCGAGCATGCTACTGAAATAATGCACTGCGTCGATCAGGAAGCAGGGACGAAATTAATACCTGTGATTACCGAAGCTTTCGTCAAAGGTAGAGAAGCAAATGATTTCCTACTCAAAGTATGGCCCCAAGCAGCAGAGCATGCCACGTGGTGGTATGCCGACGCTATAACGAACCAAGTCTCAAAATTCATCAATGACTTGACCGTGAGACAACTTACGTCGTTGATGCCAGAATTGAATGATGCAGTTTTTACATGTGTGCTTGAGGGTCTTAACGATAGTGGATATCAGAAAATTGCGTCTGTAAAAGAAGCCGTGTTTAAAAGAGTGAATAATCCTGATTGGAAAACGATTTTCATGATTTTGTGTCTTTACCCTGAGGAAAAATCTAAATTGAAATTTCCAAAATTCACAACTGAGCCGTATTGTTTGTGGTCTAACTGCCGGATGATTGAAATTGGTACCTCTGTGGAGAACATAAACAAAATGAAAAGCGGTCTTATTCTGATCCTTGAGTCAAACTTAGCCTTCGTGCTCAAACGTTGGTTACCGGTAGCCGAATATCTTGGTGTGAGTAAGGAAGTAGTAGATCTACTTTTCAAATTGCCTGTGGATGACATTCGTCACCAACTTCAGCACGCTGGTTCAATCATCTTCGAGTTACACAACTTGACGTCAGCCATTGTCGATGCCATTATCGAACATAAGCTCGATGAGTTATACACCATCATACCACCCCAAGCCATTAGTAAGCGACAGCGGCGCCATGCAGTGGAAACTTTGTCCAATATAGTGACGAGTACTTACAGCAAACCAGCTGTAAAAGCCTTGCATCATTTACTAGCCATTGATGCAACATTACAGTCCCCTATCGAGTCGAACTTCTCAAATATTCTTCTACTCTTGAAGAATTCTGAGGGAGATTACATCAACGAGCTGTTCTCATTAGCACAACGTATTTGGAATGAGCACTTGCGGCAAATGGCGAATCAATCTTGTAAAGCATATGTTGAGAACGCCATAGATCAATTACAAGATCATGAGGGACAAAAAGAGATTACACCTGAATTGCGAATGACGATGGTTGTACTCTCAGCGTCATCGGTGCCAGAAGAGTTATCCCCCAGAATCAAACGTTTGTCACTGAAATTTGAAAAGGTCATTCATAACCTACTCAGAAAATCTGAAAGTCTTGATGATGAAACCAAAGCTTGGTTAATTTGGGGCCTCTCTTTGACAAGTGACCCTGATGTTGAGGAAATCATCAAAACAATAAAATGCCTTGGAACCTCAACCTCATCAGCGGTTAGACGAAATCTCTTCCGTCTAGTAACGAAAGTGTACCCTACAGAGATCAAAGACGTTGTTTATATCTTGGCTTTGTTTTACTCCCTCACAGCTCAAGGAGTAGAAGATCTCACCGAGGATTTGAGTGAATATTTTTCTAAGACCATTGACGCCGTTTTGACGGCTACAGTCAATTTCGTTGTGTATTCCATGTCAGAAATCTCCTTGGAAAACTCTGAGGTGTTTGCCAACATCGTTAAAGGGTTGCTCTCACAAATCACGAAGTCCACGAATGGTGGTCAAGCTGCAGTCTCATTATTGTTTCTGGCAATTATTCAGGGGACCAACCAAATGACACCGAAGGCGTTGGAAATCGTTTTGGAAGCGATCAACTTAGCTCTCATCCATAAGAGTTGGCTTTTTGACCAATATACTCTTGAGCAAGTCTTGTTACTCGTGTCAAAAGTCAGCAATATCTTGCAGTTGAGCCGTGAAACCGAAGCGGAGTCATGTTATTTGAAAGCCATTCGAGTAATTTCGCTGATCGTCTTATTACATCGCTACCGGCTTCTGCAACGCCATCACTTATTGATTGCATCGCTCACGTCTTTACTTGTACCCTTAAGTGTGGTCAGAAATCGTGCCACCACATTAAGCGAAAGCCGCATTGCAGGGGAGAGTTTTGCTCGGTTGTTACTGAACATCTGTGAAGTCAAAGCCATAACACTGAATGACACTCTTACGTCTGAGGCCGCACTCATTAAAAAGGAGTTAAGAAAGCATTTACCTGTGTTCATGGCGACATACATTCACTATTCGCTTAAGCACAATTTCCGTGAGGTCGTCCAACAGCAGTTGTTACCGGGGATTTTCACGATTTTCGATTTGATGTCTTCGACGGAAATGCAATTGGTTAATTCTACCTTAGACAGCCTGGGGAAAGTGTACTTCAAACGGTTGTACAACCAATACCAAGATCAAGGTAAGTGGAAGGATGCTTAAGAGTGTATTAATTGTACATATTAAATAGCTACGTATCGATTTTCATCCCGATGTAGAACTCTTCCTACTAATCGGCGAACATTCGTCGAAACACGTTGCATAGAATCCCATATGCGAGCATCAATTGCGTCGTTGTTTGCCAGAGATCTAGGATCTTGCGTGGTACTTTGATGCAAGGTATATTCGTATCGCAAGATGTCTTTCCTTGTTAGTAGACCCACAAGAGCTCCGTCCTTCACAATAAGGACGTACCTAGGCCCCAAACGCACAAATATGTCCAGTACGTACTCAAGCGAGGTACCAAGCGCCACTGCTAATGGACTTTTGTTGATCAAGGTTTTGAAGTCTGCTAGCTCAGCTCTTTCAGTATTAGGATCGAAATTACATTCCACATCATCAGCAGCTGTGGAGTAGTCTTTCTCCAACATAATTTCAAGATCCAGTCGAGACACAAACCCCACTAATCTACAATTTTCGGCCAGGTGAATGATAGGGTATCCGCGGAAATTTGTGGATGCTAAAGTCGCTCTGAGCTGGCCAAGTGTCAATGCTTGGTCTCGAGATGCTGAAAATGTCACGATAACCGGTGTCATGGCGGCATCCACAGTAGTGCTGCCGAACCCAAAATCCTCTTTAGGGTCAATGCATGGAAGCCCGTTAAATCTGATCATTTGGTCGGCAATACCACCATGACCCCACTTGTCATTTATAAGTTTCGTAATTGTTACAACAATCATGGTAGGGATGATGTACCTGATGGCACCAGTAAGTTCAAACATAATCACCACAACAGTGACGGTCAAATGAGTGATGCCCAGAAGAGCCGCTGCGGCCCCTAAGAATGCATAAGTTCCAGGAATGATGCAATGACCTTCGGCCGGACAACGACTGAACAAACTGCTATCACGATTGTTTTGATAGACAGCATCAACAAGTATACCAAGTGCCCTTCCAAATGTCGCTCCTGCAGCCATCGACGGGACGAATATACCTGCGGGGACTTTACAACCATAGGTGATGATTGTTAAGAAACAACGAGCAATTGTTGCAAACAACAACCCAAAAAAAAGCTTCACTTTCTTCAGGTTGGGGTCGCAAAGATCGTGAGAAAACTTACGATCATCACATTCTTTGAATAATAGTTGCATCGCCTCTGTCATATCAAGACGCAAAAACTCATTAAAGTATGCAATCAGCGCTGTAAAGAGAGCCAATAAAACCACCTCTTGTACTGCGTAGTTTCCCAAGTACTTTTTGCGAAATGCCACAACTCGAATGTTAAGCTTCAGAATAAGAATCCCGTAAACGCCACCGAATGCACCTATAAGTACGTAAACAGGTATTTCAAAGAAACGCCAATTGGTATGATATGACACTTCAAACAACACCAACTGACCGGTACGAAATGGATTGATGATTGCTAAAGTAGTCACGGCAATGAGAGCACAAAAGTACAGTTTCCAGATTGTCGCAAGTTGGAAAACTGATGATATTTCTTCGATTGAAAATAAAACACCACCCATAGGCGACCCAAATGCCACAGCCACACCAGCAGCAGCAGTTGCGGTCAAGAATTCACGACCCTTGGCAGCAGACTTGAGATATTGAGGAAAGTATTGTGCTACAACGTTGCCCACGCAAACGGCGTAGTGTACACTAGGTCCTTCTTTCCCAACCAGCAAGCCCAGGGCAATTGCTAAAGGCAATCCCACAGACTTAATCACAAGGGTTTTCCAACCCAAAAAACCATCCATGACGAACCCTGAGACGATACACTTGATTTCTGAGATCCCCAGCCCCGCTGCCAGAGGAGCATATATCTTAACGAGAATTGCAGCGATATAAGCCAACAAAATTGATACCGTAAGGTACACGAGATAATTGAGGAAGCTAAAGCTGGTCCACGAGTGCCAGTCAGGACAATGTTCGCTTTGCCACCAACAGCAGAGGGTTCGCGAAAGGTAGAAGTTATTGGGACAGTGACCCGTTCTTATCAGCGCCGCCCACGACGTAATGATATTGAGACACAGGGCAATGGCTCCGATTATAATCCCCATCACGGTAAGCACCAACCAATTCTGCATCAGAGCATACACTTTTGATTTGAAAGAAGTCGTGCCACTCAAGTTCTTGACTTTGGAAAGCCTCTGGCGCTGCTCATCCAACTCATCCTCGACCCAGTCAATGGTTCGAAATTGATCGAATCGCTGCACCTGTGCCACCTCCTTTTGGTTTACCCACGAGCCTGTCAGGCGACTTCGTAGGTTCATTCTTCTGATGACACCTGTTCTTGCAGGGCTCCTCAACCGGTCTGGGGTGAGGAAATTAAATGCAGGAAAATAACACCACCACAAGAATTGATAGAATGCGTTTGGTTGTTATAATCTAATGAAGAGAATATTGATATATAGAAAATTCTGATATATAGTAGAGTCTAGGGCGGATTTTGTTTACGACTGAGGCACCCTTGCAACCATCACCGTAAACACTTGTATGTGACTTACGGTCCCTGATCGGGCTTACACCAAAATTCTTAAGTGGATGATATTCTTCAATCGCAAGAAAGCAAGACAACTTTGCGATCCTTAACCCTATGATTTTTGAGCTGTTGGATGCGTTTCCCCTCCATACTCACTTATCTTGACTTTAGTGCGCACTCAAGGTCATCGCAGCCATCTCATTTATCGCAGCCATTTCAATCATTGCGTACAACCATGGGTAAAGCTAAGAAGACAAGAAAGTTCTCTGTGATGAAGCGCACCGTCGCTAACTACAAGAAGCAAGAGGAAGAAGCCAAGAAGGATAAGAAGGACCCCGAGCTCACCAAAAGCGTTCCGCAAGTGTCCCTGGCTTTGTTCTTCAAGTACAACGAGGCTATCAAGCCACCCTACCAAGTTCTTATTGATACCAACTTTGTGAACTTTTCCATTCAAAAGAAGATCGATATTGTCAGAGGGTTGATGGACTGTCTTTTGGCGAAGTGTATTCCCATTATCACCGACTGTGTTATGGCTGAACTCGAAAAGTTGGGTCCTAAGTACAGAATCGCCCTCAAACTTGCTAAAGACCCGCGGATCCAAAGATTGTCTTGCTCACACAAGGGGACTTACGCCGATGACTGTTTGGTGAATCGTGTCATGCAGCACAAATGTTACATTGTTGCAACCAATGATGCTGATCTCAAACGCCGGATTCGTAAGGTCCCTGGTATTCCTATCATGTCAGTTGGGGGCAGAACTTATGTCATCGAAAGATTGCCTGACGTCTTTTGAGAGCGAGGTAAACAATTTCGCGCACTCTTCCAACCTAACTCCGCCATGGGCAAACGTCACCGCAAGTCTCCCAATTTTAGTGAAGATAATTCATTCATTGCAGTTGATGGGGCACCAGTAGTGTTTGACGAACCACAATATCCCATACAATGGAGGGGTTACGAACCAATTGCTATTTCTCTCCACACCTACCAACCCTCGCTCTCGCTTTCGCAGAATTACTCAAACTTATTGCATTCATACACGAAGTTGGTTGAACAAGTGGCGAAACTCAACGCTGCAATCACTGTTGCTGGTCTTCATGATCCAATCTTAGCTTCATCAACACCCTTAAGTTTACCCCATTTGACGCCTTAATTTTGCAGCATGTAATTGATTAGAGTAATCTTTGCAATACGACTATGAATAAACGTATTTAGATCGAAGTCAAGCTTAGTTTTAACAGTAGTGAAGCGACTTTAATATAACATTCATCCTAGCACCGCCACGATTGACATCGTCATATGTCGTTCAAGCACCATGGAAATTCTACACCACGTTTCGTATACATCGGCTGATAGTGGATTGCTTGCCAAGTCGTGGTTGATGCATCTGTGTTCGGGATATATGAGACACACACTTAAATAAATCAAAAAGATCTGAGTTCTTGCTAAAGCCAAAAGTGGTCTTGTCATGCAGCCCAATACACGTTTAGAGAGAATGCTATATATGACAGTTTACGCGATCGATCTAGCCCTTAGTTACATTCCATTGGAAGGGTCCCTTGAGAGATTCAAACTTAAAGAACAGGATGCGCCTAAGTGAAAAGTGAAGGTGACTTTGCAGCAAATGCGCGGTGCTGTGCTGTCTTGTCTCGCCCAAAGCGAATTGCCGACGATTTTCAGCCTGTATCGATACGTTCGTGAACCACACGGAGCCGATTTTGAGGCGTTACGGGGTGGCAATAAGGCTTATAAGGTAATTGACTTGTTTTCATAAGACCTCCAACCGAAGTCTGGAGTATGGTCCGAGGGCTTGCCTCAGGAAGGGGGAAAGGGGGGTTGCATGGCTATGCAATAGGCTCCACTGAGCTTGTTGGGGATACTTAAGTGTAGAATATTTTTTGCGAATTTGTCGCGGCTTTTTATCGAGGTGGTATACCCCTTACATCCAGTATGTAATTCGCGTGGCTCGTGTCCTCTGTAATTGCTTCATTATCCGAACGAATACACTGTCACAAAGAGAGCTAACACAATATTAAGGGTATTATCCGAATTCCGCAGTTAATGACCCTATCGTTTAATGTGATTGCTTCTCTCAGATTTGACAAGGTGGGTGGGAGGTAGTGTCATGTCCCCGCATTATCGACCATTCTCGGCTAAAACTCAGTATTATTTGGCGGCAACTGGCTGAAATATAATGCCCCTGAGCGCCGACATATTCGGTTACACTCGTCATATATACCGTTGCCGATCCCCATTGCGTGACTGACCAATTCGCCAACTTCGCCTGGCAACTATCCTCTCCCATTTGTATTATACCCTGTGTTTAAACTATGACGCTGGTTATCCCAGCTACCGAACCACCAATGTTGGAAAAACTGCTGAACCTGTTATTACGAAAGTTGAAAAACGTGTTCAACAAGGACGAACTGTCGAATAAACTTCGCCAGAATTTGCCAGTGGTTGATCATGTCGACTCGGTAGCGTCTCTGAGCAACGCGTTTCATTCGTTTCAACAACAACATCAACAACAACAACAACAGCAGCAGCAGCAGCAGCAAAAAGAGGCGGCGGCACGCGCGGCCGAGGCTGAAAAGGAACGGCAGAAGCGGGAGTTCAAGAAAGAGGCTTACGCCCTGGACCATTTCCTACACATCGCCGACAACGAAGATCTTGTGGGTCTGTTGTTTTTCATCATCAACGGTGAGAAAACAGAGGATTCTGATGACAAAACGGTGACGCCGGACGACATTTCTGAGACCCACTCACCGGCGGATGCAGCAGGCCACATCAGTCATAATCACACAAAGTCGACCCATGATCAGGTGATGCCGCCTTCCAAGTCGGAAACCGGCGAGGTTGAGAGTCGACCAAATGCCATTGTTGATTTGAATGAAGAAACAAGCGGTCAGGGGACCTCTCATCAAAATCAATTACCCGAGCCAGAGGTTGATGAAATCGAGCCTGAGGTCGCTCCCCCGCCTCAAATTCTGATCAAGCGGGGGTTGTCACGTAAGGGCACGATCCGTCTGCTTAAATTCTGGTCGAAAGAGTCAACCAATCCCGGTGATGAAGAGATTCTTGAGCGACTGAACACTACTCTGACGAGTCACCTGGGGAACTCAGCTCTGCCAAACTCTCAGTCGACGTTCGCAAAGTTCCGTACCCTTTCCACGCGTGATTTGAGCCGTGGTTTCGGAAAACTTAAACGGATCGGCTCTCAAGATTCGCTTGCAGGTGGCCCTCTGCCTTCTCGTATGGCAAAATTGAATACGAGATCGCACGGGCTGTTACTGGATTCGCAACAGTCACACCACACTGTTACTCCTACTAGAGACCGGTATGCACCAAAAGTACCTCTGCCACTTGAGAAGAAAATTGATATTGATCAAAAGAACACATTTGCTGATGACAGCATTGAAATGGAGCAACAAACGCCGTCGCGTAAGAGTGCACCCATGGCTGTCAAGCGGGAATTGTCGTTTAAACGCAAGGACCAACCTCCGGACTCTGCCCTCGTGGAAATTATCCGGACTAACGGTGATCCTCCGACAACATCAACTACGGCTCCTGGGGATAAAGTGAGTCAAGAATCTGAAGACGCTCTGGAGTACACTCTGGCGCATGACGTTATAGATGTTGATGATTACAATTCCGATGTACTGCTGAGAAACTTAGTGACGGATGATGAAGATGACCAAGTGAACCCAGTGGCAAATAATAAACGAGGGAACTCACCGGATAAGGCTGTCAACTCTCGTCCTACCAAAAAAGCCATGCCCAACGGTTCCGCTAACCCTCCACCGAGACCCCCTCGTGAAATCAACGTCGGGCACGTATACCATCAACTACAAGGCCAAGCAAGCCGTCAGCTGACACGAACTAATCCAAATCAATACCCTGACCACCCCCATCCCCGCCAACAAACGAATAACAATCATCCTCCCACTGTTCAAGGACAAAAGCTTCATCGGGATCCTTTAGGAGCACCTGTACGGATGCTGCCGCAAGCTCAAGCTCAATTGATGCAATTCTACAACCAGCAATACGCCACCCAACATTACCAACAGCCTCAAATGGCTTCGGCATACACTTATGGTACGGCTCTGGCGTATGGCCCGCAGATGGCTCATTTAATGCACCATCAGCAACATTACCAACAGGTTCCTCAACCACCCATGCCGATGATGAATACCCCCTACCAACCCAAGTCAAACTATACCCAGATGCCGTTTACTGGTCAGCGGAAGAACAATCATAAATACAACCAGCCCAAAAAAATGTCGATGCCTCCTCCTCGACAACAATCTCACCAGAATTTAACACTGGAACAATTGCCTCAAGAGGTATCGTTCAAACCTGCCGCTTGAAGCTGATTACCGAGAAGTAACGTGGTACGACAACGAATTATTTTTGCAGCCTGGTGCTCTTTGTTTGATTCTTCAATTGTGTAATTATGTGTTTGTAACGTGCTAATCCCAATCATGTTCAATTAGCTCTCATTTTTTGTATCACAGCATCAAAGCTTGTTATGCTGTTAACTAATCGTCGTAGATGTATTGAGTTCACTCTGATACTTATCTTTTCAGTATCTTATCAGTTTATCGATGTGGCTGTGTTACCTCATATCGTCTCACTCACTCCATTGACGTCCGCTTGTCCGGAAGTATACGGGCTTTAAATACCGAAATGTGTCACGAAATTTTATATGTTGTCGTCAAAGTTCTGGTATCGTCTCAAGCTGGATATTTGTATACCGATGGCAAGTATACAGTTCTAGATCTCTACTATCTTCGGAATCCTCGGTGATGAATTGCGGTGGTGGCGGGGAATGCATCCCCCGCCATTCTTTTTACTGCGTCACGTGCTTGAATATATATAGACTCTACTGTGACAAATGGATATAGCACCAACTGCCCTTGAAAGCAATAAATCTAATAATCTACGCAGGTATTTTCATTTAAAATCCTCCATAATTTTCGCTACAATACTACCACTGTGGCAATAATCTGTCACGACTCACCTGCATATAACGTAGCGTTCCGGCCTGCGGAAAAACGTTTCAGTGGGGTTAAGCCATTTCCAGTCTAAAGAATTGAGCCAACAAAATTAGCGTGCCGCCCCATACGTGAGCCATCTATTTGACTGTATCGAAAACAACAATTTGAAACGTTATTGCTCCCAAATCTTGGCACAACTATCCGGATTAGCCCAAGTATGAGTCGTGGTGGAGCTGGAAACATTGAGCACCAAATGCACCAGCACCAACAAAGTCGTCGTGGGCTGGTGTTAAGTGCTTTCGGTGATAATCACTCGATTCATCTGTCGCAAGACCTGTTTGGTGTGAAACCCGTTCGGTCCAACCCTCTTCGTCCTGTGGCACTGAATCGCTCGGCGTCAATGAGACCCGTGATGCTGAATCGCCTGGGTCTGGGGTTGACTACGTCCCTTCTGAATCATGAACACTACTTGCATCCAACAACACTGCATAATAAAAAGACATACTATCTGACGGGCAGAGGCGGCGCTGGCAATATCGCTTCCGTCGAGGGAGCCCCTCCCCTGCCAAAGATCGTTGCTCAAGGCGAAAACTACCCCACCTTACACACAGCGAAAGTAAGTACCGGAAGAGGCGGGTATGGTAACATGGTGGAAAATTCTAATCCTGACTTCACTAGAAGACTTCAGGACGTTGATGGCAAGCCGGAGTTGAATGTCGTGCCGCTGAATAAGTCGATTCTGGTAGGACGCGGAGGCTTCGGGAACATAACAACAACTAAGCTGGCGGCATCGCAGTCTCTGAATCCTATGCAACAAACCGTTTCCCCTGAGGTTAATCTTTACACCATTCTGTCTCAAGGAAATGAGTTGAAGAAGAAACGCAACAAACTGTTCCTTGGAAAAATCAAAGAGATATTTGGATCTTAGCTTTTACTATCCAATCATACCCACAACGACATAATGATAGAATGAGAACATGACTTTAATAGTTTATCAAAACATATAATCGAACCGAGCACTCTATAAATATAAACAAACCGATATAACTTTAGTTAGATTCGAGGAACTCCCGAAGCTTAGCCAAAGCCTTAGACCGTTGCGAGATTTTGTTCTTAGAGGTTTTTCTCATCTGAGCGTAGGTCTCTTCAAATCCGTCGGGCTGGAAGATAGAGTCCCACCCAAAATCAGTAGGACCTCTCGAGTCAACAATCACACCTGTGGTGACACCCTGAAATAATTTCACTTCATGACCGGGACCTTCACAGAAACCCACCGTCGTGATGGCATTAGCGCTTTTGTCATCAAATTTATATAACATGTCGACCAACCCGGCAAGACCGATCAGCTTGACAAACCACTTAATGTAAGGTCCAGGAAGATTATTCATGGCATTGAACCCGAGACAGGTGTCTTCAATAACAACGGGACCCTTGATTCTTTCGGCGGCTTGCTTTGCCTTGTGGATGGTAACTTCCTCGATGGTGCCCTGCAACTCATCAAGATCAACGGACTGATTGGTGAGCTTCCAGTCACCAACTTTGCCGTCATCGCCACCAAGGATGGCCTGGAATTCCTTTAATTTGTTACTGTTACCAGTAACGAAGGTGAGTGTTTTCGACATAGCGATGAGAAAAGTGAGAAATGCTCTCCTGATAACACAACACAATTACGCTGTTCTCATTAACCATCGGATTACCCTATGTACAAGATGCTAATTCCGTTACAATTTACCCAACCGCTTCTTCAAAGCTCGTTGCTCACGTCTTCTCTTTCTCAACTTATGCTTCTTCATCTTCAATCGTCTCTTTCTTAAAACCGAATCAAGATACATGGTTCTGTCGACTTCTTCAGTCAGGTCACCAAAAGCGTCAAGTACCTTTTGATTTTCTTGAATTTCACGAGTAATAGTTCCGATCGTAACTGGTAGTTTCTCGTGTATGATGGCGAATTCTTGAGGTTTGACGAACTGGGGCATAACGAATGTGCGTCTGACCAACAGCCCAGCACTCATAAACCTCATGGGTATGGTGGGAAGTGCTCTGAAGACCCCCCGTAACATGGTAGTCGATGTCAATGCGTTCAATAGCAGTGGAAAATTTTTGGTCCTGCACGAGTGTAGATCGCGATTGTTCTCCAACTAACTGGAGCGAGGCTCCATAGATTCAAACTCATCTTCAGTACATAATGGCCACGATTAAAATAACTCAAATAACAATTGGGAATTTTTATTTTATAGTGTCTCTATTCAAATGATTGAAAATCGTCAATTCAATGGTTCATTCAATTGTTTTGGTGCGAGTGTATCACTGTATCAACAGAATGTCAAACTCGATGTTTATGATAACAGGCTCGGTAGTGTCAACAATGAACCCCTTAGTACCCGAAACACCATTACTGGAACTAGCATCACCATACATGCTACTAGGCCAATCAATAACATCATATATGAGTCCGTTAGTGTTCAAAACCGTGGGACAGCCAAGAGGGAGAATCCCACAAATTGGAACCTTTTTTGATGGGTAGAATAACAGCTTGTTTTCATAGGTGATGTAGTTTGTACCCTTTTGAGTCGAAAATATAACGTCCGTAGTGGTTATCATGAATAAGTCAAGCTCACGGTTAAGCATCATTGTAATTTTGAACAACTGATTGATCAGGTGAGCTGATTGATCGAATCGACCTCCCATACCTCCAATAATGTAGACATTATTAGAGGTCAGCTTGTCAGTCTCGTTGATCTCGTCAGACAACTTAAGGAGCCCTTCATGTTCCTCTATATCGGATTCAAGGAGCTTGGCATTTCGATACCACACACGAATAAGATAAAGCGACTTTGTTAAATCAGTGGCGTATTGCGAATATTGAGGAATAATCCTTGAGCCATGTGATTTGTAGTAATCCCGAACTTCGACCAGCAACAGGTCAAGATCACCCACAATGAAATCTGGAATGTATTTCTTGCGATCATCATCGGACTTCCAGAAAGAATATAACCGATTGGCACCACCATCAGCACAAACATGCAATTGAGTTCGTTGCCACAACTTCAAGACACCCGACCCTGATAGATCTTGATTGAGGATGAGAAGGGCTCCACAAGCTGTTTCTTGATGGTTGAGAAACGTAAAGGGCAGGATTAGATTATAATCCCCTTCAGGAGCGGGCACATCGGTCGCCTCTGGCTTCTCTACCACTGGCATTTGTCAGAAGATTTGGGAATCAAGTTTTGCTGCACGGATGTGTGTATGCGCTTTCGCACCCTCACCATTTCGTCGATGGCAGAATACTGTTGGTGATTATGAGTAACACTAATTCAGAGGGAAATCAGGATAAGTCCAAAGTGGTCCCTCGTGACGTGAGATTATTGCATCTTATATTTGCAACTCAAGGCGTCCAAAACTACCAAGACCATGTACCGCTTCAGCTTATGGACTTCGCTCACCGCTACACCGTTCTGATTTTACGTGACGCTTTGACCTACAATGACCATGCCAAACCTACAAATCCCAACAGCAATATCAATGCGAATACCAATACGACTGTGACAACTGATGATATTCGCTTGGCTATCGCTGCTCGGACGAATTATCAATTCAAGCCAGTGCCACCGAAAGAATTGTTATTGGAGCTCGCTGAAGAGAGAAATTCGAAACCATTACCGGCAGTTATTCCAAGATGGGGGTTGAATTTGCCCCCTGAACGTTATTGCTTGACAGCTCGTGATTGGGACAATTTGGAAGAAGAAGAGAAGCAGATGCAAGAAGAACTGAACAAGCGGCCCCGTCGGAGTTAGGTAAGCTGGCCTACCTAGATGGATCAAAGCATTAAGTAATAATTTATAAAAGCGATAACGTGTGTAGACTTGGCTCATATGAGTACGAGTGGCACGGCTAAACTGAAAAACTTGGTTTTGTGTGTTTACGGAAATCTTCACATTTTGGGTGAAAGCTATGGGGATCAATGAATTCTCGTCATGGAAGAACTCTTCAAGAATCACGACTAAATAATCTCTGGAATGAAGTTTTCCTGATCATATATTTCAAATGAATTGAATTGGATAGAGGCTATGTTTTTCAACGCGCGCTTCTGGACAACGAACGAAATCTGTTTCTAACCAAATATGCTACAAACGACAGCGGCGCTGATCCCAGAGTAAGTTGCATCATACCTTTAAGGTTCAAGATGGTGGCAATTCTTTGTCCCATTGACACATTGCACATAAACAAATACTGACTATCAAGAGCTCGCGAGGATTATCCTGGCGCATGCCTCGCAGAGAGAACAGGCCGTTTGCCCAATTTTGTTGATTTGGGCCCGGCTGATCTCTGCAATATCCAAAAGGTTTCCGTCAATTCCAAGTCGCAAAAGGAGTTGGGTACCTTTTTATACTACACTGGTGTTGACACTCTGAACTCTGCCCTGATCGCAGCTCATTTGCAAGGTCTCGCCAATCTCTTGAGTCTGAAACCTCAGTATTGGTTCAATGAGAAGAAGTCTTGGAGGGTTCCTGAGCTCACGTATTGTGCGTATAATGCATTTTCCAAGGTCGACATGAGGGTGACGGTGCATATTCCAGGGAAATTTGAATCGCAAGTCATTGACTCTGATGGAAAGTTGATAACTGATAAGCTTAGCTCTGACGATATCGAAGCTTTGTGGTTGGAAACTTTCGTATCATGTATGGTTCGGCTGGTACTCGATCCCGACGACGAAGAAATCTATAAAATGCGGGGTTTGGTCGAAATTCGCAAAATTAATCCCTTGAACAACGGCTCTGGCTCCAAGGAAACAGTGGCGAATTTCATCGCTGCGTTCGAAAAGTTATTTTGGGATGGTCCTAAACTTGGATGTTCTGTTGAAATCCCTCTGCCCACGATCGTCAATAACTACCTTGTTGATGGGTTCCTTAAGGTAATTGAGCTCACCCAACAATACAGTTTGGCTCTTGAGGTTTTAAAGAGATTGCAAGAACAAGAACCTGCCGTTGTTACTCTTTACGCCAAAGTCTTGTTGATGAAGGATGAGGAAGTCAAGGCCGTTCAAGTGATGTCGGAGGGTATTAAGGAAAACAATCGTAACGCCGATTTACTTTTGTTGCAATCAGAATTTTGTCTCGACAAAAAGCGTACTGACTTAGCTCTTCTGCTAGCTAAACAAGCCGTGAAGCTGTCACCTCTGGACTTCAAGACTTGGGCAATGTTGGTGAAGGTGTACACCAAAATCGGCGACTTTGAGAATGCCTTGCTTACACTCAATTCGTGCCCAATGTCGTCTCACAAGGAGAAATTCCTCTTGAAGCGTGTGGTTCCTTTGCGTGGTAATCCCGATGATTTGCACTTACCGCTGCCGGTAGACGTTACTCTTGACGGGGTTCTGAGTTTGCAACTCGAGGAAGTTGAGGCAGAAGAACGCACTTTGGATCCTCTGTTAATGAATTTGCCCGCAGCCAATTTGAAGCTGACATTTGCAAAGGCTTATGATTTGTTAACAGATATCGTCAACAAGACTGGCTGGGAGACTCTTCTCAAATACCGTGCCAAAGTGTTTGTTATGGAGGAGGAATACCGTAAAGATAAAACCTCAAATGGTCACACTCGCTCACGCTCGACTGTTTCAGTTAACGAAGCGACACCTACCAATGGCGATGATGAGGCTCTGGTGAAAACTGAGGTTACTGACAATGATGCCGCTCTGACGGTTGCTGTAAAGCTGCCCAAAAGAGAATCAGGAGCTGATGAAGACGAGTTCCGCAAAAAGAGATTGTGTGAACGTTGGCTCGACAACTTATTCATGTTGCTTTACGAGGACTTGAGGGCTTACACAATGTGGCAAGCTGAGTCTGTTCACTTCCAAGCCAAGCAAATGGTGTACAAGAAAACTTCATTGGAGTGGGACAACTTGGGTCAAATTGCTTATCGTCTCAAACACTTCAAAGAAGGTCTGGTGGCATTTAATAATCTGTTATCTCAACGCTTCCTGCCAAAGGCTCAATTGGAAATGTTGCGCTATTATTGCATTGAAAGGGCCAAACTCAACCAACGTAACTCTCTGGTAGTGGCTCTGAGTACAACGGTTAACTTTTCTAAAGCAAACAATGCGCTTCTGGAAAAGATTTTGGAGTCTGTTGTGAAATTGTTAGTGTGGAATCATCGGTGGTACTCTGAATTTTCGACTACGTTGATTTTAGCGCTAGAGGACTTGATTGCCAAAGATGGGCTAATCAAGATTAAATCTCTTGTGCAAGCGTTATACTCGGAGTCGCCAAACCCTTCAACAACATCGACAGATCATATCCCTAACAGGGGTATCTGTGAAATGATGGATGATGAGTTCAACTTCTTCCGCACATATGAAGTCATTGGCGCCGATAACTAAATAGCCGTAGTGATTCTATAGTTGATCCATATGGTGAAAGTCAAGTTACATAGATGGTCTGCAGGTCTTCCTTTTTTTCATGCTCGGACTTCGTCAAACCGCTCCGCATGAAATTTGACTCAATTCGGTGTTGAATTACTTTTGCCGGAGAAAACGTTTGTCGGGGCACGTAACACAAAGCTTTTTCGGAGTCCAAACTAAAACAAGCTTCTTTTAAATCTTCTACATACTCGAACTTGTTTTCGGTAATAGCTCCTTAATTAACACGGAACTGTATTTACATTGCTTGGCAAACTCCAGTCGGGACTCCAAACCCGTTTGCAAAGTGACTCACATCGGCTGCGTTCCCCATTTTGGATGCGCGAGAGTGCCGAACAACGAAGTAGAGATCTCAGCAAGAACACCGTGTTATTTCAAAACACCGATGGAGATACAGCGCCAGAGAACTGTCATATTGAAGCATTGCAAAAAATTCGACTCGGATCCTCCTTCTCTCGCTTAATGGAGCATCATACTTCTTTGTTTCCACGGCAATTAGTGCACAGAAGCGTGCATATTTTGAGATGCCTTTCCTACTTAGGCGATGAAAAGTGGCAGAATGTAGGAAAAGTTTTCTCCTTATAAAACAAGATTTGCCCTTTATCATGCGGCATCTTTTCTTAGGAACAAGTTTGACTCGGGTTGCCAGAAATCTACTCCGATTCGTTAAGGTACCCTATCACTTCTATTCCCCGATTAGTGATTGCATAACGTCAAACGTACAGCGATAAGATGTCTCCCTCCAAGTTATCGATGTCACCGGTAAATGGTACTGAATTGGTCGCTGTCAACGACTCGGTGGTGCCTGTGAGACGTGTCACCAAGCAGGCCCCTCACCCTTTGGTGATGATTCCCGGTCCAGTCGAGTTTACTGATGAAGTTTTAGACGCTATGAAAACGCCTCCTCAAGCTCACACTGGACCCGCATTTACTAAAACCTTCTCCGAAGTGTTGCGGAAGGTGCGCTTGGTTTTTGGTAATGAGAAGACTGCAGGTGGTCAAGGCATCGTTGTCTCGGGGTCAGGCACTTTGGGTTGGGACTTCGCCGGGGCAAACTTGATCACCAAGCCGGACTCCGATAAGGTTCTTTGTGTATCCACTGGTTTTTTCTCTGATGGTATGATTGAATGCTTGTCGAACTTTGTCGCTGACGAAAATAAGCAAATCACCGTATTGGAAGCGGCTGTGGGTGAAACTGTTCCTCTTCACGACATCAAAACTCAATTACAAAAAGACAACTATCGTCTCATTGCCTTGACTCAAACCGACACGTCGACGGGGGTCTTGACGGATATCAAAGCTGTCGCGGAACTCGTTAAGCAAGTCTCGCCAGAAACCCTCATTGTCGTGGATGCTGTGTGCTCTGCTGGGGTAGAGGAAATTCAATTCGACAATTGGGGTCTCGACTTCGTGTTGACTGCATCGCAAAAAGCAATGTCGACCCCAGCCGGGTTGCTGATAATGATGGCCTCGCAAAGAGCCATTGACCATGCCTTGCTGGTGAAGCACAAGAAGCCGGTGTATTGCTCGTTCAACAAATGGTTGCCCATCATGGCTAACTACGAAGCTAACAAACCGCTGTACTTTGCTACTCCTTCAGTACAATTGGTGACGGCGTTCAATGTGTCTTTGAACCAAATCTTGGGAAGTGACCCAATCGTCGATCCTGCGACGAAAATCCCTAAGCTGTTGTTGCACCGGTTTGCCGTCCACAAAAACGTGGCTCGCTCGCTTCGGCAAGACCTCTTACAGCCTCAATTTGGTTTGCGCCCAGTGTGTAACAATATCGACGATTGTTGCAACGGCATGACTGCATTATATGTCCCTGATGATGTCAAGGTTCCTGACGTATTGGCTTACGTCCTGAAAAACTTTGACATTTCCTTGGCTGGTGGTATCCATCCCAAAATTGCGTCGAAGTACATCAGAATTGGGCACATGGGTATTTCCGTGACTGGTCAACTGGCGGCGGATGTTAAACGCACCGCAGCGGCTGTTAAGTTGGCCCTTCAGGCAGTGCTGCCCAAAGCTAAACTTTGAGCGCACTGTTAAAAGTTAAAAGCACTGGTTTTGGTTTGGTATTTGTGGTTTAATAAACGCTTTAAAATTTTCTTTGAGTCATAAACATAAATATTCGAGATATACAAGATTTATCATTACTTGTCAGACGACAGTTCTGAGGTTGCAAATACGTCATCGTTCGCTGATTTTCTAGCTTCTTGTTGAAAGCCTTCAGCAGCGACACGACGCAATTCCGCCCGCGATTCTTCCGCTCTTCTCTTCCTGGCTTGCAATTCAGCGTCACGTCTTTCCAACTCTTCGATCCATAACTGCTCCCGCTTTTTGGCTTTATCGTGAAGCATTTGTTCATGTCTCGCCTTGTAGTCGATCGATTCCTTATGCCACAATACAGAACCCAGTACCAACGCAATAAGAGTGATTAATTGGAAGGCAATACGGTAACGGAAGTACTTTTGTGTCTTGAGTTTCTCGCCTCTTTTCATGGATCTGGCCGCCAAAATCACCGCACCAGCTGTGGCAAGGGAGCCAAGTGGAACCACTGGCTGCTCCTTGCACTTAGCCCACATCTTTTGGAGAATATCCTCCCTATGGTTAGCTATCACTGTAGGACATTACGTAGGAAATGTGCCACTTACTCATCTTCAACTTCAAATGACGACGGGATCGCTGCCATCTCGATTGAACTTTATTATCCGATGGCAAATGTTCGTGTGAGCACTTTAATAAAAAGCACCGCGGACTTTGACGCAAACCCCATAATTAACTTTTGAAGTGACGGCTAGTGATGTGTACATTCACATTGAAATCTATATTACATTTAGGACTTATTCCGCAAGAATGAATTCCTTGAACTCAGCATAAGCCTTGTCCAAATCGTTATTGATGATGACTTTGTCATGAGCGCCAGTGTCGGCGTATTCCATCTCGGCTGAAGCTGCGTTTAAACGAGCCGTCAAAGATTCAGGAGTTTCGGTACCACGACCTTTCAACCGGCTTTCTAATTCATCTAACAGAGGAGGTGCAATGAACAAGAATCTGGCGTTCAAGTCAGTCTTCTTCACCAGCTTGACACCTTGCATATCAATATCCAATAAGCACTGCTTACCTTGTTCGGCAACAGCTTTGACCGCAGCAATCGAGGTACCATAGTAGTTACCGCTGAACTGGGCCCATTCAATGAAAGCGTTCTCATCAATCATCTTCTTGAAAGTTTCAACGGAGGTGAAGTTATAGTCCTTCCCATCAACTTCGCCTTCTCGGGGCTTTCTAGTGGTGTTGGAAACCGAAAAACCGAATTTTCCGGGATATTCAGCAAACAACTTCTTCAACAAAGTCGACTTGCCGGTGCCCGATGGGCCCAGGATCACGATAGGACGCATAGGAGACATGGTTGAAATTTTGCAACGCGCATTTTTCACCACGAGGGTGACGGTAAGCCGGCGGCACAACTATGACATGGACTCAAAGAAATTCTTTTCAAGTAGAGGAAATTGAGTTCAGCGGCTACTGTATTTTCAAAATAATTTTAAATTTCATTCATGGATAGGCTCTCGCTATAAAGTAAGTATATTCAGCACGTGACTCCCTGCCATTTTTCTCATCCATCGGTTAGCGAAACCTCTCTGCATGGATAATCTAAACCTGGCATTAGCCACAATGTACCTGGGGGCTCCCCAGGCACAGAAGGCTGAGGCGAACACATTCCTTCAAGATTTCCAAAAATCCCATGAAGCCTGGCAAGTCGTCCATGATATCCTCGCCAATCCTGATCAGCATGTGTTGCAAACCCAAATGTTTGCCGCCCAAACGTTACGCAACAAGATTACATATGACTTGAGCCAAATTCCCCCTGGCGATTACGACAAACTCAAGAATTCATTAATTGAATTACTTCCTCTTTACGCTGCTCATGAGTATCGACTTGTCAGAACACAGCTCAATATCGCGCTCTCCCAGTTGGCCTTACAGTATTTGCAATGGGACAATGCAACGGAGGAAGTCATTTCGAAGTTGCTGCTGCTGATGGAAACAGTCCCTACTCTCTTGGAATTTTTAAGAGTGTTGCCTGAGGAACTTAGTGAGGTCAAAAAGACGAGTTTAACTGATGAAGAGTTTTATCTGCGAACTGATGTTTTGATTAGCCGTCAAGTTGAACGAGTTGTTGGTATTTTGGCCAATTTGGCGGAGAAGCATAGCGATGATTCTCAATTAAGTGCATTAGTGCTTGACGCACTCAATCTGTGGATTAAGGAATGCCCCATTGAACTGATTGTCACGGTGACACCATTGACAAATTTAGTCTATCAATCATTGCTTAATGAAGCTACGTTCGACAAAGCGGTTGATTGTCTCATTACAATCTTGAGGGAAACTCGCGATATTACTAATGATCAATTGATCAATTCATTATTCGAACTGTTATTGCAAATCAGAGATTTCTTTTTCAAGGCCCATAAGGATCGCTTGGAGGACCCCGAAACGGTCGAACAGTTAACTAGGCTTTATGTCGAAGCAGGCGAACTGTGGCATGTGTTGATTGCAAAGAACCCGGAGCACTTCATGCCCCTTGTTCAAATTCTTGCTGAGCTTACGAAATTTGATGAAGATTTGGATGTGGTCAAGTACACTTTTCCATTTTGGTTTGAGCTCAAGCAACTTATCACCCTCCCGAAATTCGAACAAAGCAAGATGTTATTCAGTAATGTCTACGCAGAGCTCATTGAGACTCTCATAAAGCACTTGACATACCCGTTGGGAGACAATGATAATGATCTTTTTGACGGGGATAAGGAGTCTGAAGATAAATTTAAGGAGTTCAGGTATGACATGGGAGATGTTCTTAAAGACTGTTGTGCTGTGGTAGGTGCAACTAGAGCATTGTCTATCCCGTATGACAAATTGCAGGCTCTCCTACTGAATAAGAATCCTTCTACTGCACGCTGGCAATATCTCGAAAGCCCGCTTTTCTCATTGAGAACTATGGCGAAAGAAGTTCCTCTTACCGAGAAGCTGGTCTTGCCCAACATTATGAGTCTTTTGGTACAATTACCTGAACATCCTAAGCTTCGCTATGCCGCAACACTTGTGCTTGGTCGATACACAGAATGGACTTCAAGAAACTCTCAGTATTTGGAACCGCAACTTAATTACATCATCATGGGTTTCCAAGTCGCAAGTGGCACATCCTTGAATGCCAGTGGGTATCTGGACATTGTTGTGGCAGCATCGCGAGCCTTGATGTTTTTCTGTTTGGATTGTCTGAACTTGCTTGTCAACTATATTGAACAATTATACCACGTGTATGATCAGATCAAGGATCACGTTGACAAGGAGTCTCATTATGAATTAGCCCAAGGTTTAGCTTGTGTGATGACACAAGTACCCCAAGAAGCGCAATACAATACAGCAGAAAAGTTTATTGGACCAACTTTAACGAAGTTGGCTGCATTGCAGGCACCTCAAGATCATGAAGTCGCTTCCGTGCAACTTGAGGTTCTCAATTCATTTGTTATGAAGTTGGCCGCAAAATCATTCGAAAAGCCCGAAAATGCATTTGCCAACTTTTACATAACCAAAATCTGGCCGGTTTTGACGAAGACGTTACTTCAATTTGGTTCGCAAGGTGATGTAAATGAACACGCGGCTACTTTGATAAAGTCAGCAACCCAGGCGTTCTCAACGTATCTTCTACCAATATTGGGTGAGGTCGCCACATTGTTGCATGAAGGATTTGCTCAGAGTCACGCGGGTTGCTTTTTGTGGGCTCTGGGGGTTCTCGTCCGCGAATACGGCGATGAATATTGCGACGATGATACCAAAAATTCCATTTATAATTTTGCCATCAGCCAATGCCTGGCTTTTTTCACTTTCATTGGCAGTTCTACTGTCAACCTGCATATCGATCTCATGGAAGACTTTTACCGAATGGCTGGAGATATATTGATGTTTTTCCCCGAAAAAATTGTCTCCAATGACGATCTCATGGCATTAGTCCTTAAAGTATCTGAGGTCACCTTGTCCAACTTGGTCGAGCGGCAGCCGTTAATCGAGTGCCTACACTTTCTCATCGACTTAATTCTGTGGGGGTTGCCTCACCCGCCTGTACTGTTCTTTGGAGGAGACACAGACTTCATCCGTAATCACGTTAAGTTGATTCTAGCTCAAAATGGACTTGCTCTTCTCAAAGTGGTTGTACGTGGGGTTGTCTTCACTTTTCCTCAGGACTTGCTTCAAGACGCAAATGATCTTTTGTTGAAACTTTTGACCGTAATGGAGGCGCCAGTGGCCATTGATTGGTTGCAGCAAGCGGTATCGAATCTCCCTGATGTAAATGACAAAGAGTTGGAGAAATTGATGCTGGTTGTTCTGGTGGCGTTGCCTAATCGTGACAATCGTCGTGTTAGATCTGGATTGAAAGATTTCGTGACTTGGTATACACGCAAAAATGTTACCCCGCGAACTCAATTTACATAATTAATCTTCATGCTACGAAAAGTACGTGCTCTCAGTGGTCTTTAAGATTCCGCTGCTACTGCGATGCTAGTAAAACTGCATCCCTAAATCGACTACAATTCATTCAACTCGACCGAATAACATGTCGCGGAAATTGGCAATACTAATGCGTAGTGGTAATTTCGTGGAATAGCATGCCAGACCAAAACAGCAACGAATTCCTAAACACAAATTGATATTGACGCAATATTGACAATTCCTGCTAGTGAACGTTGCTATGCCATTTTTGAGTCAACGTTTCGTTAATGGGGTGCATTACTATTTCCTAAATAAGCGTAATTCAAAACATAGGGTCATGGTTGCGAAAACTATATAAACCCATGCACCACCCTTGAAATCCACACACCAACTATATTCATTCGTTAGTGTCAACCAAGAAAATCCGAAAAAAAACGCGTTGTGTTGCATGTCCCCTCCACCAATTTCATGATTTATACCCTGTTCTGAGAACATCCCAAGAAATTGATGCTTCCACCCCACTGCCTGGTGCAAACGTTACATCGAGACAGTCAATGCGACCTGGTTCTGATGTATAGTTAGTGGTGATGTACAATGGTTGCTGCGATGGTAGGGTTTTGACTCCGCAAACAACGTTTATAAGTCAAGCATTAGGTTTACTCAACAAGTTTATATGTTAGAGATATATAATGCAAGACTTATAAAACAGTATACACATAAGAGTGCCATGCGAGGGCCGCAAGCATCAACAGTATCTCTTCAATCTTAAAAACCTCGAAGTGCAAGTGCGTGTCGAAGCCACTGTGCATTTTTGATGAAGTAGCTTTAACGAAGATGACATGTCTCTGCACCGTAATCCGATCACATATTGCTTGTGCTCAAAAAAATCTTGATTCATGCGATATTATTACATTAAAACATAAGCTTTAACTATTAATCATGCGATAGCCGCCATTTCTGTCACGCATGCCTCTGAGCATAGCGTTTCTAAGGCGCTGAGTAAGTTTGCGATCACGCTTAACTATTTGGAATTCAGCATTAGTCCCGTCCTTGAGATCGAAGACCTCTCCCATTTGGGTTTCTTCATCAAGTTCATCATAGTCTAGAGAAGGCTGTTTCCAGTTTTTCAATAACAAAGAATTTACCACCACAGAGATTGACGAAACCGCCATAGCCGCTGCTGCGGCTATAGGAGGCAACATCAAATTGAATGGCAAAAAGCATCCCATTGCAAAAGGCAACATAATGAGATTATAAAGTGCAGCCCACAAAAAGTTCCACTTAACCCTGTTGAATGTGGCATTGGAGATTGAAAGTCCATTTACAATTCCGACAAGTTCATTGTTGCTGTTGCGCAGACTCAACAAAACAATATCAGCTGACTCCATAGCAATATCAGTGCCGGTACTTATGGCCATCCCAACATCAGCCTGGGCCAAGGCAGGGGCATCATTGATACCATCGCCAATAAACCCTATACTCACGTCCTCTAGACGTGATTTGAGATCGGTAATGACCTTGTCCTTATTAATGGGCGTCACTTCAGAGAATACATTAGACACAGGAATTCCCAACTCCTTAGCGATTTTTAAAGCTGCGCCACGCAGGTCGCCTGTGACGATACCAACCTGATATCCTTCGACTTGTTGCAAGTAACGAATGGTTTTTTTAGCACCAGGCTTTAGCTGATCTGTTAACTCCACAAACCCAGCGTATTCACCATCTATCAACACGTGTGCAGTGGTGTTCACCATAGTCTTCAGCGTTGTCGCTTCTTCATCGAAAACCTTAAACTCAGACCCTGGAAATTTGGCTTTAATGAGATTGAGATTACCAATGTAAACCTCATGCAGTTCCGCACCCATCGAGCACTTGCCATACACACCAAGACCAGGGTACATTTGAAAATTGGAAACTTTCCAAGGGAACGAGTCTTCTTCAAAGGAGAGCCCCATGTGCATTTTAGCACCTTGTGAAATCAGCTTGCCAACAGGGTGTTCTGAGTTCAGCTCCAATGCACCAACGACACCCCACCATTTGTTAAGATCAAGTTGAGCGGACGTCAGAATTTGCTTGAAATTGACAAGTCGCATGACACCCGTGGTCAAAGTCCCAGTTTTGTCAAAAAGCAAAACGTTAAGCTTGGTGACTCTTTCAAAGACATCACCGCCCTTGATTAAAACACCATTCTTCGCCCCGACGCCCGTTCCAACCATGATTGCAGTAGGCGCGGCTAATCCAAGAGCACAGGGACAAGCGACTACTACAACTGAAATGGCAAGTTTGAGACAAACAAAGTATCGGCCATTCTCCTCCATGTTGAATGCCATGGGTAACCGATCTTTGTGAATAGCCAGACAAATCACAGTCCAAATGACGAATGTCAAGATAGCAAGAGTAATCACCAGTGGCACAAATCTTGCAGCCACAAAATCAGCAAATCTTTGGACGGGGGCTCTGTTGACTTGAGACTCCTTGACAAGATTAATGATTTGTTGTAATTGCGATCTTTTCGAAGAGTGAGTAACTCTGACGTGAATAGCCCCCGGCCCATTGACTGAACCCCCGATTACCGAATCTCCAATACGTTTGTGAATAGGTAAAGATTCACCAGTGATCAAAGACTCATCAACCTCGGTTTCACCATAGATAATGACGCCGTCGGCGGAGATTTTGGAACCAGGAAGAACAATCGCAACATCTCCCGCTTGAATCAAATCGATTCCAACTATACGAGTTGGAAAACCATCGGTTGAATCAACTTGTTTCTCACTCTCGTTCATGAAAGCATCATATTTTTCCATGTCCAGCACGATAGTACAATTTGAGGGCGTCAATTGCAATAACTTTGAGAGTGCAGTCAGAGTAGCACCCTTGGCGCGATTTTCGAGCCACTTCCCAAAAGAGATGAACATAACCAACATGCACGTAGTCTCGAAGAGAGTTTTGGGAGGTTTCAGAGTTTGTCCATGCCACACCAGGATAATCATAGCAATGATAGAAAAAGTGTATGCCACCATGGTAGAGATACAAACAAGAACGTCCATCAGAGCGCCCTTGCCGCCATTAGCAACAAACTTCCGAAACTTCGTGAGAAACACCTTACCCAAAACAAATTGAATATACAGCGTAGGTATGCATTGAAGAACCAGAGTCCAATAGAGGCCTCTAATCAACATCAAGTGATTCCAGGGGGGCAACATGTGGGTCCAATTGAGAATTATAACCGGAACACCTAATGCAACAGACCACACGAGGTTACGCTTCCAATATTGGATCTCTTTAACTCGAGACAAAATCTTCAATTGGGACTCCAGCAGACGGTCTATCAGGTTGATGATCACAAACTTGACCGCTCCTTGGTCATCAAGAGTATCGAGATTGTCAATCAAGTGGCGCACGCCAACCTTCTGAGGATTGAAATGAATGGATAACTCGTCAAGAACATCTCCAGAGCTTCCAACTTCTTCATCTTGGTTGGAGAGCAAGGAATTTTGGCCTGAAAAGCTAAACAGATAGTTGAGCACACCATCGGTCAGGGAAAGATAGGTCTCGACTAAGTTTTTGATTCGACTAGCATCAGCCTCGTCGGTAAGACCATATATCTGGAACAACACATCGTCGTCTGTATAATCCCCTGACGATTGTGGGTCATCCGTTTGTGATTGAGATAACACTGCGTCAAAGCCACAACCTTCGATAACATCTATGATTGCCTCCGGCAGCACATGAGAGGCGTGCTTGACAAGCGCTTCCTCGGTGATCTCACTAACAGCTGCCAGACTCACACCATCCATTTGCAAAAGTGCGTTTGTTATCGATGTCAGACAAGCTGCACAAGTCATTCCAGTGACTTGGAATCTAGAAACGACATCCTGTTGTTTTTGCTTGGTCAGCGATTCTATAGTTGCTTCAAAACCACAGTCCTCAATGGCTTCAGCAAGCTGAGCAGGTTGGATGTTCTGCGAGTGTACAACTGCTGCTTGTTCAGTGATAAGGGATACCAGGGCAGTTTCAACCCCTTCTATCAGCTCCAACAGTTCCTTGATGGTAGCCAGACATGCTCCACAGGTCATTCCTCGCACCTGTAAAACGGTTGATACTGAGGATGATGGGGATGGACCCTCACTGGATTTGATCAAGGTAGCATCGAAACCGCAATCTTCAATCACCTCAATGAGCTTATCGGTAGTGACCAAAAAAGGGTCGTACTCTATCAGAGCTTCCTCAGTGATTAACAGGACGTTATTGGTGACCACCCCGGCAGTGGCGGATAACGCCTCCGTTATGGTGGCCAGGCAAGCCCCACATGTCATGCCCTCGATTCGAAACAAAGCCTTCATCGTTAGGACTGATTTCGAGGGAGATTGGCACAGCAATAAGTAGGTAGGCTGAGTTTTGCGAACGGTAGCGGCTGGGAAGCTGGAGTGCGGTAATTTAGGTAGTTAAGTCTAGAGTGCCTGAGGAAAAAAAAATATTTGGAATTTTGATTAAACAGATAGTGCGATTCGGACCATAGAATAAAGGCCAATAGAAATTTGCGGCCACAATGCACTTCGTTTGCAGGTTGAATAATTAAGTGGACACTTATATTAATTAATTATACTCCATTAGTTCTTGTGGGGTGCCCGTTTGCGAGTGCCCGTCCCGTGGAAAATGCGGGCTTGGTGCTTATAAGCTTGCTTTGTCAGAAGCTCATTGCCCTGGTCATCAAGATGACGAATTTTGACAACCGGGTTATAAGCCCTGGCATCTGTCAGGAGCAAGGTCTTCGGGGCGATTAGCTGCTTTTGATGGAGTCTCATCGCCAACATTTTCTCGTAATGTTCTTCTTTAGCTTCATTAGACATTGCCATGTACAGTTTGTCTTTGGCAAGTTCCTCTCGTAACATTCGTTTCTCAATGTCAACCTCGAGCCTGAGCTTGTGAGCATGTTGCTGGGCGCTCCGCATTCGGCGCGCCGAGGCCTGCCGCTCCTCCGAGATTTCTTCTATAGATTTTTGAGCTCTCAAGTGGCTCATTATCGAGCCCACCGAGTGAAATGTGCCCTGTGCCTGAGTAGTCTCATCGGAAGTGGCACTAGACGTCATGTCAGTCTCGGCTTCTTCATTAATAGGCTTTACGCTATTACCGTTGCTGGTTGGTTGTTCCGTGAGCTCGTGGGAGTTTAAGTCCGACAAAAACCTAGAATCGTCAAATGTGATCGTAGCAATGGCGGTATCTGCTTCCGCCGAAGCGTCCCACGCGCGATGCTCCTCTATCTTCAGCTTTAGATCCACCGGCTTTTGTTTGACGCGCCGAGACTTTGCCAAGGCTGCCTCAAATTCTTCATCACAAGTATCGTGAAAATCAGCTGTTGTAGAAAGTACAGGGGCAGTAAACTTTATGTCATCGTCGAGTCGGGTGACTTTTACATTGTCACTTTTGTGTTTCTTGCGCCTCTTAATCTTTGACAGCTTGAAATCCTTATTCACTGCAGGAGTGGCGTCATCTTCAAGTAATTCTGCAAGCGTGTAAGCTTTTTGAGCGCTGGGCAGAGTCTCCGTATTATCAACAACGGCATTAACTCCTGAGGCCGTAACAGTGGTGATATTTTCATTCTTCTGTTTCGTAGACGTTGCGTGATTGCGTTGTGTCAGTTGCTCGTTATGAAGTCCGACTTCCTCATCGCTATCAACCAAATCGGAATTACCCATAGTTAACACTGTACGCTCACCCATCAGAGCCAATTCTTGAGCGCTGTGGTGAACCACGACCAGGTCATCATCGTTTGGTATGTCTCTCGGCTTGATTTTTCCTTTTTTGACAGCTGGCTTACCTAGATTCGCTAGCCAGTCGTCATCATTCTCAAAATCAAGTTCAAGCTTGCGCTTGATACTGGTCTGTCGCGCCTTTAATACCCGTGACTTGACGGCCATGTAATCTATTTGCTCACTACTTTCCGTCTGTGGTGACGGTGATAGTGGTGCAGCTTCGGCTTGGGGTGGTTGAGCCGATGGGATTGGTTTGAGGCCAATCTTGGCTCGAAGTTTGTTCGTTTCCTTGAGACTTAGATCTCGTCGCTCTTCATTTGGTTCTGGTCTTTTGGGTGTAATCAAAGGTAGGCCTAGTTGAGCTCGTAGCTTGTTTGTTTCCTCAAGAGAGACTTCGATAACTTCCACCATATACGTAGGCCTATGCGCCGCACATCATGAGCCGCACTACTCTATATATCACTGAGCATGATGAACTAATAATGAAAATGATTTGAACTATATACATCGTTACCGTCTAGGTTTAATTGAGGCCGCTTCTACCGGATTTTCATGCTTCGATTCTTCTGCCTGTTTCCATGGATCGTAAGGCTCACTCACGTCGTTGTTCTTCCCCGAATGTTTCTCTTCGGTGTTAATGACAGGCTCCCCAGTAGTATTATCTTGTGGTATTTGCTTCTCGGCTTGTTCCTGTTCATACTGTTTCAAGTAGGCCTCTTGATCCTGTTTAGCCCGGTCGAGTTCTTGTTGTAATTTGAGCTTTTGTTCTTCCTCCAAACGTTGTTTTTCTGCGTACCATTTAGATTCGGCATGAGCAGCAAGTACCTTAATCTTTTGTTGTCTTACTTGATCATTGATAAGCTCTTCTAACGTAGGTGCTTCAAAACGGGTCCGCCGCAACCACTGAAGCCACTGCGGAGGGACGGTTTCGAAGTAGTCACTTTTGAATAATAAGGGTTTCCATGGTTCCATCTTCCGTCGCAACCGCTGCATATTCCCATCTAGTGTGAACTCCCAGTAGGTATTGCCGTGCAAGTCGTACCCACAAAAGAACTTCTTACGAAACGGGATGTCCCGGCGAGCTTTCCACTGGTGAATCATGCGCTGCCATGGCGTGTACTTCGTCTTCAAAGGGTCCATCGTTAAGGATTCTGCGCGTGCGGCTACCTTGCGGTCGTATAGGTTTTCAATGTAACGATTGAAATTAGAATTCAAACTACTGTGAAACAAAAGAACTTACACAACTGTTTCTACACAAAGGTAATTATTCTTGAAACTTTTTTGCTCCCTCTAGTTTTGAGGTGTCTGAATTATTTCCGCAGCAACATCAAATGATTTCCAACTACAATGATTACAAGATCTATTAGCCCATCACAATGGGGGATCAGGATTCAATTGGGCACTTCACAATGCGAGCTTTAGCTCACCAGTACAACTATCGCTGGCTATCCGCACCTCGCACGTAGATAATTGCTCCTCCAACCAAACCCTTGCCATGGGTAATTCTACGGACCCTCCGCTAGAGCGAATTGCTCCGGTCCCTATAACAATGAATGGCATTGATGATGAGGAGGATACTGCGATTGCGCTGATCACAAACGTGTTAGTGGGCGACTACCACGAAATCACGGGTGACGTGGGGAAACCATATGTGGTGTGGCAAATCAAAATCACGTTGGGCGATTCAGACTACTCCTCGATTCACTTATATAAACGGTATCTGGAATTTGAGCAGTTTCGCCGACTATTGATCGAGGCATTCCCTGATGACCGTTCCACGATCGCCTCGTTGCCTGCTAAGGATAACTTTGCCGTGAACCGAGTCATGCAAACCCGCACGTGGCTTGAAAAACGCCGCCGAGGCCTCCAGTGGTTTTTGTCGAATGTGTTGTTGAACCCTAAATACCAGAAGCTGGCGGTGGTTACGCTGTTCCTTTTATCGCGAGATATGCCCCCGCCCGATTCCTGAACTAGACTTTATCGATGCTTACGTGATCGCATCAAGTCCAGACTCGCCGTGCTCATATGCGGTGAGAAAACTAAATTGTGGCGTTTCTAGACCGATCGCGGAGACGAGGCTTCAACCGTTAGACTAATAGCTAGCCGAACAAACACCGACGGCATAACGTTCGACACCACTAAATAGAGTATATGTCATGCCACGGGCGCTTACTAATACACTCTCATGTCATTACCTTCATCCATTTCTCCTTGCTGACGAAATCAACGATAACCCCGACCGAGGTTGCTGACAAAAACTGCGAAGGTCTCGGCATATCCCGCACTATATAATAGGTGTGAAAAAAAACGTTTATGCTCCGTAGCTTCTCAAGAATGGTTCACAACAGAGTTACTATTGTGGGATCGGGCCCCGCCGCCCACACCGCCGCCATCTACCTTGCCAGAGCGGAAATGGAACCCACGTTATACGAAGGGATGCTTGCTAACGGCATCGCTGCCGGTGGTCAGCTTACCACTACCACAGACATTGAAAATTTCCCTGGGTTCCCCGATGGGATCAACGGTACCACCTTGATGGAAAAAATGAGAGCTCAATCGGAAAGATTCGGCACTAAGATCATCACCGAAACCATCTCGAAGTGTGATTTCTCTCAAAGACCTTTTAAGTTGTGGACTGAGTGGAACGAAGACGGCGAACCCATCACCACTGACGCCGTGATCATTGCCACTGGTGCCTCTGCCAAGAGAATGCACTTGCCTGGTGAAGACACCTACTGGCAACAGGGTATTTCCGCCTGTGCTGTCTGCGATGGTGCCGTCCCCATTTTCAGAAACAAGCCCTTGGCCGTTGTTGGTGGTGGTGACTCCGCCTGTGAAGAAGCTTTGTTCTTGACCAAGTACGCTTCCAAGGTGTACTTGCTTGTGAGAAGAGACCAATTGAGAGCCTCTACCATCATGCAAAAGAGAGTCAAGGAACACGAAAAGTTGGAAATCTTGTGGAACACCGAAGCCCAGGAAGCTCTTGGCGATGGCAAGTTGTTGAACGAACTTAAGGTGTTGAACAACAAGACCAACGAAGTCTCTAAGTTGCAAGTGAACGGGTTGTTCTACGCTATTGGCCACATCCCCGCCACCCAAGTGTTCAAGGACCAACTTGAAACTGATGAATCCGGCTACATTATCACCAAGAACGGCACAGAAACCTCGGTGGAAGGTGTATTTGCTGCTGGTGACGTCCAAGACAAGCGTTACAGACAAGCTATTACCTCTGCTGGTACCGGGTGCATGGCTGCCCTTGACGCTGAGAAGTACTTGTCGGAGCTCGAATAGACGGTGCTGCCACTATTATAGAATGTTATAGAAACGTGATGATTCTCCCATGACTAATAAGTTGTTTTAATACAATGATTAAAACCAGAAATTTCCTTTTCACATAGGATGTTCATGATGCTGGATGCAACATGGGTCATATTCAACTCAGTTTTGTGTTAAATTTACCCCCACCTTATATCCGAGTCGAGTATAGACCTCGTAGTCAATTTTAGTTTACAATCTGATACTCGTGAAAATCCTTGATATTAGTTCCAACAGTGATCAGTGGAAAGTAGCACTGATGTTCCGCTTGGATCCGAAATCATCTATTTTCCTTCACTCGCCTTCCATGTGGGTGCGTATCTTCCGCACTAGGAACTAGCCCTGCACCTAAATTTTCGGTCCACGTAACCAAGACACAACCCAGTCGATGTCACGATATCCGTTCACGTTTGATGACACCTTCGACGAGGACCTTGACAATACTCTTGACAGAGCATTGTTATCAGTTCCGCAGCAGCGACAGCTGCTGCAACTGCTGGCGCAAATAGCCATGGCGAGTATGTCTAATCTTGACGTCCGCAAACAACTGAGCCTGGGACGTAACCTGATACTGGTCGAGACTCATGCACCACTCCTACGAAGAAATACAAGCTCAGCGTCATTGCAAAAGTTACGCGATCATGATAGAGCCCGAGCGATACAAATATTCTTCCAACAATTATGGGCTCGTATTACCAGAAAACGAGGAATTCAAATCAATTCGGAACCTCAGGAGCGAATCATTCGTCAGGGTGTACATGGCTATCCTAATAATGCCGTCTCCAACGCCAAATACAATCCAGTGACATTTATACCGCTTATCTTGTACGAGCAGTTCAAGTTCTTTTTCAACTTGTACTTTTTGATGGTGGCATTATCCCAGGCTATACCACATTTACGGATCGGTTATTTGTCACTGTATATTGTTCCGTTGGCCTTTGTTTTAACCGTCACAATGATGAAAGAGGCTGGGGACGATATAGCTCGTCGGCGTCGAGACCGCCAGCAGAATAATGAGCTTTACGAAGTTCTAGTTACTGGTCTGCTCTCGGGTGAGCCGCGTATGGTTCATTCGAAGGATTTATCCGTGGGTGATTTTGTTCGCGTTCACAAAGGTAAACGTGTCCCTGCTGATATGGTACTTTTGCATACATCAGAAACGACTGGAGAAACTTTCATAAAAACCGATCAACTTGATGGTGAAACTGATTGGAAACTCAGGGTGGCTCCCCAAGTTACTCAGCAAGTTGCTTCTATCGACGATCTTATAACCAACGCAGAGGTTGTCGTGCCTCCTCCGGCAAAGCTGATTCACTCGTTCACGGGTAAGCTCAGTTATGAGAATACTGTGGCGGCATTGCTGATTGACCAGACTTTGTGGGCCAATACCGTTCTTGCTCTGGGTACCGCTATTGGCATGGTGGTATATACCGGTCCTGACACTCGCCAAGCTATGAACACAACCAAGACTGGGGTCAAAACGGGGTTGCTTGAGCTTGAGATCAACAGTATTTCAAAATTGCTTTGTGCCACTGTCTTCATCTTGTCGGTGGTTCTTGTCTTAGCGCATGGTTTCCCTCTTGAAAGCAATTGGTATCTAGACATCATGCGCTTTCTCATTTTGTTTTCCACGATTATTCCGGTTTCTCTTCGGGTCAATTTGGATCTTGCCAAATCAGTTTATGCCAATCAAATTCAGAGCGATGATGATATTCCAGACACGATTGTGCGGACGTCGACAATCCCTGAGGACTTGGGTCGCATCGAGTATTTACTCAGTGACAAGACAGGCACCCTCACACAGAATGACATGGAAATGAAGAAGCTCCATCTCGGTACTGTAAGCTACGCTGGTGAAACCATGGATATGGTTCTGGAGTATGTGCGCAACATGACCCCTTCCGATAGTAAAAAGCGAGATTTAGGGCTGCGTGTTTGCGATCTCGTGTTGACTCTTGCACTTTGTCATAACGTTACTCCTACCTATGATGATGTTGATGATGAAATCAACGGTCTTGTCACGTATCAAGCAGCCTCGCCGGATGAAATTGCAATTGTACAATTCTGTGAAGAAGTTGGTCTCAAGCTTGTGAAAAGGGACCGTAATTTGATTACCTTGATGCATTTGCCTACTAATCGGCAACTTAAATTCAAAGTTCTTTATAACTTTCCATTTAACTCGGATACGAAACGTATGGGTATTCTTGTTTGTGATGAGCAAACCAATGAGTTGTGGTTTTTACAGAAAGGTGCTGACACGGTAATGCTGAAAATTGTCCAAGCTAACGATTGGCTAGATGAAGAGACAGGTAATATGGCACGTGAGGGTTTGCGGACGCTCGTTATTGGACGCAAGCGTATTACACCTCAACAATTCGAAGACTTTGAGGAGAAATACAAGGAAGCTCTGATATCCATGATTTCGCGAGACACTGCCATTCAAAAAGTAATCAGCAAATACTTGGAACAAGATCTTGAATTGTTGGGTTTGACCGGGGTAGAGGACAAACTTCAGCCTAATGTCAAGCAACTGATCGAATTGTTGAGACAAGCTGGTATAAAGATTTGGATGTTGACCGGTGATAAAGTTGAGACTGCCAGATGCGTACTGATTCTGGCGCGACTTATTTCTCGTGGTCAGTATGTTCATCAAATTACGAAACTAAATGATTTAAGTGGAGATGAAGCTGCCCTCACTCAATTGGACTTTTTGCGTAACAACCCCAATGCTTGCTTGCTCATTGATGGTGAACTGTTGGGTTATTATATGCTGTTTTTGCGGGACGAGTTCTTTACAGTGGTAAAACCCTTGCCGGCTGTGATTTGTTGTCGTTGTCTGCCTCAACAAAAGGCGGATGTTGCTATGATGATCCGCCAACTCGCTGGGAAACGAGTCTGTTGTATTGGTGACGGGGGTAACGATGTCAGTATGATTCAATGTGCTGACGTAGGTGTGGGCATTGTTGGGAAAGAGGGTAACCAAGCATCTCTTGCTGCTGATTTCAGTATTTTGTCGTTCTCTTACCTTTCTAAATTGTTGCTTTGGCATGGACGCAATTCATACAAACGCTCAGCGAAGCTCGGTCAATTTATCATCCATCGTGGGTTACTTATCTCAGTGGCTCAGGCAGTATTCTCAATATCGTCCCTGTTTGAGCCATTGGCTCTTGTTCAAGGATGGTTGATGGTTGGTTACGCCACCGTGTACACGATGGCACCAGTTTTCTCATTAACGCTTGATACTGATATCGATGAGCATTTGACGAGACTTTATCCCGAATTATACAAGGAATTGACTTTGGGGAAGCTGTTGCTGTACCGCACATTTTTTATGTGGGTTTTGATTTCTCTCTGGCAAGGGTGCGTTATTCAAATTTTGAGTCAATGGTTCCAAGGGTACGATGAAAAGGCATTCAAGTCCATGGTTGCATTGTCGTACACCTTGCTCATTATCAATGAGTTGGTTATGGTGGCATTGCTGGTCAATAGATGGACAAAAATCATGGCAGCGCTGTGTATCATCACTGGATTGATATACGTTGCGCTGGTGCCATTCTTGGGCGAATATTTCAATTTAGCATTTATGACGACTTTATCGTTTTATTGGCAATTGGCGCTAATTCTTGCGGTTAGTTTGTTCCCGGTGTGGTTATCGCGTTACATCGATCGCAAGTTGCGTCCTCCTTCCTACGCAAAAGTGCAACAAGATTAACAACTATCAGGTTAATGAAGTAATACACGAACGAATGTTGTTGTAACAATGACATTGGCTATTTTTAGAGAATATTGCTATCAATTTCATCAAGGGAGAATCTTACGAAAGCCGAATTCGGTTTGACATGCTACTTCGGCAATAATTCTGGTTGCAAGTTGCAACATTGCCACGATTCTAGGCTAACTAGTAATAGGTAGTCCCCATCGCAATCAATGAACGACCGTAGATTTTGAATTATAAGTTATTCACAAATTACAAAGACAAGCGGGTTTTTTTGTTTGATAGAATAACATCCTCAAGAGAATTGAATGTGGCTGGATATGGGGTGACTTTTACTGTCTTCGCCACGTCGGCACGACGTGCATGGAGGGCAAATATGCAGAGTGAAATGGGGTCGGCGCTGACGTGCAAGGCAATCAGCCTCGTTCCCCCTCGTTCCCATCGTACTCGTCGTTCTTTTCGTTCTCATCGTTTCCCACGCTCTGTCAATTCCTATTTGAGTGCCTGTCTATTTCGTCTTGTGTCAAAATCATGCCTATCCCATCAAATCAAAGATTAATTTTATGGAGGCCCTAGAAGCAAGTACCACGATATCAACAATAATTATCGATTGACATGAATCTCTTGGGTTAGGGGAGAGATTTCTTTTCTTTTGACCACTCTAGAGCCGATTATGTCCAAATTCCCATAGTCCTATGGCTACGTATTACCTTTCAATCACTGAGATTACGCAATTTTTACTATGGCGAATCACCCCATATGCATCATTCCTCAAGCCACAAACATAATGTTGGATGTGCGTGCCCCTAATAACGAATGCATGAACCATCAGAATTGATGGAAGTATAAATCTGAGGTAAATTCTTCTTAAAATACAGTTTTGATTCACATATGAAAGCCATTTTTGGAAGATCCTCGTTCACCGTTGCGTACCTTAGTGTTGCTGCAACGCTTCCATTTTTATTGTCTTACAAAGAGACCACGCTGAATCCTCAGTTCAAAGGCACCCACTTCCGCTGGATTTCGGGAAGAATTTGAGGGTGTATTCAAGATGGGACATAATGACGACCCAAACTAAAGGCACCCGTTTCGGATAGATCTCGGGAAGAATTCGATGGTGCATTCACGATGGAATACGGTAATGACTATAATGAACAGATAAATATATGCAATCAGTGTAACTGTGTGTAATCGTCAAAATGTTGTGTCTTGAGGAGATAATTTTAGCTTTGAGCGAAGACACATCTCTTCTAATATAACTTACCGTTTTAATGTACACTATTTACAAGTAATTTATTTGTTCCAAGCAGCGCCTTTAAACATCTCTTGGGCCAGCTTCAAACCAGTGGCCACGTCGAAGAGCAGCTGTCTCTGGCTCAAAGACAAATCACCGTTCTGCAGGATTTGTTGGCTGACAAATTGGGAATCCTTACCCTTGGCTTTTGAGGCATCAATAACAAGAGGCTTACCTTGAACCATGTGAGCATACCTGCTCTTGATTTGCTCAGGGTTCACCAGAACTGAGAATGAAGATTGCTGCAAGATGAACCGGTTAGGATGCTTGGCAGGAATGTCCGCAATCACTTCTTTGGGGAGCTTGTACGGGTATTTAGATTCGACAAGAGCTTCCTTAGCCAAGGCAGCAGCTCTCGAAGAGGGGGAAATCACGAGTGACACTGGCTTCCCGTAGAGGAACGTGTTGCCAGACACCAGGGGGGTCAAAGGAACAGCATGGAGTTCCTTTACTGGTATGGTGGGTTTTTCATCAGTTCTCAGCTTGATACCACGACCTTGCCCACGAGTGGATCTCTTGGCATTATTACGCTTCTGAGCGGCACCCTCAGTAGGCTTCGCTGTGTTGGTACGAGCAACTCGCGGTCCCCTGGGACCACGGGCACGAGCACCGTCTTGCCCTCTTTGTTCAAAACGAGCTTCACCTTCACGGTTTTGACCGAATCTGTTCCGCATAGGGTGATTCAATATTTGAACATCACTCTTGGGTAAACGTGCGGGTTCAGGAGTAGAGCCAGGGCCAGGCTTAGCCGTCTTCGCCGGAGCCTTCGATTTCTTAGCCTTCAGCGACAGCGCTTGGGTGGCTGACTTTTCGACGATTTCATTGGCACGACTGGTAACCGCATTCACTCTTTTGAGTAGATCGCTTAAAAACGGCGACGTCGAGTTATGACGAACCGACACCCGGAACATGCTTCACTTTGACGATTGTCAGAAAAATTTCCTCCCGCGAAGTCTCCGCACCGTAATCGGTTGCGAAAAAAAAACCATTCGTGAAACATCGAAGTGCCCCATCGTATGCGTAGATCTAGAGAACTCACTAAATGTTGAAGACCAACATCTTCTCGATGAAACCGATTGATCCAGCACCTTATTGGATGATGCGGTTGTTTGCAATTGAAAAGCCTGTTTCGAAGAATCATAATCGAAAGAGTTTTGAAAGTTTTGAAAGTGTCGATCCTTCGGAATACTGTAAGTTTCAGTAATAGCTTTCAAATCGCTGAATTGCTTAACGTATTCCATTTTTTTAATTGAGTTGATTGATGTGAATCTAGAAGTGTGTGAGAGCCTTAAACTGTTTGCAAATATGGTCCAGGGGATGAAGTCAATTGAAGGTATTATTGGAGTGACTACGGTGCATCAATTCTTTATTTAAGTCCGGCCATGGCCTATAATTTTGAAATTATATTTTCAGCATGGGCACACAATTTACTGTAGTTTTACGAAGTTTTGCATTTTTCTTCAAATATGCTACGCGTCACACTTCAAACTTAATGAGAGTTAATCAACAGCGTAATTGAGTCACCTTGCTTAACAGAAACTCTTGCTCCCTACTAAAGATAGAACTTGTTCAATTGTTAGATATCGGAGACATCCGTCGCGCATGTATTGAAGTCACTTTAAGAAAGAATTTAGATCTACTTAAGAGTCAGTGAGATGTATACTGATCGCGAGCGGTCAATTGCAGTTAGTTGTGCACTATATTAGAGTTGTGTGACAAGTTTATTCAACCTTGTACGCTATTCGAAATTATGCTCGGTGAGCATAATTTTGTGAGCAGCCCGACCGACCGCCGAATGTGTGGTGCACATTAATACAAATTCATTAACGAAAGATTCGAAGAAAACATCAGGACCTATTTAACAGCTAAAACTATCAATGGTTCATCCGAAAAAAATAAGAAATTGGAATTACAAGACGTGTTTTTCAAATTAAATAAATAACGCTACGTCGTTGGCCATCAAACGTTCTCCGATCACGTGACCTCGCATTGGCCAATGACAGTAGAGGAAACGCTTGGAGTGCGGGCGCGGACAGCGAGCTTTATAAAACCACAAAAAATTCACCTCAAATTTTTTCACTTAGACAATTCCCAGAATGTTGAGATCGATTGCTAGATCCGTCAGAGTGGTAAGTGCCAACAAGGTCAGCTTCCAAATGACAACAATGAACGCCCACTCGAAGCCCGCAGTCGTGAGCCTGGTGTAAATTGACAATTCAGTGATGATTTCCCGCCAGTTCCATTCTCGCATTTGAAATCAAGTGAGGACCATGGAGTGTCGTGTGCAATGCTAATGGTCGTTTCCAATTGACCTGGACTCTCATTCTTGTTGTGATTGAAAATTTTTCAGACATTTCAATGAGTGGGAACGTGGGCCAAAAATACACTGGGAAACGGCTTGATTGCAAGATCTAATCACCAGCTCGGAGCTTGAAACCCCACGACTGCTACCTTGAGACTGGTAGCGTTTCATTTGGAAGAGAATTGATGGATTGGATTAGGTACTAACAATATAGGCCCAACCTGTGGCTAGAAGATTTGCTTCGGCCAAGGCTGCCCCCACTGAAGTCTCCTCGATCCTCGAAGAAAGAATCAGAGGTGTGTCTGACGAAGCTAACTTGAACGAAACCGGTAGAGTCTTGTCGGTTGGGTAAGTATTATTGGTCAAAATGTTCGCACTTATGTGCAGTATCTGCACTGCGAACTTGAGGGAAAAAAGAAAAATTAACTAACAACATAGTGATGGTATTGCCAGAATTTTTGGTTTGAACAACATTCAAGCCGAAGAATTGGTTGAATTCTCTTCGGGTGTCAAGGGTATGGCCTTGAACTTGGAAGCCGACCAAGTCGGTGTGGTGTTGTTCGGTTCGGACAGATTGGTCAAGGAAGGTGAAACCGTTAAGAGAACCGGTCAAATTGTTTCGGTCCCTGTCGGTCCCGAATTGTTGGGTCGTGTTGTCGACGGTTTGGGTAACCCCATTGACGGTAAGGGCCCCATCAACGCCAAGGAACTCACCAGAGCTCAAGTTAAGGCTCCCGGTATCTTGCCCAGAACTTCGGTTTTCGAACCCATGCAAACTGGTTTGAAGGCCGTTGACGCTTTGGTCCCCATTGGTAGAGGTCAAAGAGAATTGATTATCGGTGACAGACAAACCGGTAAGACCACCGTTGCCATGGACACCATCTTGAACCAAAAGAGATGGAACGACGGTAACGACGAATCCAAGAAGTTGTACTGTGTGTACGTCGCCGTTGGTCAAAAGAGATCGACCGTCGCTCAATTGGTCCAAACCTTGGAAAAGAAGGACGCCTTGAAGTACTCGATCATTGTTGCCGCTACCGCCTCGGAAGCCGCTCCCTTGCAATACATCGCCCCCTTCACTGGTTGCGCTATTGGTGAATGGTTCAGAGACAACGGTAAGCACGCCTTGATTGTCTACGACGATTTGTCGAAGCAAGCCGTCGCCTACAGACAATTGTCGTTGTTGTTGAGAAGACCCCCCGGGAGAGAAGCTTACCCTGGTGATGTTTTCTACTTGCACTCGAGATTGTTGGAAAGAGCCGCCAAGATGTCGGAAGCCTTCGGCTCCGGTTCGTTGACCGCTTTGCCCATCATTGAAACTCAAGGTGGTGACGTGTCTGCTTACATTCCTACCAACGTTATTTCGATTACCGATGGTCAAATCTTCTTGGAAGCTGAATTGTTCTACAAGGGTATCAGACCTGCCATTAACGTCGGTTTGTCCGTCTCGAGAGTCGGTTCGGCTGCTCAAGTTAAGGCCATGAAGCAAGTTGCTGGTTCGCTTAAGTTGTTCTTGGCTCAATACAGAGAAGTCGCTGCCTTCGCCCAATTCGGTTCCGACTTGGACGCCTCGACCAAGCAAACCTTGAACAGAGGTGAAAGATTGACTCAAATCTTGAAGCAAAAGCAAGGTGCTCCTCAAGCCGCTGAAGAACAAGTCCCCGTCATCTACGCTGGTGTCAACGGTTACTTGGACAACATCCCTGTCGACAGAGTCGGTGAATACGAAGAAGGTTTCATCTCGTACTTGAAGTCTAACGATGCTGAAATCTTGGACGCCATCAGAACTACTGGTGAATTGTCCAAGGAAAACCTCGAAAAGTTGAAGTCGGCCACCGAAGAGTTCACCAAGAACTTCTAAGTGTCTTGGATGTCGCATCAAAACAAATTCTCTTCTCTATTTATTGAGAGTAAATATATGTATCAGAAAGAATTTATTCTAGTAGGCTCTTACCGATATGTAATGCTGTATACGTTTTTAGACGGCTTTCATAATTAGTCGTAACTAAACTCGGTAAAACACCTCATCCACTTCAGGGGGAATTGGGGCGTCTGGTTTAGCTTCATAAGACAACAATTGTTTCTGTTCGAAGTCGCCATGGCCAGGCGTACCTTTTAAAGTTGAGTTGTTTGTTGTCGGATAACCCTCTTTCCCTTGCAGTTGGATCAAGGTTTTCCAATGATGGCTACAGGATTGAACGACTTCAACAGTCGCGGCTGCACCCAAGAAGTCGCCGTTGAAGGCGAAAGTGTTTTCTGGCTTGCCATCGGGTAATTTATAATTGCGGAACCACCATCTTGTCAGGTCCAATAAACCAGGACAGTACTTCCGGATGTCGTCGATATCATTTAATTTTTGAGCCAAAGGATCCGCAACGTTGATTGCCAAAACTTTCCAATCAAGTTCACCATCGTCTATTAAAGCGATCAGACCCAAAATTTTAACTCTAACCACCAGCCCCGTGGAAAGAATCTTGGAGCCAATCTCACAAACATCCAAGGGATCGTTGTCGCCTAAGAGTCCGGTTTTCTCGCATTTAGTTCCTGGATCCTCCCATGTTTGTGGAAAGGCGCCGTAGTTGTGAATGTAGCCTTTGTAAGGAAACAAGTTGCCGACAAACCGCATCTTCCCTTTCTTTTGGTCTTGAACGATCGGGTTGCCTGGAGCCTTGACGTCGATTTCAAACTTCCCGTTGGACCAACGCGGAACTTCCACGACCATATTGGCTTCTCTGGTGGTCGAATCAAGGTCCAACGGGATGTCATGCATCCAACTTACCAACTTTCCATCGATTTTGGCATAGTTCTTATAGTCCGGAGTGTATTTCGAGCCGATCGAGCACGAGGTGACGGCAGCTGGTGACTTACTCAGGCACGGCTGGAGGGAAAGGTGACGTTGGACAACGCTTAATCTAGCGGCGGCGGAAGACTGAGGTGCCATTACTCGGTAAGATAGTAAGCGGTACATTTCCCCAGCTTATATAACGGCCACACAAAATACGTGAATTTGGTGGGGTTATTCACAGGCGAAAAAAAAATAATCGGTAGTATCCTCGGAACTTGCAAGCCGATCGGAGAGTAACAAATCAAATGAATAGACTTTTATATAGTCTGAATACGTGTGGTACAACTCTACATTGTGTTTCCTTGAGTGGTATTTGTAAACCCTGGCACCGCTTCACGAGGTTCACCTCTGAACTTCGTCCATGGCATCCTTTTAGCCGACCGAGCGGGGTGGTTAGGAAGTGTACAGGATCAAAACCTAGGTTATCAGCCCCCACATTATCTTGACAGAAAAGCACAGGCTGAGAGTACTACGGTGTGGCGCATAGGAAGGACGATGCATACAATTTTATAAAGGGTTTGGGCCAGTGAAATAAATTTCACCTTTCTCGTTGAAAGCGGCGTTTTTGTTAGACGCCTCCACCGCTGTGGCAAGACGTGCAACCTCGATGTCTGATAGACCCATAGGATCACGAGGAATCCATACACCAGGACATTTTGCCAGAGCCAGGGGACTGTCGTAGGCGTGCCTATCGTCAGCTTCGGGTGCGGGGTCGTCGTAATAATCTGGCGGCAAATCAGTTTTCGCGTGTCGGAAGTTAGCAAATATGTCAAATCGGAAATACCTTACAAGAGGATTATAGAAGCCAATCTCTTTGAAATCTCTATCAGCCAACAACGGAACGATCTGAGTGGCTTGATTTCCCACGTCTTCTTGAAGTTCCTGCTTGAGGTCTTTGTTTTCCTGATGTTCTAGTAACAAATTCGTTTTCGAAGCATGCCCTCGAGATTTGTTGACGACTTTCGCAACATATTCAGTGGGACCCTTCGCTGATGGAGTGTCAGTAATGCCATCGAGTGGTCTCATAGCGTCCATGGACACATACTTTAATTGGTGATGGTAAGTTTTGTTCAAATGCAAATGCCAAAGAATGGTCACAACTAGCCCAATCACAGCTAGAACAATGGCTCCCCAACCTTTACCGAATACAGCTATACCAAGTATGCAAATTTGCCCAAGATAGATTCCAATCATGGTCTCAGATACAGCATTACGATAATACATGCCTCTTCCATCTGGAGCAAATCCAAGGCAATACACTAAGTTGTGACAATACGCAATGTACACCATGAACATCGTGAAAGCCCCAAATATGAGGATGATTGGAGATATAATGGCGTACGTAAGGGTGATCACCACCAATAACGTATATGTTGGAAAAGTAGTACCCCACGCCATCGAATCGAGTGACACATACCGCGTCCACTTTTGCCTAACCGTCTTATCAAGTGTCGACCCTAGGACATAAAACAAGATCAAGTTCACAATTTGAAATAACGTACCGCCAGCAATTGTGAAAGCATTCAAGGCGAGATAGGAGATGTAAAAGTTGGACGATAACGGCAATTGCGCTGCTAACATATGCATAGCTTCCTCAGGGTGATCAATGATTTTCTTTACTGCTGCTGTCACAGACGACATGAGTGCAGCCACAAGGAAACCGTTGACGACCTGAAACACCATGTATACTTTTTGGGTGAAATCTTCAATTCGTTGCTTGGTTGTGGCGCCCCGTACTTGAGCTGCAGTTCGAATGAAGATTGGGAGCATGAACATCAAGATCGCCAACAAAAAGGTAGGTAACAAACCAGATACAACCCCTTGCAACCAGCCAGGCAACCTCTTGATAAATGAAAGCCACTTGAAAGTCTTCAGGAGTGTGTCAATACTAGCAATTGAACCCACAAACCCTGTTGGGATCGCCCAGAGAACGATAAGGGCGATCATCGCAGCCGATGCAAGAATAGTTCTAGCTGATTGCTCAAAGGAAAATATACGCAAGTTATTCCACACCACTTCGCCTGGCTCAAAGCCGATCTCAGCCCCGACGAATTGCCCAGGAGTATGCGATATTACCAGTTGATAAGCCAATTGAGCATACTCCTGAGTTTCAAATTCAACGATCAAAGAGTTCTTAGGACGCTTTTTGTGGTAGTTGCGTTGCAAGTGGGCAATTTCTTTGTTGAGTTTTGGAATCTCTTCAATGTAATGAGTAATGGCATCAACCTTGTGTCGCTTGAAGATTTTACCACCAATGTTAATACGAGGGCGCTTTTTCTCGGGAACGTAGGCACTAATATCATCAACAGGAGTTATGGTCTCGCCCTTCTTTTCAGCCTTTAATTTTTGCTTCATGGCTAGCTTGAGAAGCTTATTCTCTGCCCTCTCCAAAGCCATCACCATATTTTGTCGCTTTATGATTAACGAATCAAGCTTTCGCGTCGTTCGACTGATGTAGATACGTTTGATACCATCAAATAGTTTGTACATCAGTTTAGTATCCAACATTTCGTCAGGAACGAATCGAAATAAAACAGTACGGGACGAACGCTTGGCAGCATAATGAGGCAGAGCTAAGGCAGCTGTCCGTAATGAGTTGTAGTAGTAAAGCTCACGCTCGAGAGTGAAGATTACCAATCCGTAAAATATCCACGATATCAATACATGAGCGTAATATCGGCTTCCTTGGTTAACATTGGAAATCGACAATTGATCGAAACCTTTCTTGTGGTTGCCATTGGTAGCGTTGACTGGAAGTAACACAATCCATGTGAGAATACCACCAGTGAAGCAACATCCCATGATCCATAGGTAGCGCAAAAAGAAATATCCATCAAGTCCACATTGCTTGATCAAAGTCTGCGGAGGCTCGGTCAAAATTACCCACAACCACAGAAAAGGGTCCTTTGGGAGCGGTTGGGGACGATCTTGCTCTGGTATGGATTTGAGCATGGTTTTGGGCGAATAAATCCTCGTGAACTTTAGCCGGAGAACGATGAAACATGTGACAAATACGGCACATATTACACCGTTAGCTAGGACTGTAACCAACACCTGCGATGTTGAGGTGCCGGTCTGAGAAGCCATGCTATTGTGCTATCCAAATCTTCATAGCCCTCGAGAAGAGTATAACTATGCACATACTGCACATAGTGATCTATGACCTCATAGTGGGTATGGCTGTAGCATTATGATGACACCGAGAGAGAGGGGTTACATCTCTTCGGCAACATATATAGTCGTGAGGTGCGATGAACGCGTAAAGGAGGTTCAATAGCAATCACTAATACATGTAAATTGGTCAATGAGTTTTATCGCTACTAGTGCTCTCGACAACTCACTCTTTCCTCGAGATGCGACCAAGAATGCTTTCGTAATCGAGCAGAAGTGATACTACGGCATGCGTATTGTCACAACCCTTGACACGACTTTTTTTTTTCTCTGTTAATGTCACCGATATTAACTTAGCAAGCTTCTCACAATGGCAACCTGACCGAGCAGATTTTTACCATTGATCTCACTCAGCGAAAGCAATCTTGACATAAATAACTCCGCAATATTTACTAAAACGCGTGGCGCACCGAAATGTTTGACACAAAACTACTCGAACTAAACTGGGCTACGTAGATCGGAACTAGTCATGTGATCGCGCCGCATTGGGACTTGATTGTAACCACCCTACGAACAATGAGCTTTCTATGTGTTGTTAGTTGACAGCCATGGATCACCACTGTATACGTGTTTGTTAGCTCAGGTCTAAGTCTTACAGACAAGACTCGTATGGATGATGTTATCGAAAACTTCACAACTCATGATGGAATTGGACTTGATATGAAGATTGCAGCAAAGTTAAAACATTGGTGCTTTGTGATTCCATTGCTTCAGGGAATTCGAAATGCTTCGTCATGTTTGGCTCAAAGAAAACGCTTGTACCGTACCTCACTATCATTTGAGTTGATACATCATCGCACTTTTCGCAAGCTCTCATGATATATGCCTAAAGCGAAACAACGAATAACCAAGAACCTGCCACCTCCAGCAGGATATGAGAAAATCAAACCTACCCTTGATTCACTACTTTCCAAGCTCAAGGATGCACAAACATCGACGCTAGCGACCACAACAACGACAAAGCTGACATGGCCCATCATCAAGCTTAATCATCAGATATCAAGGTTTGTATACGATATGTTCTATCAGCGGAAAGCAATCAGCAAAGACTTGTATGACTGGCTTTTACTCCAGCCTTACACCAATGCCGAGCTTATTGCCAAATGGAAAAAGCAAGGGTACGAAAAGTTGTGTTGTATTAATTGTATTCAGACTTCGTCAACAAATCATGGAAATGCATGTGTGTGTCGAGTAACACGAAAAACACTCGAAAAGAATGGCGAAGCCGATCGTGAAGTTGAGTGTATTACATGCGGGTGCACTGGTTGTGCTAGCACTGATTAAATTATATTATTTTCTTTAAATTAATATGAATTCATTCCAATCCTTTCCTAATACCATTTCCCAATACACCATTATAATATGCAACTCTACTCGTTTCGTTTGTTGACGACTTCCTCCTCCTCAAGTTGAGCCCGTTTGAAGTCAAACATTAAGTTACGCAGACTGCACATTGTTGGGCTCAATTGAGAATCAGGACGACCTCTGAATGCTGGCGATTGATGTACAGGTCTCAAGACCATGTCTTCATCATCATACAGATTAAAAATCGTCGGGCGGCCCCCATGCGCGGCGTGCACCAATGGCGAATAAAACTCCTCAAGATAAGAAGGCAGATTCCACATCTTTCTCACTATCAGTTGCGTTTGGGGAGTTTTAAGATTTCTTAATGGCGTCTTTAACACTTTCGGGGTATTTTGCAGCTGGGGGGTGACCAGCAGCCCAGCTGTAAGTTGAGGGGGCTTGAGCATCGACCCTTTTATTTTCAGTCCCAAAAGCGCCGGGGTTAGAGGTTCTAACAAAGGCCCGGGATCGTTGGGACGTGTTGGGCTCAACTCGAGGTTCGATGAGTATGAGAATGAGCTTGAACACGAGAGAGTATGCATCGAATCATCGATGACGATATTTGTTGTTGGTGCTTTCTCACTGTCGCTATTGTTGTCACCATCCGCAAATGGTTCTCCTAATTTTTGGCGTTTACTCGAAGCTTCTAGCGCCAATTCATCAAGGGTGCGTTTTTTGTAGTTTATAGGTTGCGTCGGTTCATCCAGAGGTGGTGAACTGGGCAAAGCAACGGGAGCTTGCTTCTGTTTGATTTGCTCCATGACTTCATGGTAGCTCAGCTTGCGAACGGTTTTCAGCTTTAAAAACTGTTCTTCACATCCCGGTTTTATGCACCAAAAGTGGCCTTTACCATCTTTCAGCTTTTCTCCCTTGACAAAGGCTTTGTTCAATGAGAGATTATGACGGATCAGGTTTTGCCAACCAACATCTTGACGCTTGTAATACTTGAACGTATCGGAAATCCATTGGTAAATCTGCAGCAAAGTCAACTTTTTATCTGCATGAGATAAAATGGAAATGCCAATCAAAGTAGCATAACTGTAAGGTGGTTTCTCATCGCTCAGCAAATCAAACGCTTCCTCCTTGATTTCTTTTTTGGTCTTCTTCCGTTTTTTCTCTCTCGAATTTGTCAGAGACGGATCAATACAGATTTGCCGATAAGTCGTAGCCTTTGGTGCGCCGGGGTATTGGTCTGGTGACAGAAACGCTGGCAGAAGCAACGAAGGATTGGGTGCAGGGGGCACACGCGCCATAGCCATGGGATCCAATGATTGGGGTACCCCTTGAGATAACACATGGCCCGTAGTGGTGCTAGCGGCGATGGCAGGGTCCAAATTAGTCAAAGGCGTGTCAAAAGGTTTCTGGGTGAACAGTTGAGGCGGGGTTTTCATTTTGTACACCGCCTGCGGCCCTAGGTTAGCACGGTTTCCCAACGTGGCGCTGCTGGTCTTTTCCAGTAACGGCACTCGAGCAGAATATGGCATCATCGTGGCGATGGTACCGACTCCAGGGAATAATGATCTTTAACTATATTTTTTTTCCGCGTTTGCGCGCTTTGGCCTTTATATAACCTTTTGATACGATTGTTTTGGTTTTCGGAGGGAACGCGTCGCGCTCGCGCGTTATTTTTTAATGCTGTGGAACTTTGCCGGTTCGTGTCCCCCTCGCCGCAGGCGCCACAATGGATGGCTTGCGCTGGGTAAATCCAGCCAAGCTCGAGATTATCGACTTTAGTATGAGACGATTGTAATTGTAAGATGTACCCATTACATGACGACCTCTTCACATTCCTCGTCGACGTCGCGCATGGGGGGCTGCACTTGCTTGCAACCTTGCGGGGTGGCCGGCAACGCATGCGTTTTTGACGGCTGTCCTCAAAATTGTTGCGGCAGCACATGGCAATCGGTGCCTATCTTCTTAACAGTAATTGGTGACGACTGCGTTTGTGCGGTCAGCACCGAGGGAGGTGCAGGGTTCACGTCCGACATCCTGGATCTTCCTTTGCTAACAACTCTATATATTGTACGCTAAAATAGAGCAAGCCTGGTGCTGCCACCTGGCCCTCTATTCGAACTCTATTTTTGGACTGTCGTTGAGACTGAGGTGATGGTGCTCTATAATTGAGAAAAAGAAAGGGGGGAAATAGAAGGGGGTTGCAATTTGTAGTCATCGATTTTGCATACAGGAGATGTTAGCTGGAATTGATAGACTTGCTGTTAAATGATTCCACCCTACACATTCGTAATTTCATTTTATTTTGCCGCCCCGAGCCCCTGTTGCTGATAAGATCAGACGCGTCTCCAAGGTCTTCGAGTGCGTGCTAAGCAGATTCGAGGACGCGTGGGGCGAATGAGGCAAATGGTTAGTTGGTCATTGATGAAGCGGCTGAGGTTTTGATTTTACGTTCCTCGCCACAAGGTTGGCTACTTCTACCCTCAAGTTTGAATACCCTCAGTACACCCTGAAATAAAGGTTTGCCTTCTACCTTGTGATCCTGTCAATCATTTGAAGTGCTTAGCTCGAATCTCCGATCTCGGTGGGACCCCGACATAGACATCTTCTTAGTTCCCCCAACTTTCGAACCCATTCTTTTGTGCTCACAGTAAGACTGTTGGAGCGAAAAAAAATCGCAGCACTCACGCTGAGAGAAGTATGGACGATACCATCAAACACCTTCTTCGCTTTGTTGCCCGGGGATTTTACCTGACCCAACATGTCCTAATTCTCGATGCGGTGATGCTCCATTCGGTCCTTTCCGATGACGATCTCTTGTTCTTGTTAGAGATCAAGAAGAAGGAGTTGCGAGCCTACTGCAACAAATTGGTCGATGACCGTTTGCTTCTGACTCATATCCAGAAAGAAGAACATCCACAACAACGGGCGATTTCTCGTACCTACTACTATATCCATATCACTGAAGCGATCGATGCCATCAAATGGAAAGTGCACTCGTTAGTCAACACCTTGAAGAACGAAATGCTGAACTACGGCAACCCTTCGGGCTACGTTTGCAAGCGTTGTAATCGTAAAGTCAGTCAGCTTGACGCCATTTCCATGCTTTCCGATGATAAAACCGAGTTTATTTGCGATGTGTGCAATGGTGTTCTCGTGGAAGACGACTCTAGTCAACAAGCGCAGATCAAGCAAGAAAAGCTCGAGAAGTTGCTGACACAAATCGATCCTATCATTTCCTACCTCAAGAAGATCGATGAGTCGCAAGTTCAAGACAACGATTACGATCAGGCTATGATAAAGAGAATTCCCGCTCAACCCACTGCCAACCAAGGCCAATTTGGTGGCCGCAGCCGCAAGTCCAACATGCTGTCACTGTTGGCCCAGGACGCATCGAGAGCACAAGCAACCTTACAAGTCTCGATCACCGCCAACGACAAAGACGACGAGCGCGAACAAGAAGAGAAGGAGCAAAGACGGCAAAAATTGGAGCAAAATGCCTTACCTTCATGGCATTCAGAGTCTACTGTTGGTCAACTGTCGCTTGGCAAGTTCACCGAAGAGGAGCAAATTTCCACTACCGATGAAGTCAAGCCAGTTCTCAAATTGGAAGATGATGAGGATGTCAAGCCGCAAGTGGCTGACACAACCAGTTTCCAACCTTCCAACCTGGAAATCAAGGACAAGGAGGCCCAAGATGCATTGGCTGCATACTACGCACAATTGGCTCAACAGAATGCCGACGACGACGATGAAGATGAAGATGATGATGATGACTTTGATGACTTACTTTGATAATGACGAGGATTGTGTAGCCCCATTTGACAGCATATATTTACTAATTAGCAGAATCCCATAAGAGTGATTTGAAACAACCGTGGTTGCAACAGCCCAAAGGTGAATGCTTATGTGCACTCCTTTTCTATAAATCCATAGCGCACCAGAGTTTGCATCTGTTGTGCAACATGATCTCGAAATCTAAAGTGAAGGTAGATTATGATATCATCAAGGAACTTGGGGAAGGCACATTTGGTTGTGTTACTCTTGCACAATATAAGCATCCTCTTGAATCTCTCATACAGCCAAACAAAAACTACATCTCTACGTTATTGCGCCCATTGCCAACTACATTTCTCAGCAACCAGCATGCAATGGTAGCTATAAAGACCATGAAGGTTAAAGATATCATTTTCGATCGCCTCCGTGAAGTAAAGTTCATCAGACATGTTGGTGCTCATCCAAATTTGGTACAAATTTACAATATCGTCGAGGATGCAGATACAGGGCACTTGAACATTATGATGGAACCAGCTGAGTTTAATTTGCATCAATACCTTAAGGGACGCAACGGGAAGTACTTGAGTACCATGGGAATCAAGCTGTTGTCGTCTCAATTGCTCTGCGCAATTGGTCACATCCATGAATATGGATTCATGCATCGAGATGTCAAACCTGAAAATATTTTGTTGATTCCCATATCAAATTACTATGGCGGCCGAGAGTTCGTCCCATCATACCGTCGACTGTGTGATGCGTTCATCTTGAAGCTCGCTGACTACGGTTTAGCCAGACTGATGCATTCCGCCGCAAAGTTCAGTCGATATGTCCTGACAAGGTGGTACAGAGCACCTGAACTTTTTCTAAGACTGTCGAGTCATAATCAAGCAGTGGACATTTGGGCTTTTGGATGTGTCTGTGCTGAGATCGCCAATGTTTTTCCTATATTTCCAGGCAGGTCTGAATTAGAAATGTTTTCATATGTGTCTGTTAAAATTGGTGCGCCCGCAGGTCCAAATTACGGACCAGGAGGCAAGTGGGACATCGCTAGAACTCTTCTTAGTGGACGCGGTTGGAATGTCAAGCTGAAGAATCTGCCTTACCTGTCGATGTCAGAGTTGGTGCACCACCCACGGCCGGAAGTCCGTGACCAATTAGGGGAATTGCTAGAATGTTGCCTCCAATGGGATCCCAAAAAAAGGGATTCAGCGGAGATGTTAACCAGACTTTCGCTCTTCGAGTGGACTCTGGCCAAGATGCCTGTCAAGAAGATGTTAAAGGCTGATACTAGAGCGTCGATCCGATTTGAGCACGCAAAGTCACAGATCGCAAACGGCCCCTTAACGGATATAAGTTCGTCATCCGTCAACCAACACTCTGGGGTGATTAAGTCGAAACTTGATACTACTAAAACATCAGTGAGCTGATGGATCATATGTTTAAAGCTCGAGAAATCAGAGTGCATGACGCGCCAGCTTCGTTTGACATCTACGCGGTGTAGTGCTATAATTAAATAAAGGGGGTTTGAAATTTCGAGCCCTTTGGAGTAGGTGACTTCGGTACTAGTAGTCCGTGATAAAATGCATACACGTCTGCAGTCAGTCAACATTCACTATGAAAAACATCATACGAGTCATCACTTTTCCGATCCCCGTAGCATGATTTCTTTTGTGATGATCACCTGACAATGTGCAAAACTCATAAGATAAGTACCGCGGACGCGAAAATTTAACGTGGGCTGTGACTCCTATTATCAACATGCCATCTCTACCATTGCTTGCACAAGCTACGGTGGCCAAGCACAACACTCCTAAGGACTGTTGGGTTACGCTTTTCAACCGTAAGGTTTACGATGTCACAAGTTTCCTCGACGAGCATCCTGGTGGCGCAGATTTAATCTACCCTTACGCTGGTAAGGATGTCACCGAGATTATGGCCGATCGCCTGTCCCATGACCATTCAGAGAGTGCCTACGAAATGTTGGATGAAGACATGTTGGTCGGCTACCTTGCTACCCCTGAAGAGGAAAAGGAGCTTCTTAACAACAAAAATAATGTCGATGTTGAGGTTAAGTTAACTGGCGAGGAATCTTTCAACATGTACGAGTTCCATGACAAGTTACCCGCCGAACATCTTCTTTCCGTGCAAACGGATTACGACGATGATGTTAAGAAGCACAAATTTTTGGATTTGAACAGACCGTTACTTATGCAAGTTTTGACGGGTGGTTTCACCAAGGAATTTTACTTGGAACAAGTACATCGTCCCCGCCACTATGGTAAGGGTTCTGCTCCTTTGTTTGGAAACTTTTTGGAACCGATCTCGTTGACGCCGTGGTGGGTTGTTCCGCTCGTGTGGCTTCCTCCCAATTTGTTTCTTTTCTATCTCGGAATGAAAGAAAACCACTGGCTCGTGGCTTTGTCGTTCTGGGTCTTGGGCTTGTTTGTGTGGACTTTCGTGGAGTATTGTTTGCACCGGTTTCTTTTCCACTTGGACCAATATTTGCCGGACCACCCTATCTTTTTGACTTTGCATTTCTTGTTGCACGGGATCCACCATTACCTTCCTATGGATGGTTATCGTTTGGTGTTGCCTCCAACTTTGTTTGTCGTGTTGGCGTACCCGTTCTACCGCCTCATCTTTGGGATTTTCCCATACTCGTGGGCCTTGTCTGGGTTCGCAGGTGGCACTTTGGGCTACATTATGTATGATGTCACCCACTATGTTCTTCACCACGCAAAGTTACCTGGTTACTTACAAGATGTGAAGACATATCATTTGGAGCACCACTACAAAAATTATGAGATGGGGTTTGGTGTCACTTCGAGGTTTTGGGACGTTATTTTTGGGACGGAAATCACCGGTACATACGATAAGAATCAGTAATGATCGATTTATTTAATATATAATGCTAAAGAATATTAAAGGTCCCGCCTTTAGTTATTAGTAGATAATGCTGGATCCCACACAAATTCGAGGTGTTCGAGCGCATTGGCATTTCCGTTAGTAGACGGTGTCTGGCCTGACATGGACGCACCATGGGGCGTCTCCACACTCTCAGGTACATCTGGTTTGGTATCGGTTTGGTTCTCTTGCACTGGCTTCTTGTTTCTAGGCCCTCTAGACCCAGTCCCCAACTTAGGAGGCTGCGGAGGTGGTGGGTCATATTTGTACGCGTAATCCATCGCTGCGATATCAGGGATTTTGTTCAACGTTTTCAATTTCAACCCATGAACAGTCATAGCGTCAGATCCAGAGACAGGAGACATGCGCGAGGGCGGGAGACGGCGATTGTGTTCGAAAGCTTCTAGAGTCTTCATGATAGTTTTCATGTTCCGCCGATTGCTTCGAAGCCGCCGACCTCGACAATCGTCGTAGGATTCGATAATCTTGTTATACCGTAATTTGTAGAACGTTTTATCCACTTCATCTCGCAGTCGCTTCAAGTATTCCACTACGTCAAATCCGGTAGAGCCGTTCTCGTCACTATTTCGAGTATTAGTTTCATTTTCATCTTCCTCATCATCCTCGTCATCATCGTATTTGACCTCACTTTGGTATTTGTAAGGGAATCTTATGTCATTGTAAAGCTTATTGTACCGAGAACAGAGCTGTTTGAATAACGGAATATTAATTGACTCTCCCAAGGGCCTTGCCGCCATGAGTGCCGCAAGAAGTACCGATTGCCAATCTTGGAATGTACCTTGAGGGGGATCATTCCACTTTAGATGCTGTAACACCCGGTGAAGTTGACGCTTCACTTTATTGATGATGAGTCGGGTGCCAGGATTCATCATTACCCCGTCAAGCGGACTCTCGTCGTGCAACTTGTCTATGACCTTACGCTCGATGAGTGCCCCAAGCTCTATATCAAGGTTCTGAACGACGTCACATTCCCGTCTGACCAACTTATAGCGTCGGACGTGAGGGGCCATTTCCACGGGTTCTTCATCGTCGACCGAGTATCGCGTGGTAATCTCTGGAGGGGCTTGTTGTCGCAAGTCGACATAGTCGGCGGCAGTATTGGTAACCGGAATGTTGTCCTTAGGCAAAGGCCAAGTGAAGTAGTAGCTTGGAGGAATCAACGGATCCACGCGGCGCATGAGTGATGTCAGGTAGAGGTGGACCGCGAGATCAGAGCGGAAGTTGTCTTCGACATCCTGGACGACATTAGCATAATCACGTAGTCGCACGCGCACCGTGTCGGAAGCCAGGGGGTCAGTCATGGCGCTAGTAGTGGTCGCGCGAGGGTGGCATCGCTGGTTTATGTTGACGGTCCATCTTGAAGGCTTGCGCACGCGCTCATAACGCCCGATGACCTTACCCCAAAAGAACGCGCACTGGTAGAGTACCAAAATCTGTTCGAATACCATCACCGTCTTCGATGCAGCAATACCAGACCGATTTCCTTAACCTCGCCCTTGAGAGTCAAGCCCTCAAGTTTGGCTCGTTCACCCTCAAGTCGGGGAGACAGTCGCCGTACTTCTTCAACTTGGGACTCTTCAACACCGGCAAGTTGTTGAGTACGTTGGCGACGTCGTACGCCGAGGCCATCATCAACCTGGGCATCGAGTTCGACATCATTTTCGGTCCTGCCTACAAGGGGATCCCTCTCTGTGCCATCACTGCCGCCAAGTTGGCGGAGTTGTCGCCGGAAAAGTACGGGTCGGTCGGTTACTCGTTCAACCGCAAGGAGAAGAAGGACCACGGCGAGGGCGGGTCGATTGTCGGGTGTGCGCTCAAGGGCAAGAAGATCTTGATTATCGACGACGTGATGACGGCGGGGACGGCGATCAAGGAGGCGTTTGAGATCATTGGCGCCGAAGGCGGCGACGCCGTCGGGTGCATCATCGCTCTCGACCGTCAAGAAACCACCAAGGACTCGCCGTTCTCGGCGACGCAGGCGGTGGCCAAGGACTACGGCATCCCCGTGGTGTCGATTGTGTCGTTGACCGACATCATTACCCATTTGACGGGCAAGATCTCCGCCGAAGAGTTGGCGAGCATCGAGGAGTACCGCAAGACCTACGCTCCCAAGCAGTAAAAAGTAAAATATAATAATGTATTAATGATGTAACTGTATAAAAACTTATCCTCTAATCTTCATAATCTTCTTCTTCGGTTGTTTAGGAACCGCGGGCTGTTTGGGCATTTCCACCTCGGGGTCGTAAATGGCCTTGGTCATCGGGTGTTTCATCACCAATTGCGAGTGGATAGGGACAATCGTGTTCATCCGGAACCCCTTTACCTTGGGGATTTCTTCGGGGGTGAATCTGCCGTCAAACTCGGCCGGGTAGGCGATACCGCCCCGCGGGCCCACCAGCTCGAGGGTAGTAGGGTGTGTTTTGAGGTAGTCCGAGATCGCGTTGAACAAGTGGCGCTTGTGCTTGAACTCGGGGTTGAGGAAAGTGCCAACATCGTCCTTCAACATCACCCGAACCCGTCCGGGGTTGCCGAAGTCTTGAGGATGGGTCTTGTCGAGCTCAAGCAATGTGGGGATCCCGAAAGAGCGACAGGCATCACTAATGGTTTTGGCAAGCGGGTTGGCCACCGCCCGGTCGCTGCTGACGCGGCGTCCTTCCAGCACACTGCGGTTCTTGTCAAAATAGCACGGGTACACCACGCGGAACTGCTTGAATTTTGCCTTTTCCTCCTCGGTAAATGCCAGAGGGTCGAGAATGTCCTTACGCTGAGTGGTAGTTGGCGGCGGTGGGGCAAAGTTGTCTCCCAACGGGTTCATCATGGGGAGGTTGGGGAATAGAGGGGGCTCGGTGTCCTGCGACCGCACCACCGACGGCGCCGGGCGCACGGGGGCGATGGGGGTTTTGAGACTGGGATCGAACTCGGCGATGTCCATGTCCATGTTGTCGATGTCGTCGACATCTTCAAGCACCGGTTTCTTCGACATGGCTGCTCACTCGGTGTCTCTCTCCTGGGTTTTTTTCCCGCGCCCGAGACCACTGGTGGGTGCGAGGGGGATCACCGTAGTAAAGTAAAGAAAAAAAGGGCTATGGAGTGTTGTATCTATAACATGTATCAAGTCTGAAAATGAAAAAATGGGATTATTTTCATAATATGCGAGATAGTCTCGGCTGGTAAAAGTGGGGTGACTGCCCACTTTTAGGACACCCCGCTCGATGGGGCAATGCCAACGAAGAGTGTGTGCGGCTGGGTGGCGATCGCTTCGCTTAATCTTTGCGACGCCGTGTATACAATAGTAGACTAAAGGAGAATAATGGTAAAGAAGCATCATCACTGCTGCAAAAAATCCCCTAACCACTAGTTAACCCGCCCTACTTCATCGACAATAGCAAACCCCCCACTGTTGCTGTGCCTCTTGCCTCCGTATGGATTTTTGCTTTGTGTCACGTGTGCATTACCGTGTCAAGAAAACAGTGCGAAGACACCGTTCAGTGTGTACCCGCGTGTGATCGCTTTTTCCATAACATAATGAAGATCTACTACATCGGCATCCTCAGAACGTGTGGTCCCAAGACGCTCGAGCTCACCTCGGCGCGAGACTTGTCGCAGTTCCTGTTCTTTGAGCGCACGGGGGTGTCCCAGTTCATGACGTTCTTCCTGGAGACGGTGTCGCTGCGGACTCCGGCGGGGCAACGACAACTGATCGAAGAGGGGAACTACGTCGGCCACACCTACAACCGGTCCGAGGGGCTCGCCTGTGTCATTATTACCGACAAGGAGTACCCCGTGCGCCCGGCGTACACGTTGATCAACAAGATCCTCGAAGAGTACTTGCTGTTGCACCCTAAACAGCAGTGGGAGACGGTGGAGCACGCCGACTCGCTGTTGGAGTTTATCCAATTGGAGCAATACTTGAAGAAGTACCAGGACCCCACGCAGGCGGACTCGATCATGAAAGTGCAGCAAGAGCTCGACGAGACGAAGATTGTCCTCCACAAGACGATCGAGCTGGTGCTTAAGCGCGGGGAGAAGTTGGACACGTTGGTCGACAAGAGTGAGGCGTTGTCGCTGTCGCTGAGAATGTTTTATAAGCAGGCGAAGAAGACCAACTCGTGCTGCGTCATCGTGTAATGGGTGTGTAATGAGTTTACTAGTACATCTATAATGAACAACAACGACCGATTCAATCGGGATATCGTCTACTTACAAGGAATGGGCCTTTTTCACCACGTCGAACGCCTTGAGGAGCTTGCGCCGCGCCCCCAAGGCGATGACGCCTTTAGCCTCTAAATCGTCGTTGTCCAACTCGATCAATTCTTCCCAGGGCACGTCCTTGAGACAGTCGGTGTACTTGTGCAACCGCAACAACTTGAGCCACGCGGGGATGTTGGACAACAATTCAAGGTTGGTCACCTCGAGGGGCATCAGCAGGTTCAGCGCCGCCAACGCCGACAGCAGCACCGGCACCGGGGGGCGTTTGTTGTGGTCGGGGCTCAGCTTCTTCCCCATCGCCATCGGCAGCTTTATCGGCGTCTTCATCCCCGGCGCCGCCAGGCGCTGCATCATCAACGGCACCAGCAGCGAGTTCGCGGTGCGGTTGATGGTATCCTCAAATCCTTGACGATAGTATTGGTGGCCCTGCTGCTTGCGGTTCAGGTCGAGGGCCACTCTCAGGTTTATCGTCGCCAACGCACCGAGCTTGAGCGCGGTGTGTGCCGACAAATCGTCATCGGTTTGCGCCGGCGGCGCTTGCGGGGACTGCGGGTTGATCGCCGACGACAGCATCGAGTGGTACCCCGTCATCGGCAGCGTCGGGTTCGCCGCCGCCAATTGTAAGAAATTAGTCTTTTCAAACAAGTGCAGCGTCGGCGACCGGGCGCGGTCCAACGGGTTCACCAGCGACGCCATCGGCATCTGCTGCGACGACATCTGGCCCAGCGACAGCAGCAGCTGGGGCTGACCCGCTTGTGGCGTGTGAGGCGCAATCAGCGGGTCGGCCAGCTTGGGGCGGTTTTTGGCGACGTCGGCGAACAAGTACTGGCTGCGGAAGTTAGGCTTAGGTTTAGGTTGGTGCAACGGCGCTTTTTGCAGCAGCGGCAGCGCCAACAGCATCGCGTCGAAGTCCGAGTACAAGTCCTGGTTGCCGTAGGGCAACGAGTACCCCAGCTGCGGCGCGCCGTGGTGGTACAGGGTGAGGTGGACGTCGAGCTTCAGCTTGAATGTGAGCAAGATGTCGATGGGCAAGTTGTTGCACAAGAAGTCGACCATTTTGAGCGACTCTTGCGGGGCCAAGCTTTCGATCCACGAGGTAAATGCAATGAGGTCGGGGTAGAACGACAGCCCGCCACCGCCAGGGTGGTGGGCCTGCGCCAGCGAGGGGGTCAGCGCCGTGGCCGCCTGGGCCAACGCCGGGAACTCGTTGACCAGTTGCGGGCGGTCAAAAAGGGCTTGCGACTGCGAGAACGACGCCAACGGGTTCAGCATCAGCCCCAAAAGGTCCTGGGAGAAGCCGTATTTCAGCGACGGCGCCATCAACTTGGAGGCGGGGGGTTGCGGCGCCGACCCCAGCTTCGTCAACGGCACCAGCGTCGCCGCCAGCGCCGTCGCCGTCAGCGCCGTTGGCGGCGCCGCGTCCGCCAGTGGCGGTTCCAGCCCGTCGTTCTCCTTCAAGTCCAAATCGAGGTTCTCGTTGAGCGCTTCAAACTCCTGCTGAAGGTTAAACCCGACCAGATGCTGGCGGAGAGCAGCCTGCTGCTGGGACGAAGCGTCGAGCGGCGGTGGCGACAATATGATCGGCCGCTGGAACCGCAGGGGTGAGTTGATCGTGTTGAAATCCATAAACGAGAGAAGACGCCCTAAGCTCCAATGCTCATACACAGGGCGAAGTTGTCGCTTACAGAAGAGGGCTCCAACAGCAAGTGAACTGGTGAAAAAGTGAGAGGTCGCCCTCACCGTCGTGTCCACATTCGCGCGTGTGCAGGACGAGATGAGCCCCTCCCCCGCCACGAGAGCGAAAAAAAAAAACTAGAGAAAAATTTGCNATTTGCCGCCCATCGATGTGACTAGTCACCACAGCTAAACGGTCGCAGGTCGACACCATCACTATATAAGCGTAGTGGCGATTGTGGTGTAATTCTAAGCTTGACTAATGCATGATTGTATTGCTGCGTAATTACTGTTGCCATTGATTACATTAGGGGGGTCCCAGGTTAGGGGAGCCAGGAGTTAGTAGCGGGGATCCTTGATCTAGGAGTAAGGGTGTGTACGGCACTGGTCTGTGCCAGTTGGCGGCAACTCCGGTGTTAGGGTTGTCCCGGGCACCTAGGTACAGCGAAAAAAAGAAAGTGCCGCGGGGTGTGCGACAACAAGAGTTTAGGGGGTGCCTGGCTGTTCCCCCATTGAGCAAAAGCCCCGATAGCCGTGAAGTCAGACACAAATAGAGGCGCCCCGATAGCCGATGTAGCGTGAGCTAATTTTAGTGATAGTGTGAGCTTTGTGTCCGGCTGCCTCACTCCACACACTAAAATGCCAGTAGGAACCCCGGCGAAGGGATCACGCTCGGCTACGTAATGAGTAATTCGAATGCGCTACCCTGAGAACCCTGAAAGGACCCTGGTTGCTCTTAAAGAGGACCCTTGCATGCTGAAGACATGTGTATCGTTCGCTATATAATTCTATTAACAAAACCAGAACGTTTGAAAAACCAGACAAAACGTAATAAAATCTATCCCTGTGTACCCTCGCCAGCGTGGCGTTCACCGGCTCAACCAAAACTGCTTGTTTTTGCTGATGATGCGTTCCGCGTACTGGAGCTCGGGCATGTACTCAGCAATGTTGTGGAACAAGTTCTCAGCAAAGGTGTCGATGAAGAAAATCTGCCCCTTTGGAAGCTGATCGTTGGCGGCAAGAATGTCTTCAAACTTCGACGGCACCTTCGTGTAGCGCAAGTCCGTCAGCAAGTCGAGCGTCAACGACGCGTCGTTGGCGAGCTTGCGCTCTAACAACGCAAGCTCCTCCGTCTCCCGCGCAAGGACGTACGCCCACTGCAGCGACACTCGGAGCGGGCGGGTGACGTTCAGGATGTCGGCGCACTTTATGAGTAGCAGCAGGATGAGCTTGACCTTGTGCCCGTCGTGGTCAAACCGCTCGTGCTTGAGGGTGTTGAGTTTGGCAATGTACTCAAAGTGCTCGGCCATGTCGGTGGCGAGGATCAGCTGCGTCACCATCTGGCGCACCGTCAACTTATCCGTGGTCTCGGCGGCAAGGAGCGACGGCCAGTAGCACGAGAGTATCTTATTAATGAACACCAGCGTGTGGTACAGCTCAAGCACCAGGCGCTCGTTCACCATCAACAGCGCCGGGGTGTGGTACTTGATCATGAATGCATTAGTCACCCCGGGGTGGCCGACATCGTGGCCGAGCGCCGCCACGAGAAGCGCCAACGTTTGTATGGGATTAAGGTAGGCGTCGGAGGCGGCGGCGGCGGTGGCCTTCACCGTCAACTCAGCGGCGGTGTCGGCGAAGTCCGTGGCCTGAAGGATCGCGGTCTCGTCAGCAGTGGCGTCGTCATTAAACTGAGAGAACCGCGGTAAGCAGCCAAGGCGAAGTAAAAAGTGGAAGCATGCTTGCACCACGTCGACGGCGTGGCGGAAGTTGTGGAAGGGGTTGCCCAGCTTATAAGTGTCGCGCACGGCAAACACGAGGGCAAGCAACTCGTTATCCGATAACCGGTCAAACGTGTGGGTGTCGGGCACTTGGCTAAGCGCGTGTTTTAGCATGAGGAACACACAGTAGACCAAGTCGTCGTTGGTGAGCTCGTGGGCGGGGAAACCCCATACGCCCACCGCATGGCAGAGGCGAGCGGCGTGGAGGGGGTCGTCATCAAAACCCGACAATAGCTGGCGAAAGTCGATGGCGTCGACGATAAGCTGTTTGATGGCACGCACCCGCAGCATTGTCGACGACAGACTGGCGGCGTTGGCGCTGAGGATGTATGATAACGGCGCCACCACGTCGGCGTAGGCGCGGCGCCCGTGGCGCTCCAACTTGTAGGTTCCGTAGTTGTCGTTGATGATGGTGGGTCCGGTTTCGGTCCACGCCTCCACCCGGGCAATGCGGTTGACGACCACGTTGGCGACGTCGGCCACCGCCTGCTCGAGTTCGCTGCGCTGGGCGGCGTCGGCAAGCAGCGCCAAGCTGACGACGAACACGTTGAGGTGGCCGAAGAAGTAGCGCACGGCGAGGGTCTTGTCGTCAAGTGATAACCGATCTAACGGCGCCGAGACCGACGCGGGGCACTCGTCGAGGACGACGACGGTGGCGTGGTCGACGTCGCTTTCGTAGCGGCCGTGGCTGAATAAGTAGCTCACCAATGCTGCCATCAGCGGCTGGGGATGGTGGCGCCCGGCGAGCGCTGTCGCCGCGGCGTCGGCGCCGTCGTGGTACCGTAAGTACACAATGTCGGGGTTCATCAGCGTCCGACGAGGGCGAAGAACTGGGGGAAGTACCGTGCGAGGAAGAGCCTGGGCCACCTGGGGTAGTATATAGTCCGGTGCCTTCAGGTATGGGCACAGCCTAAAGGGTTTTTTTCTCTCGCCAGCGACGTGAGGTAAAAGAGGCTGCGAGTGTGAGGGGAGCCCGACACCATTACCGTTAGGGCGGGGAAAAAAGAAATGTGCGGTGATGGCCAAAAAGGACATGGGGGGGATGATACGATGGCATGCCCGCGATAACAGCATCCGGGGTTTGCCAGGTAAAAAAAACGTGAGAGATAGCCAGAAAATTGGGCACGATAACGAACAAGTTTAGAAGAGAAGATTCATAGCTAAACACATCCTCCGAGGCGAGATGGCGACTCGTCGGGGGGCTCGGAACGCCGCGGTACGTCATGGCAGTGGCAGCAACCGTCATCTGCCGCGAGCAGCAGGCATCGCCGTGGGGACGCTGGGTCCTGTCCTCGGGGGGCATGTTTTTCTCCTTCAAGGTTAGGTTTGCGCAAGGTCACGTGAGGGAGGCGGCGTCCCCGGGGCCCCGGGCCCGAGCTCGGGCCAACCGCGATACAGGTGTCGCGGTCACCGTGCGTTTTTGCAACTGCTTGTCACAGTGTGGAAACCGCCTAACGGTTGGCAGCGGCGATCACAACTGTTTCCTTTTCCCCTGACACCCTCGGACACCCACTGGTCTCCCCGCATCGACCACGGAAGTCAGGTCATTTCCCACCCTGAGCGGGCGTCGCTTGTAGCGTGGGTCAAGAAAGCATATGAGAACCGCAGAATGATAGGTATACCGTCGAAGCCGACGAATAGGGATACCGTTCTATTGGTAGTAGTAGTACCCCAGCACAAATACCATCGCCAATGCCACCACTACCGCCATCACCACATTAAAATGGCGGAACCGCTTGGCGCGGGTCTGCTCGTTGGAGGCGGCGACTTTGGCGGCGATGTCCTCGACCACCGTCATCTTCAGCGGGAGATCGCTACAGATCAATTGCTTTTGGTGGTTGGCCCGCTGGCGGAGCTGGTTGAGTCGGGACTCCGTCGCCTCCACATGCGTTTGGAGCTCGGCGAGCCGGTTGACGTTGTCGCGGATCGCCTGCTGGTACTTGAGCTTGATGGTGTCTTTGTCTGTCGATAACGTAGCGAGAAGATCGCGCGTCAGCTTGGTAAGCCGCTCAAGGTAGGCTTTAAGCCGGTTAAGTTCTTGGAGCAGTTCCACCGAGGTGAAATCAGCCTGGCGGAATGGCTTCTCGGCATTGCTGGCGTAGGCAGTGGTTACCAGGTCCATGAACTCTTGGAGTGGCTCAAGGGTATCGCCTCCCTCCTGGGTGTCCCAAACTGCCACAAGGTTATCAATATTAAGTAATAAATCCGTCAAGTCATCGTCGTTCTCAAGCCGGTCACTGGCAGCATGGTACTTCAACCCCCCGTTCTGAACGAGCCGCTGGAAGTCGTGGTCGGTCATCTCGGTGGATTTGGACCCGTCAGTCACTACGTCGTAGTCAAACCCATCGAGTAACTTGTTGATGCTGGGCAGCGGGAGGGCGCTATTATTGGCTTTCTTCATCTGGTCATGACCCGCCTGCAACGGTGTTGAGTCCGACAGGTTATTGATCAGGGTATCGTAGAATTGATCGACTAATTGCTTCTTCCCCATATCAATTAACGACATGAGCTTGGCTGACGACCCGGGCGACGGTTGAGGGGGCGTGGTTATGTTTTCCGGTGCCATCGGCGGGAGCCACTTCATTGGCAGCACAGCCGTCGTCGAGAGCAGGTGCAGAGTGTAGCCGCCATTCCACGACGGGTGGCGCAGTTTCGCTAGTCGACGTCCGTGAAGCAGGGCGATGTTGGTGGTGCTGGCCAGCACCAGGTCATCCTTCACCGCCAGCAACGCGTCGTTGTTTGACTTCAGCCGATCAGGCTCTTTGAGGGGGGACGGACCAATATCTCGGTTGCGAGGGCCTCGATATTTGGTTATATCCGGAGACGACTTGGCGGCCATAAGGTTGTTAGACAACAGCAGGACAAATCTCCGTTATAGTTTGTATGCAGGTGGCCTCCGTGCTGCGACTGGTCTCTCCTTTTTAGCAAAAAACCCTAACAAGTGCGCGCGGGCTATGGGTATGACAACTCCGACGATTATTCCTTACTATCCGAAAACGACTGATTGTTACGCAAAAGGGTAACCGCTGCGGGGTAGGTAGCTTCCATGACCCAAATCGAAGCTAGCTTACTAATGCCGACATTGCTAAAGGCAAATATATCGCGAGTTTTTTAGAATGAATGGTGCAGCGTGATCAGCGAGATTTAAAGGGCACTTTTTTTCGCAATTATTCTCGGAATTTGTCTGCTACCGCTAAGTCGAGCAGCTTGTCGCGTCGCAATTAATCTCGGAACATTTACAAACATGATGCTTTGCGGTGGACCAAGCACTAGCGCAAAGATTCTCGCTGCAAATTGTATACCCGAAATCTTCCGGCAGAGGCGGTAAAAACGCGTGTGAGTGAGTCTATCAGTACGAGATACCCACCCGTAGACCCTGATAGCACCCTATGAAGTGCTAAGTGTATAGTCTGTCGTAAGTTTGAGCTGTAAGTCATTGATTTAAGGCATACTGACTCGGCTATGCAAAATTTCCGAAAGGAGGGGAAACCGGTCCGACATGACGCCGATGCTTTTTTATTTTTCTAGATTTTTTAAAACGGCACCTTAAATGCTTCCCCGGAAAATCTCTAATATATATAACCCGGTAGATTCATCGACTGAAGATTCCCATAGCTAAACAATCATGTCTCCTACCAAAACTCAAACGATACCCGAAGACTTGGAACCTCGCTTCTCCGCAATCAAACAAAAGTTGGTAAAGCCTGAGAACGTTGAAGCGGTTACGGCTTCGTGGAAACGCTTGCTCAAAGATATTGAACAAGAATTCGCTGTGATCGAAAAGGAAGGCTCGGCGTATGTGCCTCAAGTCCAATGGCAAGAAATCGTCGACAATGATTACAAGTTGCCTACTGAAGTACAACAAAAGTTTAAGCAAAGAGGATCAATTATGGTCCACGGTGTGGTCGACGAGAACCAGATCAACAAGTGGTTTGACGATCTTGTTCAGTTCTGCAAGGATCACCCTGAGACCGCCGGATACACCTTCCCCAACCCTACTCTGTGGTACAATGTGTTCTGGACCAAGCTGCAAACTGAAGCTCGCTCTCACCCCAATGTTAAGAAGCTCATCAACATCATGTCAAACCAATTCACTGCCAAGAACCCCGATAGTCTCATTGACTTAAACTCACAGGTCGTTTATGGTGACCGCATCCGGATCCGTCCTCCTGGCACCAGAGCCCGGTTGCCGTTGCACTTGGATCTGAGCTCAATCGAACGGTGGGAAGACCCTGTATACCGCAGCGTCTACCAGGAAATCTTCGAAGGTAACTGGGAACAGTGGGATCCCTATGCCATCGACAAGCGGGCGTACGCCATCGAAAACATGTACAACGACCTGGAGTCGGCTCGTGACACCATCTGCTCTGCTTTCAGAACCTTGCAAGGGTGGCTTGGGCTTTCCGACAACCGTCTGGGCGAAGGAACTCTCAGAGTGTTGCCCAATGTCAAGTTGACCATGGCCTATATCATGCTTAGACCATTGTTCTGGCGTGATCCCGTGTCGGGCAACATTGACGACTATGAGATTGACTTAGAAACCCCTAAGTTCCCCGGCGCCCGTCCTTCCACTGGCCAGCTTTACTTAGCCGACGAATTGTACCCCCATTTAAGACAACGCCAGCTGTGTGTCTCGGTTCCTGATGTGAAGAAGGGAACCTTTGTGTTCTGGCACAGTGACTTGCCCCACGAAGTCGACAAAGAGCACCACGGCAACACCGACTCCAGTGTCTTTTACTATGGGGTGGCGCCGTTGTCGCCAGTGAACATCGACACGTTGCTCGACACCAAAAATGCCTTCACCCACAACATCCTGCCGGAAGACTACCGGTCACAACTCACCGAGGAAGACAAGGCGAAGGAATACCAAGGGGCCTCTGTCGAGCACATCGGTGACGACGTCGACTTTAAGCGGCTGATGGGGCTCGCTGAATTCGACACTTCCGAGCCGGGCTTGACTGCGGGTCAAGTTGGAATCAGAGAATTGGCCAACCAGGCATTGGCCGCAAATGCCTTTGATCACCATCAATATTTGAAAGCTAACCCGTTGTAATTGATTTCATAGTTGAGTATTGTTTATATGATAAGTAAAACAAACAGAAAACTCATAATAGCGTCACGCGACTTGACGCTCTAGCATCTCGTCCAATTCGATAGAATCAAGTTCCACCAATGTTTTGTGGCGTGTATAACTGCAAGAATTGATTAATCAATTATGCACACTGTGGCTTAGACAATGCGATTGCGGCGTTTAAGCACACGGAGCGATACCGTTGTGAAATTTCATCAACAATGTTTGACTTCCTCCTCCTGGAGATTGGGTTGAAGACGTTGGCCGACAGCCATCGGGATGTGTTTTTCATCATCGCCCTTCGCATGATCCGGCTTGTGGCGTTCGGGGCCACCGCTCTTATCTTTGCTATCTACCTCAAGACCATCGGCATCGATGAGCGCTACATTGGGTTGTTTATGACGTTGACCTTCGTGGGTGATTTGATTTTGAGTTTCTACTTGGCGCTCATTGCTGATAAAGTCGGTCGGAGAGTGGTGATCTTACTTAGCTCGCTCCTTATTATCGTTACCGGCTTGGTGTTTGCGTGGACGGAAAATATCTACATTCTTGCTACTGTCGCCTTCTTCGGGGTGTTGACTCCTAGTGGAGGTGAAGTGGGGGCGTTCAGATCGATTGAACAAAGCGCTATTGCCCTGCTTAGCCCCCCAGATCACCGTTCTGATGTATACGCGTGGTACAACTTCAGCGGGGCGTTTTGTCAAGCGTTTGGGGCTCAGCTCTCAGGCTGGGTAGTTGATTGGATGCAAGACAAGTATGACTTCACTTTAGTTGAGTCCTACAAGTCCGTGTGGGTGGGCTACGCAGCTGTGGGTGCGTTGATGGCAGTACTCTCATTCAGTATGTCGTCTCAAGTGGAATCGGAAGCTTCGAGACAAGTGACGCCTGATCCTGCTGCCGATGAACAAACGCCTTTGGTGGCTCCGACCGCTGAGGAACCTAACCGCTCGCGGAACAACTCGCTCTGGCGCAAGTTTTTGCCCGAGCTTCACCACCGCGTATTCGGGATTGTTGTCAAATTACTGTTGCTTTTTGGGCTTGACGCATTTGCCTCTTCGCTTGTCCCTTTGCTGTGGTTGTCGTACTTCATCAAGCATAAGTTTGGTATTCCCCCGTCATACTTGGGGCTGGTGTTTTTCACTACTGGAGTGATTGCAGCCTTCACGTCATTGCTTAGTACATCATTCACCAAGAGATTCGGACCGGTGCTCACTATGGTAGGTACCCACTTGCCAAGTTCAATTTTGCTCGGGGTTATTCCCTTCCCGGATTCCTTTAAAGTGACACTTGCAATTCTCTTTTTGAGAGCACTGACTCAACTGATGGACGTAGCCCCGAAGCACGTTTTCTTGGCTGCCATCGTTCCCAATGATGATCGCACTGCGGTGTTTGCGTTCACAAATGTGGTGAAGACTCTTGCCCATATCCCGGGTCCCATGGTCGTTGGGTTTTTGACGAAATCGGGAGCTCAATGGATCACGTTCTGTGTGGCCTCGGTCCTCAAAGTAACCTACGACTTGGGCATTTTGGCGACGTTCCTCGGGGTAGACTCGAATTGATTATATATAAATGTTAGACATATCACTCATTACTCAGTAGCCGATGATTGGGTATCATTCGGTTCATCAAGACCGTTCATGGCCGCCCAGGCAAGCAAACTAGTCAGCTTTCGTTTATCATGCTCTTTTAACAAGACACTGTCTCGTTTGCGCGTTTGGTTGAGTTCGGCAATGAACAGCAGATGGTTTAACACTGGTCCGGGCGGCGTCTTGAGTGGTGACGATGGCGGCGAGCTGGGTATTCGGTAACGTTGTAAAACTCGTGATGGCTGGAAATGGTCCCCAGGAGTGCATGGCAGGGATGAAGTGAATGGAGATGCTCGCTCCGGCTTCCGCGGGGTGGTCGCTGGCGTCGACTTAGGGCTTGGCTTCTTCCGCTTGGACGAGGACTTAACTTTGCTCACCTTACCCTGTGGTAGCTTGGCCTGCTTCGACTGACTTCGAGTCTGAACCATGGCGAATGGCGTGGTGGCGGAGGTGGTGATGTGACGGTCAGGGACGCGTGCGTGCGCGCGCGTGCGTTATCTAGGCGGTCGCCATTAAAATTGCGAAGCACTACAAAGTGAACTATTATCTGTCTCTATTATAGTCATGAATCATATAGATCATACGCAATTACCAGCCGAATAATCTTTGGGTGAAGCTTTTAGATGCTTTGGCCTCCACTGGGTGCTGCCCGCGCTTCCCAGAGGTGCTGAGTAGAGTGTAGATCTCTGAGGAGTCTAAGTTGTGGTTGCGTTGCGACAGAGAATTGTTGGGAACAAACTCGATATGTCTGCGACCAGCACTCAGGACTGAGCCTGTATCGAGATATTGCTTGGGGATCGGAGGTGTCGGGGGCACCGTTGGTAGCTTACGGGCTGCTATGTCCTCTCCTGGATATGCCCGCATATTGCGTTGAGCAATCGACTTATAGATGTAACGGTAGGTGGAGTTGAGATCGCTGTTGGTGGAGTTCATACTGTAGTTAGACCGAGATTTGGGGAGCCTCTGGTTATAGTCCCAATCGTCACGTGGGGGGTGGTATTCACTGCACAGTGATTGACGCAGACCCCGAGTGTTATGTATACGATTGTATTCCAGAAGTGACGTAGTAGGGAAATGCTCATCAATCGGAATACGCTGGCGATACATCAGCCCACGTTTCAGCGCAATCGAATTACGTCTCAGATTTCTTCTCAGAGCTATCAGAGGCGCCATCAGTCTCAGTTGACAAATGCTTTCTTCATACTCATCAAGCAATGAGTCCATAGATGAGTCCAGCTTCGCATCATCATCACGTTGTCGAGAAGTACCACTATTGCGGCTGTTGATAAAACCATAATTCTGCTGCTGATGAAATGTCATGTAGCCGGTGTTATTCGCCGTTGTTCTCTGTGGAACCGGCTTCAAGACCGGATTAGTCCTTGTGGGAACGGGTTGTTGTATGGTTGGCTTCAGCATTTCCAAGCACGCCATAGCAGTACTGATTGACTGATCGCTCACTTTTCGTTGAATCCCCCATTCGGGACTAAACTGATGCGGAGAAAGCGGTGCCAGTGGCGGTGATGGCGGAAGCTCCAGAGCAATTTCGAATTGGGGAATGTCGCCATCCACCAGTAATTCTTTGAGTTCTGCTGGTTGTTTGTTGATGTCGACATATTCAGGATCCTGCTTCCAGAGATTACGGTACTTCACCACCGACTCAAAAGTGTTCTCCAAAACTTGTACCACGTTAGGCTCTTCAGAATTGATGAATATTTTCCAATAACGTTCGGGGTAAGCCAACGGCACGATGAATTGGTTGAATGCAATTCGAAGCACTTTTAGCTTAGGAAGAAGAGGATAAATGAGCGATGGTCCACACGATAAGTACGTCACATCACCATTATGAAGTTGGAAAATCTCAATCGCCCCGTGGCCGAGGAGCCGCCCCAGTGACTGTTTAACATCATCAGGCAGATCGTCAAATACAAGAATCTTCGATGACTTATAGCGGAACAACGTCACTTTCTCTTCCATGTTCAAATTGACCACCGGTTGAGCCCCCGCAAGATCGGTAGGAGTAGTGGTTGCCGGAGTTGCTGAGTTGTCCACCAGCGGTTTCCGCAATTTCAGCTTGGCCGCTTTGATAGGAGATTCGCCGAGGTCTTCGTCGCTGTGTTTGTATCTCATCAACGTCTGTCGACGGGGCAGAACCGTTTTGGTTAGCCGTTTCAGAGGACTGCGATCGGTGGTCATCAGTTCCGCCACGGGCGTCGGCGGGGGCGCCAGCTTTTTCTTCTTCTTCCGCTTCCTCTTGCGCTTATCGTCGGGCTTTCTGGATAGTCCACCGTCAGAATTCATCAACGCGGGACGGGGTATAAACGTATATCACCGTCGATTAGAAGAATTTGTTTTTAACTGAATTCACCAATGTGGGGGTCGGGAGCTATATGAAGGACGGTGCGAGTGAGCCTGGGGGGCGGCATTAAGCATTTTTAATGTCTGGGGGTGATGCTGGAATATTATTATGCGACAACGACTAACTTGTAATGATGAGAAATAGAACTATTGTGGACTATAATCGACGGGGTATTCCGACTGAAAAGACCCAATCTTCGGTGATTTCCGTCTTGGTTGCTTTTCGCAAAAGCGTATATTTGAATAGGTTATTTGTCACATGGCCGAAAAGTGCGGATGTCGTTGTCACGGACATGGTATGATACCCGTCGAGGGTTGTGGCATTGTACATGTCGCTTTAAGCTGATTCAGTCTATATACGTGAGCTATGTCCCCAACACCCGCGATTCGGTGACGAATTGTCCGGGTCCCGCGGCGCTGGATTCGAGGTCGAATGAGAAAATGGGCGAGTAGTCGACGGAACGGTTGCCACTCGACACTTCTTCTCGGTAGTAAGTCACCAACGGAGCCAACTGGTCAATTCCCTTGCTGACCTTCGACTCGATCCACAAAATAGCTGTCGACGGAGGGTACAACTTAGCCATGTGTCCCATACCCAAAAGGTAACCCAACACCACGGCGATAGCGTGACCAGGGAACGACGTTTGTAAGTCAAACACCCATGAGATCGCCGTCCACAATAACAAGATCACAACGGGGAGCCCAGCGGTGGGAATTTCCACCTCTTTGCTGCCCACAACGTAGCGACGGGCCACGCGATTGACGCGAGACTCCCGCCAGCAGTAGTAGGTGAAGAACGAAAAGACGTACCCCAGCAGACCCAACACGGCGGCGTTTTTGTAAAACACTTTTCCCAACAAGTAGTAAGGGATGCCACAGAACACCGCCAACAAGTTAAGCGTGATCCCTGTGTACACGGTACCGTGGGTACGTTCAAACAACATCATAGGGGTAAACAAACCCATCATGTTGAGAGCCCAGTGGAAGAACCCTTTGTGGACGACTTGGAAGAACAGTAATCGGTTCAACAAGTCGAGCAGAGGTTCCACTGTGGGCGAAAGAGCGAGGGCTTTGTTCACCGCCCCTCCGGTGGCGGTATTTATGATGAGCATCAATAACGTGAACAAGGGAAACCCTACCGTCAACGCGGGGTAGGTGTTCCACATCCCCCAGTGGATTTCAACGGTGGGTGCCATCTTGATGGAAGGATGAATTTCGCGACGCTACATATCACGATAAAAATTTCGTGGTTACATGGAGGGGTGGACAAACATTTAGCGCAGTCGTAGATTACTGCTTTGATTTATGTAACAAGGATGAACCTCTATACTCTTATTTTTTATGGCGTAAATTAGATCTGGTTATGAAAAACGGCGTGTTATTGAAGTTTACTTGTGCGCGTTACCTCTTTGTACACACAAGATACGTGTTCGGTGCGGGGGTTAACTTCTGATGTTTTGGTCCGCTAGCGACACTCATCACGACGAGTTAATGCAAAATAGTTCTGAGGATATGCAAAATGGATCCGAATAGAAATTAAAATCTTAGTTCATTTCGACGTCACCATCGGCATCTTTGTTGGCTTCGGTGTCGGACTTTTTAGTGTTGGCGTCATCGGCAGCATCCTCCTCCAAAGCGGGCTGACCGTCCTGAATCAGCAGTTTAATCCGTTGGAGCAACTCCCACTTTTGGTAGTTTTTGGTTTTCAAATTGTCAATTTTGACTTCTCGCAGTTTCACCGTTTCGCTGATGCCTTCAATTTGTGACAAGTATTGACGGATTAATGAGAGTTTTAGTCGTAAACTCCCGGCATTGTTGTCAAAGTCCTTGGCTTTGATATGTCCCGTTTGTAAGTCGTGAAGGAGGCTGTATAACGTGGGCAATACCTCGAACTCTTTGAGCTTTTCGATTGCATCGAATTCAACATCGTCAGCGGACAGCGTCCCCTGGTCATCAGCCAGAACCACATTAGCAAGTGGCAGCGGCACCGCTGGAGTATTCATGATGAAGTAAACAGGTCTCCCGCAGCTCCCACTAAACAGTCGCAGCTAGGTACTCGAAATCCGTCGCGCACGCAATAAACCCACAAACGTTGCCTCTCTCCCCACATCAGCCTCAATGAACGCGATATGGAGCTTGATCCTGTGTTGTTTGCCTTGTTTCCCGGAGCTTAGTCTGCCAGGCCTCAATATCAATGGCCAACACTACAAAATTGAGCGATTGCTTGGCGAGGGAGGTTTCTCCTACGTGTATCTCGTCACCCTGAGCTCTAACCATGACCAGCAATATGCATTGAAGAAGATCAGATGCCCCTTCGGGTCAAACGACGACAGTTATGTGCTTGCCATGAAAGAGATTCGAAACTACCATCGCTTTTCTCGAACTCTGACCCCTTATGTCATTCAGCTGCTACGGGAGCTGGTGACTGAGGAGCCGGATGGCTCCAAAACCATCTATATTTTGTTGCCGTACTTTGAACGGTCATTACAAGATATCATTAACGAGATGGTTCTCAGCAACAATACCATGCCTGAAAGTGAAATTCTTCGAATATTTATTGGCATTTGTCGAGGTGTTAAGGTGATGCATTCATATAAAAAAATCGTCGGTACGCTGGCGGCACCGATGTCTACAGCAGAAAACGAGGATGACGCATTGTTACCTCTTCATAGCGACGAAGAAGATGCACCAGCTCCACTCACATCCCCCAACACTACAGAGCTTAGTGAGCTTTGCCCCTATGCTCACCGCGATCTTAAGCCAGCCAACGTGATGCTTGGCCCCGAGGGTATTCCCGTACTTGTTGACTTAGGACTGTGTGGTAAAGCTCGAATTAAAATCACTAACCGCCAGCAGGCTCTCACTCTCCAGGACTTTGCCCTGGAGCATTGCACTTTACCCTATCGGGCGCCAGAACTTCTTGAGGTGCCTAACAATTGCGAAATCACAGAAGCCACCGACATTTGGTCACTTGGGTGCCTTTTATACTGCTGTTGTTTTGGGTTTTCGCCATTTGAGAAACTAGAACTCGAACAAGGCGCCAATCTTAATATAGCCATTGCCAGAGGCAAATATCAAGTGCCGCTGAACCACGATTACCTGCCCGAGCTCATTGATATCATTAAGCTGTGTTTACAGATGGAACCCACGCAGCGACCTAAAATCCTGCAATTATTAGAGTCGGCACTTCTGCTTTCTCGGTCAGCCTGACACGAGTTTCTTTTACACATATGTTTCATTTTATTTAGGTTTTGTGGTTGCAGTATGGGCCACGACATATTACAGTATATACGATTCCTATCGCGCCCATCACCTGATCTTCTCTGCGTGGTAAATCATGTTAATTTTAACGCCGTTCCGCACGGTTGCGAAATACAAGATCACAAGCCATGGTGCTTACAAGTGCTCAACGAGGAGACAAGGTGGAAGGGTGGAATGACTGTCCTGTGGTCAGTGCTAGCAGTCTGACCTCGCTGGTGACCAAATCAAAACGAACACGCGTGTACCACACTTCAAACAACAACCTGGTTAGCGATCTCAATCACGCCACGGTGTCCAGCCCGCCCCCGTCCACCGCCAGTCTTGCCGTGATCTCTCCGCCTACGCCTCCACCGACGTCTCTGTCAACACTGTCCCTGGAAGTTCCTGCCGAAACTGAAGATAAAGTGACACCGTTATTGAAGTCTCTGGATCCTAAAGAGCTTCTCGAACAAGTCTTAGCGAAGACAAAGCTACTGGACAAAGAGAAGGCGTTCTATGAAGCAAAGATACCCCTTGACACGATGAACGCTACGCATAAGGAGTTTGTTGCTACACTCCTCGGGCGTGCCTTGATTGGCGAAAACCTCACAGTGCTCAAAAAGGATTTGGTAGAGTTTATGGTGTGTAGTGATGGTGTCAGTAGCTGGTGCTCGGCATTGAAGAAGATCTTGTCATCTATTTGATGGCCTTTAAAACGTAATACAACTGAATAGAATACATAAAATAGACACGTTCATCTTTCAAGCAGCAATTACCTCAAGGCAGGGCAAAAGCATCTGAAACCCTGAAATCTGGTCGATAGACTCCACAGTGTTACTATGTTTCAGAAACTGTCGGACTGATTGTCTCTATTGCGACTTTCTCATTAAAAATCGCCCTCTAATTTTCAAAAAGTTGGGTCAAACGATACCTCACCAATTTAATAAATGAAACCAAGTCAAATGTCACTTCAATTGGTATTTTATATCACTTAATGTCGCTACAAGCCGGTGCTGTTGATGTTCTCTCTATTGGTATGTCAAATGGTTTGAGGTCGCGCATCGTGAAAAACACAGCACCGATACACACATGTCGACAATTGCCACTAGTTCCGGAGAGTCCTCCAACTCCGGGTTGTCGCTAATTGCTGCCCACTCGCACATCACCGGGCTTGGTCTTGATGACCATCTTCAACCGAAGGAACTGGCACAAGGGATGGTGGGTCAGCTCAAGGCCAGAAAAGCCGCCGGCGTCATTTTGAAGATGGTGCAACAGGGCAAAATTGCCGGGCGGGCAGTGCTTATGGCGGGGCCTCCTCTGACTGGTAAGACTGCCATTGCCATGGGTCTCTCGCAAAGCTTGGGGTCCGATGTTCCCTTCACCCTGATCGCTGGTTCGGAAATCTACTCCAACGAATTACTGAAGACTGAGGCGCTTACCCAAGCCTTCCGCAAACTGATTGGTATCAAAATCAAGGAGGAGACTGAGTTGATTGAAGGTGAAGTTGTCGAAATCCAAATTGACCGCTCGTTGACTGGTGGTCACAAGCAGGGGAAGTTGACCATCAAAACCACTGACATGGAAACCATCTACGAACTTGGTAACAAGATGATCGAAGGCTTGACCAAAGAAAAGGTGTTGGCTGGTGACGTCATCTCTATCAACAAATCGCTGGGTAAGATCACAAAGTTGGGTAAGTCGTTTGCTCGTGCCCGTGACTACGACGCCATGGGTCCTGACACCAAGTTTGTTCAATGTCCCGAAGGCGAATTGCAAAAGCGGAAGGAAGTAGTGCACACTGTGTCGTTACACGAAATCGACGTCATCAACTCGAGACAGCAGGGATTTTTGGCGCTATTCTCGGGTGACACCGGTGAAATCAGACTGGAAGTTCGTGACCAGATTAATACTAAGGTTGCCGAATGGAAGGAAGAAGGCAAGGCAGAGATCGTTCCTGGGGTGTTATTTATAGATGAAGTGCACATGTTGGACATCGAATGTTTCTCGTTCATCAACAGAGCACTTGAAGATGACTTTGCTCCTATTGTCATTATGGCAACCAACCGTGGGGTGTCTCAAACTCGGGGTACGAACTACAAATCGCCCCACGGATTACCAATGGACTTGTTGGACCGGGTAATCATTATCCACACTCAACCTTATTCTGGTGATGAAATCCGGACTATTTTGTCGATTCGTGCTAGCGAAGAGGAAGTGGAGTTGAGTGGCGATGCTTTGGCTCTTTTAACCAAGATCGGCCAGGAAACCAGCTTACGATATGCTGCTAACTTGATTTCGGTGTCGCAACAAATAGCTTTGAAGCGCAGATCGAACGAAGTCGACTTGGCTGACGTGAAGCGGGCTTACTCTTTGTTCTACGACGCTGATCGTCTGTGCAAGTATTTGGAAGAATACCTGGCACAAATGATTAATGACCAAGGCCAAGTGACTTTTGGCACCGACGGCGACAAAATGGAAACTGATTAATGTATAATACTAAATTGAAACGAAACGGCTTTTTGATATTCTGTATGTAGACTGGCTACGATTCTTTAATGTATTAGGCACTCGCCTTAGTGTTGAGAATCAATGCAATGATCATCCCGTACAACCCCAAAACTTCGGCGAAAATCAAAATAAGAACAATCCCAACAAACAACCGGGGCTGGTGCATGAACTTTCTCACCCCTTCATCGCCAACAACCCCAATTGCATACCCCAGAGCAAGGCAAGCAAAACCCACGGAGAGACCACAGGCCATGTGCATGAATCCATTGAATAAAGTATATTCCAGCGTCGGCAGGAGGTTACCAGCAATCAATACGGCAACCACCAAACCATACACTGACAAGATACCCGACATAACCACGGGGATTAATGACTTCATGATCAATTCGGGCTTGTAGGCACCAATACCGGCGATACCAATACCCGACTTTGCTGTACCAATGGCTGCTCCGGCACAAGAGAGCACCATAGCGGCAAAACACCCAAAGAACCCAAAGAAGGGAGCAAACGCGGGTGCCAACTCTGACATTTCACTGGTGGTGGTCGTGGGATGTATGCGTTGACCATGAGTGCGACTTGTGCTAAATATGGTAGCGCCACGGCAATATACAATTACATCACCACGTACCTCTGCTGTCACCGAGTTGGCAATTGTTGGCGGATTTTGGTGATGTACAAAGTTTCATGAACTTACATTCTTCATTAATTGCCCATTTTCTCTTTTCCTTTTTTGTTGTCAAGAGTGATACATGGTATGTATGTAGCAAACGCGCTCACATTGTTTGAATCTCAACCCAAACAACGTCGCCTATGATATGGCTTCACTTCGACCAGATAAGTTTGAGCCGGTGAATTTCACGCAGGCCCAGTTCCAGCAGATGGTAGCTGAACAATTGCGGCTTCGATTTGATGCAGTTGAGGCAGCTTTACCCAATGGAGTTGATGACGAGGCAGACAGCAGTAAGGTCAAAGCCTACCTTCAGAAGGACTTCTACGAAACGTTACTTGACATGGGACATGGTATAACGGTGGACGGTAACTATATCGAGTCCCTTGATCACCTTGAACAACTAGTACACGGCTCAAAAGTCGAGTATGAACCTGTGGACCCGGTACTTGAGGTTCAGGTTCGAGATGCAGTGGCAGAAACAGAACGTGTGACGAACGAGGTGATGGAACTTCGGGCACTTGCACCATCAGTGGTTGCCGACAGTTACCAACAGGTGGTAGACCGAGCGGCGGAGTCAATCATGCAAGAGATCCGTGATATCGACAACATTGAGTTGTCGTTACCCAATTATCGTTTAGATCCAACAGAGATCGTTCAAGAAAGAAACTACGCTATCAACGAATTGAGTCGTGCGGTCGAGGACTTGCCTGAACGAAGCGAAGAAGTCGACCAAGTCCACCGCAAATATAAGTTTCTTGAGTTGAATAATGTTTGAAATTCTCTAGGTGCTACTTGAGTTTTGCTTCCAAGCTAAAAAGTCAAACCCCGAGATTTGATGACTAATACACTATAACACTTGGGCGTCTGAATCTGTAAAAACTAGTGCTTCAAAGGAGTTCATTGATTATAGAATAGCTATATACACGGGTAATAACCAATTTTTCACCTTATTTTTAGTTGGTTTCAAAGCCAAAGCCCTTCATACACAGTTTGTAAGCGGCAATCATCTCGTCGCACTTGCCACCTTCTTGGCCGTTGAAGAGAAGACACTCATCACGCTTCTTCTTTTCATCAAGACAAACACAGCAGGGCTTGATTTTCTTTTCTTCGGCTTGGGGTTGTTGAGGGGAGGACATTGTGTGGATAAAATGAACTGCAGTAAAACTGGTAAACGGTTTTTTCTGTGAGCGGTGGTGGAGCCACAAGAGGCAATGACCGTGGCGTCTATGCAAACCACGAACCACGTATACGGAGGTAAGTACTGAATTTACCCGAGCTAAGTTTTCCAATTTGCTCAAGCTGTTGAGCCAATTAGCACACAAATCAAGGCCTTACGAGAAGACTTGGCGTTGTCGTCACGGCCAAATTGTACGCAACATCACTCATGAAAAGGTGAGCTGACGCCACAAAATTAGTCTAGACCCGCTATGATTGAGTGACACTTGAAGTAGATTTAAATTCGCTTCTGGGTAAGCAATGCATTGGCAATTAGGCGAGTGTCACCATACAAACATCTGCATCCGCGCGAACACGTCAAGTGATCGGTGAGACACAGAGTTGGCTAGTCATGACCAGTCCCCACGCCAGCGTGGTTTTAAACGACGATCTTGACGAAACGGCGAGTCTGGTGGCACTGCATCAGACGGCTGCCGTGCCGCGACCCCGTTTCAGTCTTGACGACGACTCCTTTTCCACATACTTGGGTCTGGGCGATCAGCCATTGTCGTCAACAGTGCTGCCACTTGGCCCCAACTCCATCTTTGAGTTGACTGTGGGCAGTGATCAAGCACGGGTACGCAACAAGCGTGGCCTCAAGCATCTGGTTGTGATCAATGGTGGTGCCACCACCGTGTACAATCTTACCACCCCCACACTGCGAGACATCCCCCAAATCCATCTTGCTAAATTGAAGCATAAAGTCAACGATGAAAAAGTGAAGCCATTGCTTGCAAGCATGGACGACTATCGTGAATTTGAGCTGAGTTATGGCCGGCTTACATCTGATACTTTGCATGAGTTTGCTCGTCGAACGCAACCAACGAATTCCAGTGATGAAAGCTTGAGCGAGCAAGAAAACAACACCGCTACCAACTTGAGCAAGATCCCGTCGGTCTTTCTTGACCCAGACTTCCGCATGGATGATCCTCGAGTATTCAGTAAGGTCCTCGAAAATACCAAGATTCTTACGACTGATGATGAAGACATAACTACCAGTTTGGCACACAATACCGATCTCCAGGAAAAGTTCAGCAGCTACCTAGATATTGTTGAGCAGAACCTCGTGTTGGAAATTGGGAAACTGTCGGATTCCTTTTTTACTACTCTTGACGATATCACTAAGATCCAGAATCAATCAAAAGAGTGTGTTGCTCAATTTGCTCAACTCAAAGATGAATTGGTGAAAGTACAAACAACACAAGCTGAACGTGGTAAGCAAATCTGTTCTGATCTCATCAAAAACAAAAATGTGGAATACTTGGAGAGCGCTTTACTCCATATAAAGTACATTACAACTTTTTATGAGATGGCCGTTCGTGAGTACAGTCAACAAAACTTTTCCAGATGTCTCGATCTCATAGTCATCGTTGAGCTGCTAGTGAATGGCGTGGAATACGACGACTTTGACAATGACCCGGAGTTGTTGAGTCTCTATCCTCGTTTTGATTACCCCATAGAAAACGTGCTGAAATTGCCATGTCTCATCAATTTGGTGAACGATGTGCACAATTTGAAGCATGAATGTGCTCGGGGTTTCACGTCAGAATTTGTTGATATTCTCATTGATGACTTGCGCAACCACTACACCCTGGTACCCATTAATGACACCCTAAATCGATTGTATTGTGCGATGAATCCTCGAAAATACCCACTGCTGGCAGTCAAGTCGTATCTTGTGATGGATGAAGAGATAAAGGATAAGTTGAAGAATTGTGTATTCTCTCTCATCAAGTCAGGTCAGATCACGCATGGTTATCGTGTTTATCAAGATAAACTTATCGCCGAGATCAAGTCCATTATCAAACAAAACCTTCCTTCTGGTCCTGGTCTGGGGGTTTCGCCAATGCCCTCTAATGCGCCATCGCTGCGCAATTCGCCTGTTCCGCATGCCGTTGCAGAACAATCGCTGTTGTCCGTCAACATAAAAAGCCTTACACCGAAAGAGTTTGAGGAGATGTTGGTAAAGACTTACAGTAATTTGCTGGAGTGCTTGCGTCGTCTGACCACACACCAGAAAATCTTGTTGGACCTTGCATTATCATTAGGTGGGACCTCCCAAAATTTGGATGTGATGTCATTGGATATCACCCTGGCGATTAACAAAGCAATTGAACTCACCCAAATTCGACTCACGAAAATTATAAATGTTCGTTCTGAGCTGATTGGTGATCTCCCTGTGCCCATGTACTTGCGACTTTATTCAATATCATCGCTGTACCTTCAGGAATGTGAAAGTATTGACCCCATGGGCTCGGGTACCCACTTGGCTGAATGGTTCAAAAACCACCTCACATACTTTGTTCATCGGAATCATTCAAGGTCACTTAAAACCCTCGTGCTGAATATCGACCATGATACTTGGAAGGAAGCTTCTGCCGAGGAGTTGACGGTAGGGCAGTTCAACTTGGACCAAATTCTGTCTTACGCTGATTGGGTTCAGACTGGAGGACGTAACGGCAATCTGTGTGATTTCTGGTTGGATGCACTTGATTTTTACACAGGTCCAGAAAGAAAAGCATTACAAGGTCCGAAACCTATTTCAAGTGGAAAACTTACTATTGGTTCTGAAAGCTTCGTGGTACCCACATTTATCATCAAGTCACTAGCCCAAGTTCGCGATTATTTGACCATTCACAAAATGTTTCCAAATGTTCCGATTACGAATAATGTTCTCAATTATTTCAAGCTCGCCAACTCGCGTATCTCCCAAGCAATTCTTAACGCTGGGGCAACCAAGACTGCAGGACTTAAACATATTACAACAAGGCACATCGCATTGTGTATTCAGACCGTCGAATTTGTGATGGCATTACTTCCACGTGTTGAACAGGCATTGCCTCCGCCGACATCCCAACTTAATCAAGGACCCCGCCCAGATAGCGATCTCAACTTTGGGCGCATTTATACCAGTTATAAAGATCACGAAAACGAGTTATTTAACAAATTGGTGTCTATTATGCGTGATCGGACGATGCTTCACTGTCAGGTAATTTTGAAAACCAACTGGTCGGAGCCAATGCCGTATGGTACCCAATGTCATCCATATATGGAGACTATCGTTAAGGAAACAAATCGAGTATCAAAAGTTTTGGCCAAGGTTCTTCCAGAGCTTAAGTGCTCTCATATTTTATCGCAGGTGTTTGATAACTACAAGAAACTTCTTGTGCTGTGTTATTGTGCTGAATTGCCTCAACTTAAGGATATGATGGAAAAGCAGATGGTGCTCAAAGACATTGACTTTTTCAGGGTAAACTTATGTGATTTACCGGGATATGGTAATTCTGGTCAAGTGATTTGGGAGAATGTCAATGCTTTGCCCACTCTCGAAGACCTGACGCTTGAACAGCAGCGCAAACTCGAAGAAGAGAGACTTAAACAGCAAGAGCTTGCTAGGCAAGAGCAAGAGCGGATTGAACGGGAAAAGGCCGAGTTGGAAGCCAGAAAAGCCGAAGAAGCCAAACGAGCAGAGGAAGAAGCAACGAGTCAAGCTGCTGAAACTTTGTTTGATGCCCAACTTGCTGGTAAACTCTCTGAAGATACGCCTCATGAGGAAAGTAAAAAGGACCTGGTGGACCTTTTGCCCAAGGAGGCTGCTGCTAACGATACTGTTATTTTATCGAAAGAGAGCTCCATGGCTCCAGAGGAGTTGAAACCAGATGCGGTAATTGAAAGTACGAGTGATTTGTCTGACACATTACCTCTGCTTGATGCCAAAGAAGGCGACAAGACTGCCACATCTCTTGAGAACCCGGCGTTGATGTCAAAGGACTCTGGTGAAGATACAACGTCTGCTTTGGTCGAGGATCGTGATTCGAAGAAAGACACAACTGACGACGCAAATAAACCTCAAACGACAGTTCTTCAGCAAGCTTCCCCCGAAGATACAGTCGCCTTTGAAGAAACCGTCCCTTCGGATAAAGCAGTTGATCTTGAAGACAATGCCTCTCCTGAGCACACAATTCCTTCTAAAGACGCAGTCAGTGAGGTGGAGGCTTCTGTTGAAGAGGTAGAACCTGTCGAAACTATCTTTGAGATTCCCGAAACTAAGGTCGACTCGCCCGAGGTAGCAGTATCTCAAGATGGTAGCTCACAAGGAGTTGCCGATAATTCTGTGTCGGGGACAAGCGTTCTGGCTGAAGTCGACCAAGATAAATTGACTGAAGAAGGTTTGTCTGAGGTTTCCAAAGTTGATGAGCAGTCGCTTCCAACCATCGAAGTGGAAGAAACTGCCGCGGTTGCAGAATCTTCAGCTGCGGCACCAACCAATGATGAAAATGTTGAACAGTCGATTACTTCTGACACTCCCACGGTATCAAGCACCTCTCAAGAAGTCCAACATCCAAATGTCAATGAGGTAAATGAGTCGAACCCTGCTTCTGAGCTGACGACACCGTCAAATGACAATGCTGCTGGTCTGGTATCTACAAACGAAAAATCTGCTCCAGAGCTGATCGAATTGCCAGAGGTTGAGGCTCAAGAGGGTGGTGAGAAAACTAAAGACGTGGAAGTATCAGCAGCTGAGGTTGAAGTTGAGTCACCAGAAGTTGAGTCACCAGAAGTTGAGGAAGCAGAACCCGAGGCTCCATCAATCGCATCTAGCGGCTCTAATGGTGCCACGCAAAATTCGACAAACAAAAAGAAGAAGAAGAAGAAGAAGAAGGGGAAGAAGTAATTTATAGATTAATACACTACTTACTTAAATCGAACTTGCCGTTGGTTTTGGTGTAAACCTTCTCATCTTCGGTAACAATGGCGTCAATTAGTTCGTGTGGAGTAACATCGAACGCTGGATTCCACACAGAGATACCTTGAGGTGCAATACCGACCTGGATTTTCTCGCCCGCATTTCCAGAGGCGTCCAACGCGGGACCCTTGATGGTAGTAAGTTCATCTGAAGGTCTTTGTTCAATCACAATGTCCAGACCTTGTTCTGTGGAGAAGTCGATAGTTGTACGCGGGGCAGCAACGATGAATTTGATATTAGTGTTCTGGGTCTGGTTGAAAAAACTGGCAATAGTTGACAACTGGAAGGACCCGATTTTATTAGCAGTGTCGCCATTCTTGACAATTCTGTCAGCGCCAATGATGATAAATTTCACCGGCGCCTTGGTAAGTTGTTCGCGGATTAACGACAGTACCATATTGTCACAAACCAAAGTGAAAGGAATCTTGTCGTGCTTCAACTCATAACTGGTCAACTTGGCACCTTGGTTGTAAGGTCTGGTTTCACAAGGGAATACTTGAGATAAATGGAAAGGCTTGTCAGACAGTTCTTCCTTGAGAGCCTCGTGAGTAGAGCGAATAATCCCCAAAGCGGTACCATGGCCTGAAGTCGCTAATGAACCAGTGTTGCAAATAGTGAGAATTGAAAAGGCTCCCTTGAACCCCTCTTCTTCAAGACTTTGAGTGATGTATTTCAAGCCATTAGCACCAATCTTGTAGTTATTGGCCAAGTCATCCTCATATAAGTTGTTGGCGTATTTGTCAATCTTGGAGTAAGCTTTATCTGTAATTTCGTCATAGTCAGCGACGATCTGGCGCAAATCGTTAAGAGCATTAGCCAAGTTGACTGCGGTGGGGCGAGAGCTGATCAAGTAATCGAGCAGGTCGACAAAGTCCTTTTGAGTGATTTGCTTCCCTTGCACCTTGACTTTGTTGTGGGTGTCAACCAACACGGCAAATGTGGCGACAATAGCGATGGCTGGGGCACCTCTCACTTGCATGTTCTTAATGACATTGTAGGCGTCCGAGATGTTAGTGACATCAATGTATTGTGTGGTGTAAGGCAAAAGCAACTGATCCAAGATCTGGAGAGTTGTATTCTGTTTGTCGAATCGAATGGCTTGAAGTGACATGGTATAATGCAGACGGCTCTTCTTACCACGTGAGTGATGAAATGATAGGCACTGTGGCGCGTAATGCATCAAAGCATCTCCCCCACGTTGCAACTACTGAACACTACTAGTAAAAAATTGTCGGAATGATATCGAATATATTAAAATACGAGACGGCGAATACCGCTAATGTCCCATTCCTCACGCAACAGGTTCCACTTGCAACCTAATAATTTGCGACCAGTGATGGGGCAGCGGCCACCCTTTGATATGTCTATGTGAACTTCTTCGTTCTCGGCGTCGTGTTCTTCCTTCTTTTTGATCTTTTTCTTTTCCTCGTATTCATCTTCCAGTTCGTCTTCGTACAAGTCATCATCGTCTTCGTGACCTTCCTTCCGCTGTTTGATCTTTTCGGCAACGATCTTGTGTGAGTTTTGTAAGTAGTTGAAGATGCAAGTGTAATCAAAGACGTAACCAGTCTCAATGACAGCGGGGTTGGTGATGGGCTTTTTGCAAATAGGGCAAAAACTGCCCGAGCGGTATATCGGTGTGCGCTCATTGGACTTGGCATGGCGTGACTTCTGGATCGCTTGAGTCAAAGTTGAAGGGGCCGGCAAATTGAAGTCAAATTGAGACCCTTGGTTTTTGTTGAGTTTGGCAGAAAACCCCAGTGAATTCCACCATTCCAAGAATTTCAAGCCAAAGATGGCAACTGGGAAAAATGTACCCAAAATGTACTTGAGGATCCGACCCAGCGGACCCGTGAGATTGCGTCTGATAATTCTCCAGGCTAACTCGGCAATACGAGCCGGCCCAACACGATTTACAACATCGCGATCAGACTTGTAGTTAGTTCCTGACTCATATTTTTGATAGTCGTGTTGATTAAGACGGGCAAAATCGATGCGGAACAAAAAGGTCAAAAGAGATGGTGACTTCAGCACCCCAGCTAAGTATGCTAATGTGGTGACGAAATTAGCAAAACGGTACCCCCCTTGCACGTATGGGAAGATCTCCACAAACCGCCGCTTCCATCGAATTTTCCGGTTTTCCTCAGGTGTGAACAATTCGCTCTCAATGAGCTGATTGGTGACCATTCTGGTGTACCATATGTCATAGTAATAATTTAACTTCTCACCAATATAAGCGGTGCCGACAACTTCAAAGATGGAAACTGCCTTTTGTAAAGGTGTGAGTTCCCGTCTCTCTTCGACCATTGACGGTGACAATTGAGTAAGTTTACTCAGGTTGATATCGGCCGATGCCAAAGGTGTTTGATTGACTCTTTTGATGCCATAGAAGTTTTCTGTAAAAGAGCCTTGCCAGTAAGTCATGAAGTACCATTCGATAAACCCTCTGAAAAGCAAATTAAGTTCATCAAACCGGTTGTTGATCTTAAGGAGGTACCGAGGGTACCTTGTGGTGTAGTAAACAAGGATGTAACGGAGCGATGGTGAAAGGAGATGTTCAAGTTGGTGTGCAGAAATCAACTCAAAAAGAGTCGGAGTCTCACTGTCCAACTGGGACGCATCCAATGATGAGTAGAATTCCATTCAGCTTCAATGCTCGTGTGGTGTGGGGTAACTTTCTGGAATTTGACGGTGCGCGTAAGAAAAAATGCTGACTACCGAGGTGCGGCAGATAGGCAGCATGATTTTGGAAAGTGGCATGTTTCAAACATACACCTGGTCCACAAATATAAGGGGACATTCAATGATGCAATCCAATTTGTGTCACTTTGATTAAATGAGTGGGAACGACAAGATAATAACCTGGGATCACCTAATTTCCTATTACAATATGCTGGAGCTCCAGCTTGCAGCATTCAACTTGGACCATCATCAGTTATCACAATGGAAAGCCGTTGAATCTACACATGAGTTTCGACACAAAGTTAGCATAGTTGACCACCATGACCAACCGCTCTTAAATTTGAGCGACATTATCAGTGAACCTAATCCATTATTTTCCATGTCGTCCTCGATTGTGGCTCTGTCGCCAGTTGCCAACCACACGCAAGCGCTAGCTTATTATCCCATGGCACTGTCACCACGAGCAGATGCTGACACCGTGAGTCTGCCTCAGGATACGGTCATACCCCTGGGCGATGATATCGTAGCGGATTTATAATATATGATTATGTATGTTGCCATTTAGCATAATGCAGTCACGGGGTGCATTTGAACCAACTCATAGTCAAGCTTGAAGTTTTGCTTAAAGAAGTATTCCCACATCGACACATCAAACCCTTGGTAGTCGCCGAATTCCATACTCTCATCTTCCGAGATTAGCTTCACCCTACGGAACCAGAAGTAAGCACAGTCCTTAGCCATGCCAGACTTCCCGGTGATGGCACCAGTGCCGTTTGTGCGGTAGGGCTTCCAACCAAGTCTAAAGAGAGCACGTTCTGCGATAATGTTTTCCATGGGAGTGGTGGCGTAAAAGTGACCGTAGAACAATACCAGAGTGAGTTCAATCACCACGGTTTCGTTGGCGCTGCCCAGTGCTGCCAATGCCTCAATCTCACTGACAAACTGGTCGAATTGGTTCAATGCCCGTACCTTATTCCAGTAGGCCTGCAATTTAATGAATTGGGGCGGCAACTTGAACTCTCGAGGTCGGTTGTCGAAGTGAGGTTGAACTTCAAGAGGGAGGTAGGGCTTCACCATCGGAACCACGTAAGGATTGTACAAGTGGTTGCCATACGCCGTCAGCTGTCGAAGAATGGCACAGTCTTCGCCTCCATTACGTTTGGCGGTGAAAGAAATGATCAAATCCTGAATGCCTGGAGGTAAACGAACGAGATTCAAGTCAGAAAACATGTTCCGTTCCGCAGGACTAAGGTTCGAGTTCTGGATCACTTCGAGGTACTTGAAGTTGGGATCACTGGTATCGTTCACGGGAGTTCGCAAGATTGTCTTCTCAGACGAAGACACTGGGTTCACTGGAGTCAGTGGCGATGTCTCGTGACTTCCGTTAGTTTCATGGTGGCCGTTAGTACCTTGGTCAACTTCTGGAGTCGCTTGTCGACTCAGACTTGTTTGTAATGGCTCAGGGAGACCAACGGCAGCGGCGGCCGACCACTTGAGGTTACCCACCGGTTTCAATGGCGTCAGGGCTGGCCTGAGCGCCTTCACGATGGCGGGAGAGTTGGGTGGCAGGTTTTGAGCTAACGGAAGATGGTTTGACAGTGATGCCAGAGGAAGCAGAGTTGTTTGACCGTGATTGACCGAAGACACTCTCAGGGTGGAAGCCAGAGGAAGCACATGCTCAGTCGATGGAAGTACCAGCGAGTCGTCAGCGTCAACTTCAGTGTCATCAAACGCAGTGTAGTCGACATCTTCAGCGTTCACAGCGTTAAAGATATCTTCATACAAATTGTTGTCGAATTCACCGTTGGTGTCAACGTAACGTTCAAGATCAGACTTGACAACTTCCAACAAATTCATATCCAGCAATTTTCCTAGCTTAAGCAATCGTATAAGCTTCAAAATCTTCTTGATATGGATTTTATGTTGAGCTAAAGTCGCTTGAATCTTTTCCTTCTTGGCCTCGATAGTTCCCAGGTTATTTTTCCGGACCTTTTTGTTGACCAATTTGTCGTATTCGCCATGCAATTTCTGTAGCTGGGCCGACAATTGGTGTATTATGTCTTGGAAAAACAAAATTTCCTGAACCGTTTCCTCAGAGTATTCTTCTTCCTCGGGATCACTAAGAAATTCGTCCACGTCTTGATCGGTATCCCAGCCGTCACTCAGGCCATCGGCATCGTCCAAACCAACATCGTCATCGTTGTCCATCAGCGCCGCCATGAGAATCAGCTGATTAGAAAACGTTTTGAGTTTGGACGTCCGCTCAACTTCCTTATACATTTCCATGCCTTCTTCAATTAATCGCTTGTTTTCATTGAGCTTTTGTGATAGCTGTCCCAGAGCAAGAGTGAGGGCTTTGATATCGTCTTTCAGTTGCCAGATCTTGATCTGCTCTCGAAACTTTTGTAATCTCTTGATCTCTTTCTTTAAATCACTCTCAAGCTTCTCTTTCTCTCGCAGGTTATCCAGATCTTCATCATTATTGATAGCCTCATACCTGTCGTAGTGATAATGGAACTCATGTAGACCTTCAGATATCTTTTTGAATATGATATCAATGTCTCTGGTGGTTAGTGGGGTTCTCATGTGAAATGTTGAGGGGGACCTCGGTCTGATTCTGGGTCCCATGGACTCATATGAGGTAGGGCAATCACTGAGGACTGCAATATACGTACTTTTGAAGTTTTCGGTTCGCCATGGCTTAAACAACACGCCAACTTGTACGGCCTCACCCAATAACTACTGAAAAATTTTTGGTAGAGTACGGTCACGTGAGAGATGTACCTAAAACGGTCAATTGTAACGCTTACATGAGGAATGTTAAAGTTACGTATAATTACATTGAAGATAAACTCTATATCCTTTAAATTACAATATAAACCACTAAAGCTCGTCGTCCAAGTCAGAGTCGTCGTCGGAGTCGTCGTCACCGAACTTCGAATCACCGCCGTACGAGTCGTCGTCGTAATCGCCAGCAGCACCACCGTACAACTTAGCGGTGATGGGGTTGGCAATGTCGATCAACTTTTGCTTTTGTTCGTCGTATTCTTCGGCGGAAGCTTCGGGGTTTTCTTCAATGAATTCCAAAGTTTCCTTGACGGCGTCGTCCAAAGTTTCAAAGTCATCTTCGTCCAACTTACCACCAAGGCCATCCTTGTCTTCCAATTGGACTCTGAGGTGGTTGGCGTATTGCTCAAGCGAGTTGCGGGTTTCCACGCGCTTTCTCAATTCTTCATCTTGCTTGGCGTACTTTTCACCTTCTTCAACCATCTTTTCGATTTGTTCCTTGCTCAATCTACCTTGGTCGTTGGTGATAGTGATGGATTCACTCTTACCAGTGCCCTTGTCGGTAGCGTCAACCTTAAGGATACCGTTGGCATCGATGGTGAAGGTAACTTCAATTTGAGGCACACCTCTGGGGGCAGGGGGGATACCAGTCAATTCGAACTTACCAAGTCTGTGGTTGTCCTTGCATCTAGCTCTTTCACCTTCGTAGACTTGAATCAACACGGTAGGTTGGTTGTCGGCGGCGGTCGAGAAGATTTGCGACTTCTTGGTGGGGATGGCAGTGTTTCTTCTGATCAAAGTAGTCATGACACCACCGGTGGTCTCAATACCAAGAGTCAAGGGGTTCACATCCAAAAGGACGATACCGTCGACCTTTTCTTCACCACCGAGGACACCAGCTTGAACAGCGGCACCGTAAGCAACGGCTTCATCGGGGTTGATACCCTTGGAGGCCTTCTTGCCGTCAAAGTAGTTTTCCAACAATTCTTGAACCTTGGGGATTCTAGTAGAACCACCAACAAGAACAATGTCGTCAATTTCAGACTTCTTGACACCGGCGTCCTTCAACACCTGTTCAACGGGCTTGAGGGTCTTCTTGAACAAGTCACCGTTCAATTCTTCAAACTTAGCTCTGGTCAAGGTTTCCGAGAAGTCAATACCGTCAACAAACGAGTCAATTTCGATTCTGGTCGACATTTGCGAAGACAAGGTACGCTTGGCCTTTTCGGCTTCACGCTTAAGCTTGGCAATAGCCTTTTGGTTCGAGGTGACGTCGATGTCGTGCTTCTTCTTGAAGAGCTTGGCAAGGTATCTGACGACCTTGTGGTCAAAGTCTTCACCACCCAAGTGAGTGTCACCAGCGGTGGCCAACACTTCGAAAACACCGGCTTCGATCGACAACAACGAGACGTCGAAGGTACCACCACCCAAGTCGTAGACGATAATTTGCTTTTCGCCGTCGGTCTTGTCCAAACCGTAGGCGATGGCAGCGGCAGTAGGTTCGTTAACGATACGCATAACGTTAAGACCAGCAATGGTACCGGCATCCTTGGTAGCTTGTCTTTGAGCATCGTTGAAGTAAGCGGGGACGGTAACCACGGCGTGGGTAACCTTCTTGCCCAAGTAGTCTTCGGCAATTTGCTTCATCTTACCCAAAATCATACCCGAAATTTCTTCAGGGTAGAATTCCTTGGATTCACCGTTAACTTCAACTTCGACGACGGGCTTGCCCTTCTTCTTGTTGATTGTGTAAGGCAAGTGCTTCAATTCCTTTTGAACTTCCTTGTCGTCGTACTTCAAACCCATCAATCTCTTGATGTCGAACACGGTGTTCTTGACGTTAGAGGCGGCTTGGTTCTTAGCAGCATCACCGATCAATCTTTCTTCGGGGGTAAAGGCAACGTAAGAAGGGGTGATTCTGTTACCTTGGTCATTAGCCAAAATTTCAACCTGACCGTTCTTCATGACACCAACACAAGAGTAGGTGGTACCCAAGTCGATACCGATCACGGTACCCTTAGGGTCCAGGTCTTCTTCTTCAGTGGTAGCCAAGGCAAACGGGGACAGGGAAAAGAGTGGTACGAGGCAAATCAATGCCACGTACAACACCGCTAACCGCGGGATCCATTGTCTGAACATGGTATAAGTTGTCTGAAAAATTGCGGAGGTGAACGGCGCGTTTATATGTCGCGTTGCCACGTCGCACTTACGTGTCGAAAACGAAATGGAAGCTGATAGAACGTGCGGGTTTCGACGGCAAAGTCGGAAAAATTCAGCGAATAAGAGGTTGGAAAACTATTGACGTGGCTGGTGTATTAGATGCGCAATGCTTGGGTACTACTGTCTATTCAGTATCGTTTTCGTTGAACGATTTTTCATCATTTAAGTGAGTGTTCAATTTCGTTACCCTAATTGGGAAACCTAAATTCGCTGGCCATTTTCGCCGTAACGTCAAGTGGCGAAAAATAATAAAAAAAAAAGAAGCCATGTGGTTTTGCCACAGCTGCAAAATCGTAGTCTATAATCGGTAAGTGCGGGATCATACGCCGGGAACAGGTCACGTAATTAGTTCGAAGACGTATAAAGCTTATGGGCTACGTGTCCTTTGCAAAAGCATTTTGATGTGGGTTGCCGCGTTTGATGGAACCTGGTCGAATCCAGTGGAACGTTTAGCAGGTCATACAATGGGAACCCTTAACCCTTAGCTCATTGTCGGCGACAAGATGCAGCACATAGTGCTTGTGTCATTAGAGAAGGCTGCGTGGTGGCAGAACACGAAATTTGACTCGGCTCGGTCTACAGACTACGACAGAGCCAAGACGTGCCAACGACACCCGAATTCAAAGGTGCGTCAACCCCTCTGTAGAGATTGAACATGAAGATTCTGTGTTGGTGATTGAAATATACCTGGTCAGGGACAATGACGGCTGGGTTTACGCATCCAGTGGATCTGGGGAGTTCATAGGCTCGTAACTGCAAACTTTAGCGTATATATTCGAGATTACGATGGAGGGGTGAAAAACGTACAGCCAGTGGTGTCAATATCACAAGTATTTGTGGTATTAGTAGTTCGAGAGAAGTATGGCACAGAATATCAAATTAGCACTAACAATCATGAGAAATTAATTCAACTGACATGGCCTTGTTTATAGTAATAATAAGCGATATGATGGCTTAATAAGTGTAAACGGCGTCGCAACTTTAGAGTCCATTTGCAATTTCGTTGTCTCCACGAAAAGTGTTGCTGATTCCAATATTGAATGCAATAACATTCACCAACGCCATATTGATGATGTAATCTCCTATAGATAGTCAATTCGATTACGGCTTGAGTACCCCTCATTGCTATCGATCGTAACCCCTGTTTACTAATAGCGTCACCCTCCCCTCGCTCCACACCATTCAGGGGACAATGATCTCCCGCGCCAAATGTCGACGGTCGCACCCTGTCCCAAGTTCCCACTCCACCGCACCCTGCACCACGCCCCCAGGCTCTAGCGTCAAATCCAGATAGAGATAACGACACATTTCGTTAAGCAATAGCCATCAATTACGCCCCATAAAGATGATCCGTTTCCAGTATTCATTTTCCATATACGACGCCTTTTCCTATGGTTAGAGCCATTAAACTTTCCCACAGTGAGACGCTCGCTCCCCCGCTTAGCCTTGCTCCCTGCACACAAGCGAGCGCAGATATCACCGAGCGTCTCCCTAAATTTTTCCCCAGTCCGGCCACCAACCTCACCCGTCGACGATGTCGTTTGCCACGGACGAATTGAACCATTTGCAGCAGGCGATCAATCGGGAGCAGCCTCGCGACGTGATCCAATTCTGCGCCAACTACTTTGACCACAAGTTGCAGCAGCAACGCCTCCACCTCTGGAGTCAACAACAAAAGGCTGAAGCGGCGGGGATCACGCTTTTCCCCCAGGTCGACTCCGCCCACGTCCCCGCCATCCCCCACAACAAGCGCCAGCCCCTGTTCAAGCTGCCATTCAGTGTCAATGACCCCCACCAGCAGGATGCCGGCGACCCCACCAGCGCCCCTGCGGCGGGCTTGTTTAAGAGCGACTTCAACGTCAACCTGGGGGCGCCCACCTCCAAGACTGACCCTTTGGACCCGTCTACCGCTACTGCCGGTGGCGTTGGTGCCAGAGGCGACGCTGATTTGGCGTCGGCGCCGGCGCAAAAGATCCCTAACTTCAACGCCAACAGACGGACGCTGGTGAGTGCGGAAACGTTGAATCCGGACTTGTTCAAGCTGTCGGGGTGGACCCCGCCCAAAAACAACCAGTTGCTGGCGGAAGAGCGCCAGGAATTGTCGCAGAAATTGGGGCTGTACTTCCTCTTTGACCAGTTGGACGCCTCGCTGAAAAAGACGGTGGTGCTGGCGCTTGAACTGAAGCTGTTCCCCAAAAACACCGAGATCATCCGACAAGGCGACGAAGGGGACTTTTTCTACATCATTGTCAAGGGGACGGTCGACTTCTTCGTCAACGGCTCCAAGGTCAACTCCAGCGGCGAAGGCTCGTACTTTGGCGAATTGGCGCTCATGTACAACTCCCCGCGGGCGGCTACCGCCGTAGCTGCTTCCGACGTCCAGTGCTGGGCGCTTGACCGAGCGACATTCCGGTCGATCCTTTTGGAATCCACTTACAACCGCCGCACCATGTACGAGAACTTCTTGAAGGACGTCAAGGTGTTGTCGCTGTTGACTCCGCAGGAACGACTGAAACTTGCCGATGCGCTCAAGACGGAAGTGTATCACAAGGGCGACAAGATTGTCGTCGAGGGCGAAAAGGGGGAAAACTTTTACTTCATCGAAAAGGGGGCATGCAAGGTCTACTCCAACGACAAGGGCGAGTTGACCCAGTTGAAGGACGGCGACTACTTTGGCGAAATTGCCCTTTTAAACGACTTGCCGAGACAGGCTACCGTGGAAGCGGTCGACACCGTCATCGTGGCTACGTTGGGCAAGTCGGGCTTTGAGCGGTTATTGGGGCCCGCAATACAGGTATTGAGACAACAGGATCCCAGACAACACAACTAGGCAAACATTTAGTAATGAACGTAAATCACGAGATTGTATACTTAGAAACTGATGAGGCACGTGACTCACGCGATTTCCCCCAGATGAAATGTTTAGGGAAATCGGCCTTGATCTCCCCCAATTGACAACCGATGGTAGACTATTTCCATAAGCTCAGCGACTACTTGCCTCGACCCCCCGTCGGTGGTGGCATTTTGCCGTACTGGCTTTTATTCATTTCCGTGGTTTCAGTGTTTAACTCGGCCCAGCTGTACCAGAAAGACTTGACGTTAACGAGAAAAGTGTATGAGAATGAGGCCGACCCCGCTCACGGCAAGCCTCAGGTGACCAATTTGAGTGCGCGTACGTTTGGGACGTGGACGTTGATCACATCAATCGTGCGTTTGTATGGTGCCTATCATTTGGGGAACCCTCAAGTGTACCTGTTGGTGCAATGGACGTATGTGGTGGCCTTCTGGCACTTCTTTAGTGAGTGGTTAGTGTACGGCACTTGTAAGTTTGGTAAGGGCATTGCTGGTCCCGCCATCGTCGCCACCACCAGTCTTGTGTGGATGTACTTGCAGAAACCGTACTACGTGGGGCAATTAGTGTAATTGTGGGTAAATAAGAATTTAGTAATAATAGCATTGAGCGCGGAGTCGCAGCCAAATGGCACCCAAATGGCACCATGACATCATCGTCGATGGGTCTCGGCATCGCTCAGAGACATTAATCAGTCATACTTGATATTTAGTAGAACTTCAGAGATAGGAGGTGTGGTGGTGGTGAGATAGTGTCTGTGGAGTACTACCACCACTGCGGCACGGGATGTCCCTCACACGACCGCCACACCACGCTCATACTTCCAAATATCACTCTAGCATTATACCAATCACTTCTATTTTTGTAGTCCATCGATGGGGTGTCATCGGCTCCTGTATAGTCCCTCAACGTCGTTTCTTCTCCCTTGGCCACCGGCACCCGCTCCCCTCGCCACCTCGGGTGCGAGCGCCCACCGCGGGGGTTTTTTCCACTGCTTATTGCTCTCTCGACCCGCGAGTGAGGACAAGCGACCACGAGCAACTGCCACATGAGTCGGGTGAAGAGAATCGCTAAGGAATTGGAGGAGTGCCGCCAGGACACCAAGTCCGGGGTCCAGCTCCAGTTAGACAACGAGAACGATCTCAGCAAGCTCACCGGCTACTTCCAGGGACCCCCCGGCACCCCCTACGAAGGAGGGGTGTTCAAGGTCGACATCACCATCCCCAACGAGTACCCGTTCAAGCCGCCGCAAATGAAGTTCGCCACCAAGATCTACCACCCCAACATCTCGCTGGTCACCGGCGCCATCTGCCTCGACATCTTAAAAGATGCGTGGACGCCGGTGCTCACGCTTAAGCTGTCGTTGATCTCGTTGCAGTCGTTGTTGCAGCTGCCGGAGCCCAACGACCCTCAGGACGCCGAGGTCGCCAAGCACTACTTGAACAACAAGCAAGGGTTTGACGACACCGCGGCGTACTGGACGAAGCTTTACGCCAGCGACAACTTGGGCCCTGCTCCCGTGGCGATGCTGGACTCCCAGTTGTACGGCATCGACGACAGCATCGTCACCCAGTTTGAGAACATGGGGTTCCCGCGGGACAAGATCATCGAGGTGTTGAGACGCATGGGGGTGAAGAGCTTCAACGGCGTCGGCGACAAGAGCGAGTTGGAGAACAAAATCCTCGAGGAGTTGTTGAGAGAGTGTTCGTAGTTTGATACATGCATATGGTAAAATTGACTATTTAGATCAGTAATATTGGGATCACGGTGATGGTTAGTAATGACTGGAATCATGGTGGTGATATATATAATATGTTTCCCCGGGCACACAACCCAAGGGTGCGACGAGATTTTTTTTCAACCGTACACACCTCAGATCACCTCAGATGTCGATGTCGCCGGCGCCCGAAGCCAAAGGGTTCACCGAGGAGGAAGCCGGTCATATCGGGTGGAACTTCGTCAGCAAGTACTATGAGAGCTACAACACCAACATCGACGTGTTGTACTCGATGTACGCCCCCCAGTCGCTGTTGTCGCACGCGAGGTTCCCTCACGGCGACTCCACCACCCCCCAAGTGGTGAAGGCGAAGGGGCGGCTGGCGATCAAAGCCCGTTATGCCGAAGACGACTGTGCTGACCAGGCCAACCGCATCGTGATCACTCTGGCGGCGATCGACGCCTGCTTAGGGGCGAACATCCTCGTGGTGGTTTACGGTGAATGGGCCAAAGCCGACTCCCAGTTCTACCAGTTCACCCAGACGTTTGTTTTGACCAGCCGGGGCACCACCTACTTCATTGCCAACGACGTGTTGCGGTTTTTGACCTGGGACTTGAAGGATGCCTCCAGTGCTCCTGAAGCCCAGTTGGCGGGCAAACAGACCGATGACGTCAAAGTGGGCGATGCCGAGACTGCCGCGGTCACCGAGCCAGTGACCAAAGATGCTACTCCTCAACCAACCGCTGAAACCACGCCTGCAGCCACCACCCCGGCTCCCGAACCTCAACAACCTCAACAACAACAGCCACAACAACAACAATCGCCGGCGGCAGGGGCTGCAACCACTGCTGAAACGGTCACCTCTCCCGAACAGCCTACCCCTCTGACCACTACTGACGAGTCGGAAGCTGTGGTGGCGGAAAAGGCCGCTTCGCAAGAACCAGTGGAACAACAACTGCTGACTACTACCGAACAACAAGCGGAAAAGCAAGAAAAGGAAGAAGACAAGGACGAGGCTAAACCGGTGGAAGAAGCCAAGCCCGAAGCGAAACTGTCGGTGACGTCGCTGGCGGCAGCATCGCCGTCGCCGTCGCTGGCGCCTACCCCTTCGTCGTGGGCGGGTATCGTGTCGAGCCTGACCCCCAAGCCCGCGGCCAAGCCGGTGGCTGCTACCACTAAGAAGCCCGTGGCTCCTCAATCTAAGCCTTCCAGCGTGTCGCCGCAATCTCCCAATGGTGGCTTCCAACCCCACCACGGCGACAAGCAATGGAACCTGGTTTTCCTCAAAGTGCAAGGGGCGCTGCGGTTTGACCCTGAGGCGATCAAGGCCAGTGTCGAACAGGAATACGGTGCCATCAAGTTCTGGAAGCACAGCAACGTCGGCTGGGTGTGTGACTTTGTCGCCCCTGAGCTGAAGACTCGCGCTTTGGCCGACAAGCAAATGGACGTCAACGGGGTCACGGTGTTGATTGAACAGAAGTTTTTCAAGAAGCCGATCAACAAGGACGGGAAGTTTGTTGACAAGCGCAAGAACTTCACCAAGAATGGTCCGGCCAAGTTTAATAAGGAAGGGGGTTACGACAAGCGCAAGGTGCATTAATGACGGAGCGGGGTCTTTACTATATATCTAGCATTACGAGTATACATACACTCTGAAAAGGGTCGTTTAGCAATTTTCTGTAGTTTCATCAATTTAGAACTGAGGTCGTCACTGACGTAAACAACACGCTTCTTCTCCAGATATTCATCAATTCTTAAAAATAAGTTTGTGTTAGAAATCAATATACGCTTGTGTAATCGTTTTGAGTTTATTAAATTCTTATTATGATGGGAAAGTTTCAAAAGTCGTATAGTCTTGGATACCCAATTTCTGATTATTTTTAGCTTGATTTGCACTGCCCCATTCCTTACCAAGCCAAGGGTGCGCACCGAAAAAGAACACACGGCAAAGGCAGGCTCATGAACTTCTTACGGCGGCGGCGGCTGGACGACGATGCCGGGGACGAGGGCGACCAGTTTGAGGTGTCGGCGACGGAGAAGCTGCGCAAGCCCCCCAACACCGCGTTCCGACAGCAGCGGCTCAAGGCGTGGCAGCCGATCCTCACCCCGAAGACGGTGATCCCGTTCTTGTTTCTATTGGCGGTGATCTTCGCCCCACTCGGCATTGCCATGCTTTATACTTCATACAATGTCCATGATATTGTCGTCGATTACAGTTATTGCGATGCTGAGGCCTCCGACACGTACCAGGAGATCCCGAAGAAATACGCGTCGTCCCACCTCAGTCTGGGCGATAAACCCAAGGTGGAATGGAAAGTGGAGACCGTGGACGGCGAATGGGGGTCCCACCCGGTGTGCACCATCAAGTACGAGATCACTAAGGACCTTAAAGGCCCGTTGTTTCTCTACTACAAGCTCACCAATTTCTACCAGAACCACCGTAAGTATGTGGAACTGTTTGACATTGACCAGTTGAAGGGTAAGCCCGTGAGCCACGACGATATCACCGATAAGTGCAAGCCGCTCCGGTTCCATAAGGACTTTGGCGGCGACACCGATAAGGTCATCTACCCCTGCGGGCTTATTGCCAACCTGGTGTTTAACGATACTATCGGCAACCCTGTTTTACTTAATCCTGCTAACGGAGAGGTGAACCAAACCTACGAATTCAGCCAGGAAGACATCTCGTGGCTGTCTGACCGCAATAACCGGTTTAAGAAGACCGAGTATAAGCCTGAGGATGTGGTGCCGCCCCCGAACTGGGCCGTGCGCTATCCTGACGGTTATACCGAAGATAACATGCCCAATTTACAGGAAATGCAACACTTGCAGAACTGGATGAGAACGTCAGGTCTCCCATCGTTCTATAAGCTTTACGGCAAAAACCACGACGATGTCATGAGCCTGGGGGTCTACGAGATGAAGATCGACATGTACTACCCCGTGTCAGTGTACGGTGGCCACAAGCTGGTGGTGATCACTACTAGCAGCACCATTGGCGGGCGCAACTTGCTGTTGGGGGTGATCTATATTATCGTGGCGGTGATCTGCGTGGTGTTGGCGGTGGTGTTCTTGTTACAGCATTTGATCAAGCCGCGGGCGATCGGTGACCACGAGTTCTTGCTGAACGACCACCAGTTCCGCAGTCAGCTTTAGTGAACCATGTGAAGGATGTATAGAGTCACGGTGAATTCGGCGTATGGATTGATATTCTCACTAACAATAAACGAAAAGGTAAAGTTAATTTTAAGAAGGAAAAGCAGATTTATTTTAAGGGTAGTTTATACCACTGCATTGTAAACTTGTTGGTTTATTGACGTTTAGGTTATTAGTAGTGAGCATCGACGCGCAAGAACATGACTACCATCCCATAATTGTAATAAAAACATTTCATAGACTTCACTAAAATTACGATTCGATGAGATCTACACGCTCTAATTTCCCCAATTGGCAGCGTTACATCACTTTCTGGCCACCCTTAGTTTCACCCGTCGCCAATACTACCACCTCGCACGAAAATCTTTGTCCACCCTGAGAGAGCCTCACGCCTGATGAACGTGAACCCCCACTTACAGTACCTTCATCAGAACGCGGGCACCAGTCCCCAGGTGCTGCAATTACAGCTTCAGCAGCAACAGCAACAGCAACAGCAACAGCAGGCCCAGCTCCGGCAGCAGCAGCTATTGTCCCAGCAGATGGCGGCGGCGCAACCAAACCCTAACCAGCTGAACCCGGTGCTTCTGTTACAGCTCCAGCAGCAACTAGCTCAGGCACAGGCTCAACAACTTGGCCAAGTGCCTCAGCCGGCGCTGAGCCAGCCGTTGGTGGTGCCGATCATCAAGGAGGTGTGGAGCCACAACGTCGAACAAGAATTCCACAATTTGCGCAGTTTCATCAGCGACAAGCTGTACGACGTGTTTATCACCACTCACCAAGAGATCCCGGGTATTGTTGCTCGTCCCGTGGGGCAGTTCAAGCTGAGTCTGGACTACCACTTCCAGACGTTGAGACTGAACAGTGACTTGCTTAATTTGATCCAGCTCTCGTTATGTATCACGAGAATTAAGTTATCCGACACCGAGAAGACCGATGAACCCGAAGTGCTGGCGCTGGTGATCTGGCAGTTCAACTTTCTCTACGACCTTTCTAAGGAGATGTACAACGAAGAGCACTTGCTGATGCTTTCCCAGCTGGCCCAGATCAACTTCGGCGCCCACATGACCCAGGGGATCCCCCACTTCACCTTCAGCGAGCTCATGATCGAGCTGGGGTTGTTGTTGGACACCCTGATCAACTGGATCCTGTACCACGCCGGCTACGACCTCGGCTTCTTCATCAGCTTGCTTATAAACGACGACTTGCCCGTTGACGAAACTGAGTTCTTCTGGTGGTGTCAGAAATACTTCCCCAACTTCTACGACCTTAAATTTATTGGCGGCCAGTTGCTCGCCCCTACAAAGAACGGCAGCGCCGAGGAGCTGAAAACCAAGCCTCTGATCGAGTACTTGGCCGAAGAACTCCACTTGTTGCCGATCCCTCCCGCTATTCGCCAGCACTTCAGCGCCCAGTTCCCGCTGCCCCAGCAGCTGATGACGCTGACGTTAAACGCCTATCTTTCGATGGAATGCTTCAAAGAGCTCGTGAAACAGCTGGGGATCTCGATGTCGGTGTTGAGCCAGTACAAGGGCCACATCTGGGGTTTAGGGCTGGTGACCGGGGAAGCGGCGGAGGTGCCGCTCGCCAACGGCACCCCGTCGACCCCGGCCCTGGCCAAAGCCGGCCTCGTCCACTTTGGTCGGCCCTTGTAATGACTAGTGATAGAAACACTCGACTAATGACCAATATATACTACAAACTTAACCCCATTAATCGTTATGCATTCTATGAAATTAACCCTTAATCGAACCCAGTAAAATCCTCGTCGGCGTTGGCGTAGGCCTCCGTTTCCTCGGCCTCCTCCATCCGCAACTTCTTCGCCTTCTTCTCCTCCCGCTCCTCGCGCTTGCGCTTGTAGCCGGCCTTCTTGTCCTCGCCGGTCTTGTCGGAGTCGTCTTGAGGAGGAGGCACAAACCACGGGATCTTCCCCCGGTTGAAGTCGGTGATGATCTGCTTGGCCACCCCGTGTTCATCAGGCTCACCACCTTTAATCAAACGCCCTTGTTTACGGGCAATGATCTCGATGAACTCAGCGGCGGCGCGTTCCATCAACAGCTCATCCTCTTCCCAGTTGGCCCAGCCTTTCACTTCGTAGGTACGCTCCAAGTGCTTACGCTGGCACTTGCGCAAAAGATCGGGGATGTACTGTTCGGGACACTCGACGTGCTCCACTCTCACCACACCCCGGAAAAGAATATCGGACTCGGTATCCTTCAGCGAGGGCGGGACGATACCGGGACAGTCGATCAAGAAAATCTTCTTCATGAGGGTGATGTATTGCCACACCTTAGTCTCACCAGGGATGGGGGCCACAGTGCACACCTTTTTCCGTCTGAGGGTATTGATGATCGACGATTTACCGGTGTTAGGGTAGCCGATAAACCCGACCGAGATCTGTTTGCGGTCGGAGTGTAAGGTGCTGAATTGCCGGAGCAACTGGATGAGCGACCCCTTCCCGAAGGAGTTGGTGATGGAGGCGTGGAACGCCAACGTCGGATACAGCTTGGATAAGTGTTTCACCCACGCCGCCTATGATTGTTAGTAAATCCAGTTTACAATGTCAACTCTACCAATCACATCAAAAACGCTTCCAGAAATAATAAAAAGAGAGGGTGTCAGCGGCTATACTACGAACAAGGCCATGGGAAGGTCACCACGAGGGATGGGCCAGGTTCAACTCAAAATAGCGCTGAGCAAAGTCTGGGTGCGGCGCCAAAACGGAACCGCGGGGAGAAGGGTCCACAGAGAACCTGGGTCTTCAGGGCGACAGTGCGTCGATCTTCCAACGACGTAACAGACAGCAAAGTAGAGAATTGAAGGTGCCCCTAGAGGCTCCAACATTTTGCCACCCTGACAAAGGTCATTGGGAATTGAGAAGAGAAAAACATGGAAAAAGCGTTCCTGATGTGTTAGTAGAAAGATTCGGGATTTTGGTACTTACCGCTACCCAGGTGGGTACAAGGTCACACTTGTTCAACACGTAGATCAAGTGTTTGTGGGGACATTCTTCGCGGATATATTTTTCTACCAGCAAGCACTGGGTGCCCAAGGGGTCACGGGCGTCAATGACGTGGATGACGACGTCGGACGAGTCGATGACTTTGTATAATTCGTTCCAGATCCGCTTTGATTGCCCTTTGTAGAAAATGGCTTCCTTAGCTTCTTGAGTGAAATCGTCCTTATCCAAGATCAGATTACCCATGAGACCCAATGTCAGGTCCAATTCGATCTTTTCTTGGTAGGCGGTGGAGTCAGCTTCAGTGAGTTGAGCCAACTCTTCCAACGAGGACGCCTTGGCCACCCGCGGCTTTTTCCGCTGTTGCTTAGGCCCGAACGTCAGGGCAAACAGCTCCGTCTCCACGATCTTAGCCGTGGGCAGCTCGGTGCTGTCCTTTTCATCCAAAAGCGACATCGGCAACTTATTTCGCCGGAGAAGCACCGAGTAAGTGTCGTGCTTCTTGTCACCCATAGCCTCACGGAAATGGGTCAAGGCGTCTTGAGCAATCACTCTGGTGTTGCCAAACCATTTACGGTTAGGGTCAACCCGAGCAGTGGGGGCATCGGTGCTCTGTAAAGCGGCAGCCTTGATGATATTACCCTTGGCATCGCGGATGGCCCGCCCTTGTTTGTACATGTTCAAGTGTTTCACCTTTTTGGCATCGCGGTAGAAGTTCTCCCCCTTGACACGAAGGTTCCCGTCCCGCGTGTCGCCCTCACGGACTCGCCGCTGTTTCTCCTTCTTTTGCGTACCCATGTGGTGGTGATGAGATGAGCTAGGGAAATTCTCTTTTCGATGCCCGGCGAGGCTGGCGCGAAGGGTTGGGGTGACTGTATGCAGGATAGGTTCGCACTGCCAACTGAGCTAGTGTCTAGGGTTTCATTTAGTATGGGAGAACGTGGATGTGAAAGCCTGGCAGGAAAAAAGAATTTGGGTGAGTGGAACGAGAGGGAAAAAAGGGGGCTTAGAAAAAGAAGAAGACAGCTGGTAGGCGACTGCGACTATCTGCAGTACCAAACGTTACCCCACACAAAATCAAAGCCCCACCTGTGCGAGGGCGTGTATCATGCTCAAGGCTATGTCCTTAAACGGCAATGCCCTCCCACGCCCAAATAAACCGATGGGGCAAAAAGTGGGGCCACCGGGGCGTGTGCCCACCACTGAGCCCCGACGAAGCAGGCTTAGGCTAGTCAGGGTCCGACCCACGTTAGCGGGGCCCGGGGCCGCCAACCGCCGCTGCGGGCGACACCGGTGACGGGACGGTGAATCTGCACCAGTGACACTTTCTGTGTTGACATTACTAAAGAAGGATTAGCCGAGGGCTTGGCAGGCCCCAAAGACAATAATAATAGGGACATAACCTAAAACTCCACGGTCACAAGCCACCCTCCCAATGGCCTGTGTTCGAGCGCGTGACGGTCGGCACGACGTATTATTGTCGCCTGCGGGCTTTCTCGCTGGCGATCGCGCCATCGGAGCTAACGCGGCGGGTGCCTGACACGAGCCAGACGGGCGGCAACCCGGCTCCCCCACACTGGATCCCAAAACTACGCTCAGCCTCTTCTCCGACAAATTGGCACGATGACTTCGGCAGAGTTTGCCAGTGTCGTGCGCCAGTTGCTGCTGGAGCAGGAGCACTTTCTCAAGCGGCACCTCCTCGAGCACCGCCTCCGCCACGAGGTGCACGACGCCAACGGCGACGGGTGGGATTTGTTGTTGTCGCCGGCGTTCCCGTCGTCATCGGAGGTGGCTACGCCAGCACTCCACTTCTTGTTTCATCGCTATGTCGACACGTTCCCGTTTGTTGCCCTCAACAGCGATAAAGAGAAGCGGGAGATGTGGCAGGCAGTGCACCGGTTCATTTCTACGATTCTCAGCTGGCGACGTCAGCGGGCGAATAAACTGCTGCCTGGAGTTTACGATAAAACCAATTATACCAACGATACCGTGGTGCTGGCGCTTGTGTTATGGCTTAATACCTTGGTGTCCACTGAGAAAGACTTACTGTATTTGGAGCACAATGCCCTCAAAGTACAGCGGCTGACCAAAACTCCTACCATCCAGTTGTTTACACGCCACGCCACCGTCGACGAGCTATTGGACTACCCCCGTTTGGACTATATTAACGACTACCATATTGATGTGGTGAGTGTGCGACGAACGCCTCAACAAACGAAACTGCTTTTTGGCTTGAGGCTGGGGAAAACCAAATATAACCATAGCTACGTGCTCAAAGTGGTTCACCGTACTCCCATCATCCTGGGAGCGGCACTGGGCAAACTGGGCCAGCTGAGCCAGCCCCACCAACAGCACTACCGCTACCACCACCACTTCATCGCTCGCAGCTACCGTGATTTCCGCATTATCTTATACCAATTAGCCCTGGAACTTCCGGGCATCGTGCTGCTTGATCGCTTTCCCCTAGGGGACTATAGTCAGGCCGACGACGGGTGTACGGATTACATCCCCAACGGCAGTGTACTGGAAGGGGAACTGATCAATGGAGACAGTGACGAGGGCAACGTCAAGCTTTACAGAGAGAAGACTCGGCGTGCTCTTCGCCACTGGCTTAAGGCGTTGATCCAGCACCCTGAAGTGTTACTGCTGCCGCAATTCCAGGTATTCATTGGCGAGAAGGCTAAGGTCTTCAACAAACTACAACCGGAAGATATTCTCGACTTGACCAACCGCATTGCCCACGATAACCACGTCATCGACACCCAGGTGGTATTCCAACGCCACTACCTTGAAGGGGTCAACTACTTACAACTGGCGTTCGGTCCGTGGAAGGAGAAGTTCGCTCAACGGCCAAACCGGCTCGTGGATCTCGTACTGCAAATCACGCTGGTTTCTGACATCCACAACACTAAGGACGCCATGATGATTGCCATCTACAAGTGGAGTAAAGCAGCAATGGCACTGGGGATCTACGACACGTTCATGGCCCACGATGCTAGTGAGGAGTGGCTACGACGGTGTCGTAAAGCGGTGTCTCAAGTGCCTTATAACTTGATGTATAACGTGTTGAAGTTCACCAACCCGGCCAAATTGATCAGCCGCATGCTCGACATATTATTCTTGCCGCTCCCGCTGTTATCAACGATCCCCGGGATTAACCGGGTGACGGGAACCATCAAGAAAAAGAGCTCTACGGACGAGAACCACCAGAATAAGAACCTCCTCATGCTTGTTGGTGGTACGCTCTTGGGACACGAGCTTCAAGAGACGGGACGTAACCTCGACAAGTTGAAGAAGCAGGGTTTGCCCGATGATTACGACATCTTCTTGACGCGTCTAGAAAACTATTTCACGCTTCCAGTGGAGGTGACGACCAAAATCAAACAAGAAGCAGTTGAGAAAGACCGCCACATCTTGTTGACGGTGTTGGGCACTGATATCATCGAGCCACGCATCAAATCGGAGTATGACCAGTACCGATTAGGCGAGTTAAAGGAGCAGATGGAAGCCTATGAGACTGGTGCCAGCACCGACCCTGACGACTACGGATTATGGCTCATCTTCCGCCAGTACTGGGACACTTTCAGTCGTCGCCAGGACAACGAGTTCATCCAGACGGTGTTGCGCAACCCTGTATACACCAAGGCGATCCAGCGGCTTGCACTGGTGTACTACAAGCCGTTCCTCCTGCTTATGGGCAAGCTGAGCTTGCACATTGGTTACCGCGACTTGTGGAGCTTTATCGACGAGATGTTCACCGCATTAACCAAGATGAACGACGGGGAAAAGTACTACATGGACCTGGACCTGATTTATAACCGCATCGACGCCATCTTGGAGAAATACACCCCGTGTGCGTTCGACTTGATGGCCCGTGCTCGAGCCCACGACGACGATAAGTTGATCCTCAACATGGCAAAATGGATGGCGGATATCGCCGACGATGCTCGCATCAAGTTTCAGAGCCTCGACCGAGTGCTGCTCAATTTGACGGCCATTGATGTCGAGGTGGACGAGGACTTGTTTGTGAAACAACTCAACGCGAAGATCGCCATCAATCTGGATCGCCGATACGCTTTCCGACAATACCGCAAAAGGAAGCTGATGGTGCAACAGATGCACGAGGACCAGGTGCTGCTCAACTGGGAGCGCGTATACAAGAACTTGTTTGGTCCTCAGGAGGTGTTGTCTCAGTTTGGCCTCGACCACGAAGACATAGAGGACATGCTGAACCTAGCATTTGAGCAGGGGCTCCTTCAGCTGGAGAAGGAGCTCGACGAGATCGACAGAGAGTTGTTGCGCCAGCTCACGGCGATCGCCCAGGATAACGACGTCGGGCTGCTGGAGCTCGACAAGATGGATCTGCTGGTGAAGCGCCAGCTCACGGATATTTTTAGACGGACGCTAGCAAAGCCCCAATAGACATTTTCGCTCTACAGAAAAATGCCACCACGACATTTTTTGGTGGAGACATCATCCCATTTCATGTAGCCCCACCCAAGATTAGCGCTCCACTGAACCCAGGAGCCCTAATCACCCATTACGAAAGGTGGTATCATCGGACGAGCCCTCGTGACGTGTGGTTAGCTTTTAGTAATGGCGTGTCGCTGGCCAGACCACGAGATCGTCAAAATACGGCCCAGGCGGGGAGCAACCGCTGGCGGGCTCTGCGGCACTGGTGTACGGGGCGAGCATGCAAAGTCGGCCGTACGCTCGGAAGTGGCACTTTCGAAGGTACGGAAGTCGCTACCAAACCGAGATAAAATTTTATGACAGGGTCCCCCAGCGCCAATAATTATTATCTCAATGCAGGAGCTGAACCTAAACACCTCCAGTGACTGTCTGAACACCAGAGGCCGACGACCACAGATCTCCGGCGCTCGTGGACAGCCTAGGACGATTATCATGAATCGCAAGCGTAGGCGAACCGTTTCGTTAAAGCGTTGCCAATTAAGCTTTACGCCACGCGACTAGCCGAGGTCGCTTGGGTGCCTTACCCTAACGAGGTCACAGGGTGCGTTGCCAAGGTATGTCCCCAAATGTATTGCTACGACATTAGTCGGTGTACACCTGGGCTCGGCACAGATAAGTCCGGGCGATGCTTTTCCTCCTACCCCTCGACGCTACGAAGGCGCCCATTTGCCCTCGGCACGTTTCGGATGGCTTGGTTGCCCTTCCAGCTGGTATCTTTGCTGTAGACGCTGGGCGGTGACGATGGTGCGTTGCAAGGCGTGATACGGAGCTTTGGCCCGCGTCTCCGATCAGTGCTGCTGGCGCCGGAAAGCCCACAAAAGCTGGCACCACGCCCTGGGGGGCGCCGTCGCCATTGTTGTAACTGTCAACAAAATCGGGCCGGGAGCGAAGATATGCTGTTACTGTAGGAGAGGCACAGGGCTAAACCACGCAGGACAATAATAACACAGAGGGGCAGTTTTCGACGTGGGCAGCTTTAGTAATGGGCAGGGCGAGCACCATGAAACAATACGAGTGGGACGTTAATCGTGGCAACGTGATTGGTGGCGCCTATAGAGGAAGTTGTGAGACTTGCCGCTTAGTCACCGCTTAGTCATCGGCGCTCGCTAGCGGCCGCGAAAGACGCCCAAAGCGCAACGGGAGCGCCCCGAATGGCTCATCTCCTATGGCGGCGGACGCTGGCAACACTCGCCACGCAGTTCCGCCAGGCGATGGCGGGGGTCGCGGCGCCGGCGATGATCCTCACCCTGGCGCTGCAGCCAGATAGCACCCTCCACGGGATGACGGTGGGCAGCTTCACCCTGGTGCTGGTGATGCCGACGCCCAAAGTGAGCTTCAATTTGCACTTGCCGCTGTACACGCTGGACGAGCTCAGGGCCAACGGGTACTGTGCCGTGCACGTGCTTCCGCCCACGGAGCGCCTGGCGCAATTGGCCCGCCAGTTCGCCAAAGGCGTCAAGGGAACACGCCTGCTGGCGAAGCTCGCGGTGACGCCCGAGGAGAAGCGCGACGGCGAGCCGTTCCACGAGCGCACCACGCCCTTTGCGCTGTTGAAGCAGGGCGAGGACTGGGACTTTGTCACCGTCGACGGGTCGTTGCGGATCCCCATCCTCACCAACTGCGAGCGGGTGTTCATCTGCAAGGCGCTCGACCGGATGGTGGTGGACTCCCACGAGCTCTGGGTGGCCGAGGTGGTGCGTATCATCGGCAACCTGAAGCACCTGCCGCTGGGCGGCCTTCTCTACCACCGGCGCAACTTCCACCGGGTGGGGATGCCGCTCTTGCGCTAGCTGTACATAGAAAATCACGGGAAGAAAAGGATAGAGGGAACACAGAATAAACAAAAGGATAGAGAAATGAGTGTTTTGTTTTTGTCATCGAGCTCATTATGTATGTGTCTGTTGTAACACGCGGTTGCACTCCTGATGCAACACCTCGGTGGCGTCGCGGACCCGGGGCAAGATCACGTCGTAGTTGTCGTGGACGCGCTTGATCTTGCGCTGGATGCGGGTGCTGGCGTCGCGCTTGGCCTTGGTCACCTCGGCCTGGGCCAGTTTCACGTCGTCGCTGCGGGCGGCGGCTTTGGCGTCGAGCTTGGCGAGCTTATGCTTCAAATGGTCGAGCTCGCCCCGCAACTTGGCGAGGTCGGCGCGGTGCTGGGCGAGGCGGTCGTCGTGGTCCTGGTGCTGCTGCTCGAGGGCGGCGATCTCGCGCTCGATGGCGGCGGCCTCCTCGTCGGTGGTGCGGGCGGTGGCGCGTTGCTGCTGGGTGATGGTCTCGTGCTCTTGCCGGAGCCGCTCGATGTCGGCCTCCAACTCCAGGATCAGGTACTTAAGCCCCTGGATCTTGCTGTAGGTCCTCAGCTCGCCGGCGCTGCCCTGCACTTTGCCGAGCTTGTTGCGCAAGACCTCGATGTGGTGCCGGAGGTCGGCAAGCTTCTTGTTCTCGTCGCGCTTCACCTTTTTCAATTGCGCCTTGTACTGGTGCACGGTTGCTTGAGTCTGGAGCACCAGGAACTGGAGGGTGGCCACGGTATCGCTCTCGCTGGACACGGGGGCCTTAGCCCCGTCAGTTGAGGTAGTGGTAACCACCACCAGGGCAAAGGTTTCGGCAGTGGCCAAGTCGATCTGGTACTGGAAGTTGGCCAGGAGCCCCAGCACCACCACGTACTCGTTGTCTTCGACCAGCCAGTAGTGCCAGTTGATGCCGTTGACGTAGACGGAGGCGATGGACACGGGGGGATTCATGCAAAATACGACCTCAGTCTCTCTCACCAGCACCACCAGCACGATGCGGTTGTCAAACTCGGGCTTGGTGGCGAGGTTGACCGAGGGGGTGCCGTCGGCGGCGAAGATGCTGGGGCGGATGTACCACGCCTTGATGGCGGTGATGACAAGCCAGATGGGCTGGATGATGTTCTGCGGGAGACGGAAGGGGCTGAGGACGAGGGTATCGAAGTTGTGGAACGGGATCAGCCGCAGGGGCAGCCCGCGGGCGTCGCCGTCGTCGAAGGCGGCGTCGACGTCGATGTCGAGCCACCGGGTGGCGTCGCAGTTGATATGTAGATTGTGGGTCAGCAGCGGCAGCGGCGCCGGCGGCTCGAGGCCGGCCAGGGGCCCGTTGAACGAGAAGATGTCGGCGGTGATGGTGGCGATCAGCAACACCGCCAAAAACGGCGACACCGGCACCCTGAGGGCGAGCAGGCTGCGGATGTTCATCCAGTTGAGGAAGAACGAGGTGTAGATGATGAAGATGAAGCAGCCGACGGCGTTGGCGACGTGGGCATGGTGGTTGTTGGCGTGCTGGAGCGGCAGCTTCTCGCCGATCAAGTGGTTGGCGATGATCAGGTTGGCGAGGATGTAGAGGTAGTGGAACCACGCCTTGGGGATGAAGGCGACGAGCGCCTGGTACACGCACACGTTGAACGCCGCCGTCTTGACAAACTGCACTAGCACCATCTTGTAGTCGAACCGGTAGTACACGGCGACGTTGCGGAGGACGAGGACGTAGACGACCATGGCGAGCCCGTTGACGGCGGGGGGCACCGAGAGCAACACAAACACCACCAGGAGAATGTCCCGGAGCGAGCTGGGCACCACGTCCATGGCGGCGATATCGTGGGTAGTGTCGATCGTACGGGGAGGGTTTTCGCGCGCGCAGAGATCGAGATGGGCGTTGACGTCGCCAGGCGGTGCCCCAGTGGCGGAGCGCTTTGAGTGGTGTGACGCATGTTGATGGTGTGACGCTATTAATAGGGATCAAGGGCTATGGTGGTGGTTTGGTAGGAGTTTGTGAGCCTGGTTGACTAGCAGATTACGATGACTGAGAGATGACAGTACTGGTGTCGCGATGCCAACCGATGCCGTCGTGTTCGACCCACTACGTGTTTACGGTCGAAAGATCACCCGTTCAAGTCAAGTTGTAGGTTTTCATTACTCGCCATTGTAGGCCGAATCACAATCGGGTATCCGATAATGTCGCGGGTCGTTGAGACATTAGCTTAGCACCACCTGCGCGATCGTTTGCTCCTGATGAGCGAGGAACAAACATTTACAAATGCGGATAGACAATGACAACAAGCTCAATAAATGGCTTGGCCGTCATATGAGTAGTGATTTACCATATTGTTGTCTGAGGAAATTCCGCCATAGAGAGTTGGTATGCGATGAAGTCATCACTTCTATGGTCGCTGAGTCGCTGGAAACACTGAGGCTCGTTCGTAGGTGGCACTCAAAGTAGCATTAACGTCAACGTGGCAAGTAGGTCTCGCTTTGTAGTTAGTAGACGAGTTCTCTCGGTCCTAGTGTCTGGACGCATTGTCATACGGCCGTCTCAGTTGCCCATAGCACGCGTATTTTGACCGCGTCGGTGCGGTTGTGGCGGATCCCGTGGTTTAGGCATACTTGCAACCACCATGTAAGCAATTTGCCCTACACACATGTATCCCCGACTAAACAGTACACCAGGATCTTGAACAGCCGAGGTGCATCGGTAACAATAATACTCGTCAATAGGGATTTTTAAGTCAAATAAGGAGATCCTTCAGCTCATCTTCCATCTTTTTGGGCTTCACACTCTTTTTTGTATTTAGGCGGTTGTCGGATTTAGATTCATTTTCATTTACACATTCATCATGTGCTCGCAGACGCAGTTATGGTGAAATTCATTCTGCAAAACGACATCAGCCCCAGAAAAAAAGGTGATGTGTTTCCAACTGTATTCAAGCCATTTTTTGGCTATATGATATTGGTCGAGTTTAGCTGTTCCCGCCACCAGTTTAAAGATTTGATAGACCGTATGTTTTGTTAAATCATAGCACAAATGTTGGTTAGTGACAATTCAAAAGTAAAATTCAATTGAAAATCGAATCAGATGATTTGCTCATTTGATTCAATTTATCTCGACTCGATTTGATGACCAAATTTGTCTCAATGCAAATTACTTTATTGACACAATACACAGAATGCCATGAATATTTCATCTCAAACCCCAACGGAGGTAGCAAATTTTAAGCGAAAGGTACCCCACACTGGCGATGTCGTCGTTCCATCATTTCTATTATTTGAATGAAGCCATGCAATTATTATGATTATTTCTGTACTCATCTTACTGGATCTTGTGTGGGAAAGCGAACAGAATTTGGGTCAAACAAAGCGTTATTCACCACAAATGCCTCCCGGATCATTCGTTCTGTCACCAATCTGTCGACGGTTTCCACGTTTCTGTGACGACTTTGAAGCCGGCTTAATTTGGCAGCCGTTCGAATAAGCCCACTTGTAGGCAGCACAAGGTGGAACTAGCACCAATAAGCTGTTCATCAACAGATTGTGGCGTTCAGTTCAAGTCCCACAATATTCAAACGTCTTTTGTGCTTCCGGTGATAATGTTATTTGCCAACATGAGATCAGTGGAGGTGTTCAAACGTCGCTGGATGCGACACCCAAAAGTCAAACAGGTAGTTAGCGTTACTGGTAGAGCTGACTCGACGCGTTGTTGTCAAAGCAATCAAGGGTCAGGCATATGTTCGTATTACTAGTCGATAGTAACGAAAGGTATCCTGAAAGGGCGTCGACTAACCTAGATACCACAAAACTGCTTCATCCTTACACTAAACTGGGGTTATACGGAACAATCGAAATTATTTTTATGTGACCATCTCAGCCAGAGTTTGAGTAATGATACAATATTAAACGGGGAAAGCATCGGTGCAAACCCTATATGAAAATCAAAGTTTGTGGTGAGGAACACTGCATGGTTTTTCTTACAAACGTCGAGAACTGTCTAACTTGGCAGTCAGTAAAACAATAAAGCATGCTTGAAGCACGTCGACCCCATGACTAATGATTACTGTTGGATAGTACAAAAAACAGGTCCATTCACCTGACCGGTACAAAGTCGAGTTGATACTGAATCCACATTTTTTTTTTCTGCCCGGTCGAAATGACCGAGGCGGCTTTCAGCCGTAGTTAATCACCGCGCGTTGTGCTTGATCGCTAAGTTGTACATCAAAATCATGTCATCTTCGGAAACAATAGCGACAACTGCACCTTGTGTTAGAGATTGCTGAGCCTTGGGGGTACACGACCGGAAATGGGCAAAGTGCTGATCAAGCATTATCAGTCGAGATCTTGTGGTGACCCGAGGTGTCAATGTCAAAGTTGCTCTAGGAAATATACGAGTTTGAAGTTTATGCTATTGCCATTTTCGTGAGGGCACAATGCTCGGCAATAGCTACAGCTGTCACGGCTGCTTTTCCGGAAAGGATGGCGTAAAATAGCCAATTAACGATGGTGCTGCTGGGTGTGTATGGACATCTGCGATGTTGCGTGTGGCGCTGACATACATATTTTTTATGCGTCCAAGAAATTGCGCAAGTCGAGTCCCCTATGTGTACCTTCCGCGTCGGTGATATTTCCCCAAACGTAGCCGAGAGTCCAGAAGTTTGTTACTTGCGTGCATATTTTTTCAAAAAAAGTAAGCGACATCCGGGATTAACTGAACAATGTACATCCGGTACTTGAGGTTATTCACGGAGTTAAAGAAGGAGACGGATTTATTGGCCGGAAAAACCTGAAAGCAGAAGATGACATAAATAATGATGATCTTGAAATTTTCAGTGATAGCAATACTATTGATTCATAACATCACAGGCGCCTATCACCTGAAATATTCACCCCCCTTCTCTTCCCTGGCTATTATGCTTCGGTTGCTTTGGGGAGAATTTAGAAAATACATAACCAAAACCACAATAAACTTTATCAATTCGAATCAGCGAACATTTCTGAATTATCAGGGGTTCGTGGTGACTCAAAAGCTTCGATGTATCACCACGATTTTGTCGTGTCTTATGCAACCCAGTTTTTAGCGATTTTTATATGGCTGATCCAGAAGCAGCCTCTGATTGTGAATTTCGAATCTAACACTAGATCACAAGGTTACTTTGAAAATGCGCAATTGTATGAACTTTTTGCTTTTATGCTGTAAACTTTGATCGTGCCAGCAAGCACTTGTTTTTTCTAGGCATACAAAACGATCGAAGGATCGGTTGTTGTGCTCCGTATATATTAAACGCTCGACAGCAAGATCTCCCACAGGGAGTCCATGGGCATCGCCGGACTAAACTCTAGACTTTCGGGAGCAGGCAGTAAGGTACAGCATAACCGAGGGGACTTAAAGTCAGGGGCTGGTGTCTAAAGGCTATCTGTAGGTGGTGGAGTGAACGCTGAGATATTTGTTGAAAAAACCGAAAGGGGTGGCGATGGCCACAACCACCAGAAACCTGTTGAGCGTACTTTTCCAACGTTGCTTCTAGCTGAACCGATTTTTGCAACGCAAAAATGAGTGCATGAGGCTTATCTGTTTTCGGAGATATATACAAATCGAGATAAAGCGTCACAAGCATGTCGAGGTGGCAGCACCCGCTGGCGTCAAAGGTAGACGCCAGGTGTTTGACGCTCGACGTAAAGCACAGGTGGGGCTAATGTGCCACAAGTGCTTGTACATCGTCGAAAACGGAGTACAAAATCTCACACTTTGACGGCTACAAATTAGTAATATAGGTTGTTTCCCCAGTGGTGACCAATCACGACTCGCCGGTTCTGGGGGCACATAATAGCCCCCGGGGCCCGCGTGCCTCTTGCCCGCTGCAACTGTAGGGCTACCCCCGGTTTCTGCCTGAGTTTCGGAGGGTAGTGCGCAAAGAAACGTCTCAAACCGGTCGTTGTTGCATTCCGTTTAGGCACCGCGACACATAGTCTAGACCTGGGGGCGCGAGAGCCCTCGGCACTAATAATAGCACGCCCCAGCGATCGGCTCGAAAAAAACCACGCCAGGCCCCGGAATCGACGCCGCGGTGGTTGTCGTCGCCGCCAAACCGAGGTGGGTTAAGTCGGAAACCAGCGTGGATATGGCAACCCCAACCTAAGTGGTACGACGGTGACAGGTCACAATATCGCGGACAACGTAAACCCCGATGACCAAGGTGATCGCTGGGCAAGGCTGGCGGGCTGTAGGATGACCAAAAAGCTGTAGCTGCGTAAATTTGATAAATTTTACTAACCGGCGGTTGACAGGGGCTGATTACATCGGGGCTAGGAGGGGATTACCTAGAGACCTTGTTTCTCCCCCCAGCGGACGCACTCGCCCCGGGCTACGTAATCGCACCCAGAGCTTTTTTTCCCTCTGGGCTATCTGTCGGATAATATTCGTGCGTTTCGCCTGGGAAAAAATAAACCCCAACGGGTGGACAATAATTTTTTATCCGACCACCACTCGCCGTCACCCCGACAATAAAAACTCGGTGTTGGCCCCAGCGTCCCCCGTGTGTGTGAGAGCCATGACCCTCCCTCACAGCGATGCCTACGACCCGGTGCCGGCGCCCGCCAAGGACGACGACGTGTTGGGGTTCCAGCAGTACCCGCCGGCGCAGCCGGCGCCGCTGGCACTCCCGCCGCCCCACCCGGCGCTGGCGAACCCGCTGAATCACCATCCCCAGAGCCAACAACACCAGCAAGGCCACCACCAGCAGGCGCCCCAGGCGCCGCCGCCGATGCCGCTGTTGCCGCCGGTGGCGGCGCCGTACCCGCCGAACTTGCCGCCGTTGGCGCCGTCGCAGTACCCCCAGTACGACGTGGCCCCCGCCGACGACTGGGGCCACCACGCGCCGCCGCAGCAGTACCATGACGTCGCCCTCGCCCCCTACCAGGCGCCGGCGCTCCAGTTCCACCACCACTACCCTCCGCAGCAGATGGAGCTCGCGGGGTACGGGGCGCCGCTGATGATGCCGATGGCGCCGGCGCCGCCGCAAGACATCGGCAACCAGGTGCCCCAGCGCAAAGTGGCGCCGCGGTCGCTGGACTTGTTCAGAGTGGGGCCGCCGTTCAGCCACTTGCGCCACCACCACCAGGTTTTCTCCCACGACCTGGCGACTCCGGTGACGCCGCGGTTGCTGGCGCGGATCGACCGCGGGTTCGAGCTTGACGACCAGGGGACGTGGATCGGCTACAAGCGCAACTACTTTACGTTGGTGGCGGCGTTTCAGTTTGACGGGTTCGACTTTGACCGGTTCATCGCCAACGAGTACTTTGTCAGCGCCAGCGACCGCCACGGACGCGAGGTGAAGCGCCCCGTGCGCTACTTCGCCATCCGGCTCGTCGCCAAGTGCAGCGACGACGAGGTGCAAATCAGCTTGATCCAGCACACCGCCAAGCGCGACAAGGGCCCCCAGTTCCCGCCGCCGATGTACCCGGCGGTCCCCGGGAACTTGCCCGACCACGAGACGGTGAAGGCGAGCTGCAACAAGCGCAACGGGCTGAAGATCGAGAACATGAACCGCATCTTCTACTACCAGCGCCAGCGCGACTTGGCCCACGTCGGCGCAGGCGGCGCCCTGGTGTTGGCGTCGTACCCGCTGGACCTGATCGCGCGGGTGGCGCGCTTCGAGCGCATCCAGTTCACCCTGCTGATCCGCATCAAGCTGCTGCTGATTAATACCCGCTACTTCACGTTGCACGTCGAGTTGTTGGCCGTCGTCGACGACGACGAGTTGCTGGCGCAGCCGGTGGTGGTGCTGCTGGTGGAGCTGCCGCCGTTGATCATCCGCGGGCGCCTGCCGCTGAACTACCACAAGGAGCGTCCCCAGGGGTTCTTCCCCCGCGGCGACGCCCACCCGCACCACCACCACGACTGAGCGCGGCGCCGCCGCCGACGCCGCTATCCCGTTATAGACCCCCCACGACGCCACGACCTTTCGCCACGACCTTTCTCGCATTAATAGACGTCCCCGGGCACGGGACGTAGTAGTTAATATACACGATAATGCCCCACAAGCAGTAGTCGATGGTTAGCGCGGCGCTACCATGTGGCGTTTAACACTAGCCACAGTCACCGGAGACGTAAAAACATCAATCACGAGAGGTCGCTAGAATGGTCAAGAGACAGTAAATCAAGAGATGGGAGCGCCGGAGACAGTTGACCAAGACATGATCAGAGATGGCCAGAGGTGGTCACAGATGGTAGCGCTAAAGCTTAAGCAATAGCGGAGACCCGCCGCCGTCGCCGACGCGCGATGACTGAGTCCCCATGTACTAGCGACACTTCGTTTTAGGTGACTAACGCCTTAGGCGGACCGGCAAGCAATCCCTCGGCTACCTTCAGTCCAGACCTCGCTCACCCCAAGGCGCCCCGAGTCACCAGGGATGACCACTGGTGCCAGGGTGGGTGAGCGCATTTAGCGATTGTGGCTATCCACATATCTACCCCAAAACCTGTAGTGTCACCAGATCGGTGTCTCAAAACTTGTACGAGAATGAGGTACCACAGATCTGGCACCCGGCAACACAATCACACACGAGACATGCGCGTATCAGGTAGCGATGGTGAGGTTGGCGATGGGGACAGCTGGAAACGTGCCCCGTCACATGACGCGATTGCCAATGGCGAATTGTGGCGCTCGGCGTTCCCCTCATCGAATCCGGGGCAGCGGTGACTCGGGGAAAGGCCCCGAGTCAACACCCATGGAGAACAATAGCCGCCGAGATCGATCCACCTTCCCTATTTCACCTCATTCTACCCCTAATACCGTAGTCGTGGCGATAGCTTCGGCCGAATAATGCGCAAACGCCACCTTAACTCACTTGATTTGGTAGTGCATATAACTTTGAGGTGATGCATAAGATTTGCGCTTTGAACTTTGCATATTACATATATAAGCGCATTTGTGTCTCTCGCTGGAGATAAGTGGCACAATACGTGTTCGAGTGCAGGCTACCTCCGGCCGCAAGTTCACGTCCCCGTAGCGCGCTTAAATTGTTGCTTTTTATGCCCTCCATCCACTCGACACTAGGATTATTCTTTGACACTGAATTTCAATCGTCGTCCCAACCGGGCCGGGAGCATCTCTGATTTCATGCTATATTTAGGGCACACAACCGAATTGAGGAGGGTTCAAGCGCGGAAACCCCCCGGTGCATATTCTCCCACACCCTCAATTCGGAAAGCCCTTCGTCTGAGCCTAAGCGAACCCGTTCATGATCAGTAGCTTGCCAAGACAGGAGAAAACGGGCATCCGAGGAAGCTCTAGCAGAGGAGGTTGCCAGGTACTGTCACCGACGAAACAATGAGCCATTGCACACTTTACTAAAGCTCATGTTTAATTCTAGCCTGACTAATTGACTAAAGAGGTGGAGCCGAAGGTGAAATCACAGGAGTTCCCCTCATTGCCCCAGATACTCCCGCCATAGGAAAGTACCGCAAGCATTGCCAACTCGACAACATCGGACCGGACGATCGTCCACAAAAAAGAAGAGTGAATTGACGCGCCATGTCTTTGTGGCCCATGGTTTTTTGTGACGAACGCCATGCCCGGCACGATGACGATATGCTACTTACATGTCAAATTCAGCCGACGGGGGTAATACGCTCTCTAGGGTCAGGAATTCCAAGGAGCACAAGCAAACCCAAACTCCCGCCCAGTTGCTGGTTCTGGACGCGGCGGTGAAATCTCTCCCATAATCGCATTGCCGATTTTATTTGTTACGCGTTTTGTCACCAGAATACGTAGGCATGTTGCACTCCATTTTTCCGTAGTCGAACTTGAGGGAGTCGTATATTACGAAGGGGTTTCAGAAAGACTTATGGCTAAATATTTCCCGCCATAAATTCTGCTAACTACTCTGTCGCTATTTTGTGTGATTGGCGTGAATTACGAATCGTCGGGTAGTATCCCTGATCTGGTTACTCAAAGCATTCTGTGATAGAATTTTCACGTATTCGAGATTTGTATACAATTTATGGTCACCACCACCTTTCCAATCTATATGGAGTCATAAACAGCTGTTTAGTCGTTCATCTGGTCTGTATTTGGCTTTATTCCATGGTGGTCAGCCGTGTTGTCTTGATTTACATCAATCTTGCAGTTCCCAAAGCAAATTTCAACATCCTCTGAGTCGAGCAAAAATTGGTGAAGAACCTGAAAACAAATGGTCCTGAAAAGTCCTTCAATGTGCCAATAGATTTTGTTTGCTATCATACACCTGATGGCTTTACGGCCTGAGTTGTGATTTATGGGTATTCTCAAAGTGCTCATCAGCACGACAAATCTCAGCTTCGAAGGCTACGAGACAAGCCCAAATTATTCCAGTATTCTGGTAAGTATCTGATTATTGAGATTTAAACTCCAAAGCTACCATTGGTGTGGTGGTGAATTAATTGTGCACCAGCTTCTGTTTTAACTTGTGAGCAACAAGCCAAATCAACATCCAAACGCTTCAGAAACTGTGTAAATCGTGATCTTTACAGTTTATGGTGTTCTACAAAGTGACCTTTAATATATCAGAGGTGTAACTCGTCCAATTTCGAGAGTGTCGAGAGATCAGGCTTATTCGAACGAACAACACTGTGGAAAGAAGTCCCAGGACGTGGTCCAAATAAATCCCAAATTTTGATTAAATGATTCTAATGTTGACAAACTGTTTTTTCAAAGCCTGAATGGACAGTTTGAACTCGATAGTTTAGAAATGCTTCAATCAAATTGAAGGCTACCAAACACCCAAAAACCTGGTCAAAAAAAAAAAAAAAAAAAAAAAAAA